GCGGGTGGGGCTAAGAGGTTCAAGGATAATCGATTTTCCAGGCTGCAGACCCATGAGACTGGAGTACTGGACCTGGACTCGTTGAAGAGCCCAGTCCAGCCCTCAGGATGGGGTCCGTGGTTGCGGAGGGGTGGCATGGATGCTATGCTGCTGCACAAACCGCTTTAGCTCGCTTCCCAGAAGATACAAAGAGACAAAGACACAGCTTACCAGGGTGGGCTGTTCGAGACAAACCACAGACTACGTTTTAGGATGCGTTTGTGAGAAAATTCTCCCGCATCATGAAACTTGGAGACGAAGCATGCCACAGCGGTTATCAGTTTGCGGTTCAACCACTTTACCTCGAACCTTGCCTAATATATGATGTCTCCGTCAGGCCGTGAGCCCCTGCAACGGAGGATTATTTTACCTCAAAGCAAGCTCTAATTCTTGTTTTACCTTTGTCTCGGACAAACGGGAGCGGGAAGAACTGAAAGGTTGAAGTCGGCCGTCGTCGGTGCTGGTAAAAGGAGAAGGAGCCTTCTAACAGAATACAGTGAATGGCCCTCCGCCAAAAAAGCTTGGGTCATTTATTCAATAATATTGCTCCGTTTACTGCCAGTTCCTTAACCGGCTACGGATACGGATATTCGGCTACAGAACGAATGCCCTGTCTGTTGAGCTTGGTGACTTCCCACTGTTCACCGTAATTTCCACTGGCCCACATGGGTTAACTAACTAGCAAACTGTGGCTTAGACAGATGCGAGGCGACTTGTCTCCAGAGGACTCGTATGCATTGCATCGTTGTCAAGTTAATGAAGTGCCGGAACTGTCAGCATACTCGAGATATTGCTGGACCAAAGTGTTGTTCCACAACATCACAGAGGCATCACAGTAAAATACGCCAGATGTACGGCATGGCTACCAAACGGAGCACGGAGTACATGATCAGAATAAGGTCAAGCAAGAGCTGGAGACGGGCCTTCCCGCAAAAGGGGATGTTGCCCTGTGGCTGAGAAAAAAATGGAGACTTGGTGGAAAACCGATTGGCCGTTGAGACCATGTCGACTTCACAGGTTAACACCACGCGACACAAGCGAAGAGAAGTCGGCACTTTCTGGCAGAGTTTTGCTCCAGGAAACTGGGAGATGTATTTTTGCTATTTAAAAAAGGACTAAAGCTGATTGATCAACCTGGGAAACAATCTATTGCAACTCAAAGCAGCCGTTCTTGTTGGTGATACGCTCTGCTAGGTTAACGTCTCTGGCAACCTCTTCACCGTTGGAAGTGGTCAACGTCGCTCGCAGAATTGGCAGGTTAGTTGCCTCGTCGAACTGGAGCCAGATGTTGGAAGCACTGTTGGAGAAGTCTCTTTCTCCCCAGGAGAAGGAGCCTGTCAAAGTCCAACAGTCAGTCAGTTGGCCAGTCATCTAGGACACGGCTTTGAATATGTGCCGGGACAAGAGCATGACCAAGGACATACCGTTGAAGTTTCCGAGGACCTCGTTGAGGTTAAGACGGGCAGTGACATAGTCGCCATTATCGTTCCGAAGCTCGGCGACGAGGACGTAGTCGTCTTCGATGCGGACTTCTCGAGCGGTCTCGTGGAAGCTCATGGTGGTAGTTGGTGGTGGTAGTTGGTGGTGGCAGTTGGTAAAAGGAGGTGTTTGCTGTGATAGAGAGGATGCTCTGTATGGACAGGATAAGGACGAACGAGTGGTAGAACACGGGGGAAAGGACATTCCTTAAATACCTCTGCCTCTCTATGGAATGAATCCTTATCATTGATATTATTTAGCCTAGACTTGTTCACGACATGATTCACTTTGAGTGATTAACCACGCCTCTGCGCTATACAACCCCGCCGCTTGAAGGCACCCACAGAGGGTCTCATAGTTGCATTGGTGGATCAGAGAGCGGTAGAAGCGACGTGGCCAGCTGAAACTTGGGCATGCAAACGGGCCCTGCCTTCGGTGTGGCAGTTCAGGGTCCATGTGGATGGATTCTATGACAATCGTGAGCGGATGGTGGGAGAAGCTGCAGACGTACCCAAGTCCGCAACGGCTACATAAAGCATGAGATACATACATACTGCATTTAGATCAAGAAGGAGCTGCATGATACCATGCCAGCTCGCTAACAGTAACGCCTTTTACTGGTAGGTTGGTAGAATGTGCTTTGCCCCCCTGTATAAGGCGATAACCATGAATAGAAGCGTATTATTAATACTATCTATTTTACGGTTTCGTAGTTGATTACGTTGGGATGAAGATGCTGCAATAGAAAATAGTGTATGAAAGCCCGGGGGATTACCTCAAGCATAAAAGGTTGGTTCCATTTCTACCGTGAAGAAGTCTACGGAGGGAGAGGGTAAATGGTATAGCAAAGCAGTCCGAAGATGCAGTTACCCCATGCAACAGACAGAAATGAATCAAAAACAACTCATTCAAGCTGAAGGTCCGAAATGGAAGTCGAGACTCAAAGACCTGCAGAATGACGCCGTCTTTTTCCATCAGCCGAACAGGGATAGGGGAAAGACAGAAAACCGAGGCAGCGGAAAAAACATGAAGGGAGTGCAAAATCAAAACGTTTTATCATGGGCAGGGGCAAAATTAATAGAAAATGTAAGTGATGCGAAATTAAATAGAATAGGTGGCATTATATCCTCACACCAGGCGACGGGGTTCTTTTTAAAGTTGCGACAGGTCAGTTAAGAATATCATTTTCGATCGCTCACGGCCGTCATGGCAAGGTTGTTCGCAGACTTTGCTGCGCCAACGGCAGCTGAGACGGGGGTTACCGACCGAGTTGGTGGAGCAGTGGGAGATGTTGATGACGCTGGTGCTGCAGGTGCTGCGCTTCGGTTGTGGGCCATGTGAGCGCGGACAAGGTGGCCGGCTGCCAGGGCGGCGCAGAGACTGAGCTCACCGGCAAGGACGGCGGCGGCCACGATGCGTGCGAGACGGCGGGAGTTGTCTCCTGGGTTGGTTGGGTGTGCACCACGGACTCCGAGCAGGTCGAGCATGGCTCCTTGTCCCTCGAGGATGGTGCCGCCGCCGATGGTACCGACTTCTATGGATGGCATGGAGACGCTGATGTGTAGGTTACCACCCACGCTGGAAAGAATGTTAGTAATCGGCGAAAAGGTGCCATTATGGATACAAAGGGATGGAGATACATACTTCTTCATGATAGTGATGCAATTGCTGCTCTCGACGTTCTGGGCAGGGTCCTGGCCAGTGGCTAGGAAGAGAGCAGTAACGATGTTGGATGCATGGGCGTTGAACCCTCCAAGGGCACCAGCCATGGCACTTCCAATCAGATTCTTGGAGATATTAAGCTCAACCATAGAGTCGACGTCACTCTTGAGCACGGATTTGACAACATTAGCCGGAATAATGGCCTCAGCTACGACGGATTTTCCTCGGCCGTCAATCCAGTTAACGGCAGCAGCCTTCTTGTCCGTGCAGAAGTTGCCAGAGACAGAGATGGTCTGCATATCCTCGAATCCAGCCTCGTTGGCCATTACAGACAGCGCCTTCTCGACACCCTTAGAGATCATGTTCATACCCATGGCGTCGCCAGTGGTGGTCTTGAATCGAATGTAGAGGTTAGTTCCGGCCAGTGTTGTCTTCATAGTCTGAAGTCTGGCGAAACGACTGGTAGAGTTAAACGCAGCTTTCATTATAGACTGGCCCTCTTCAGAGTCAAGCCACAACTTGGCCTCACCGGCACGAGAGACGCTGCTAAAGCTCACGCAGGGGCCTCGAGTCATGCCATCAGCGGTCAAGACAGTAGTAGCACCGCCGCCTGCATTGATAGCCTTGCAGCCTCTGCTAGTACTAGCGACGAGAACACCTTCAGTAGTAGCCATGGGGATAAACAAGCTCTGTCCATCAATGACCAAAGGTCCGGCAACACCCAGAGGAAGCGGAAGGAAACCGATGACATTCTCACAACAGGCACCGTGAACTAGAGTATAGTTCATCCCCTCGTATGGTAGTTTAGAGTTCTCGACGGAGGCACTGGTGGCGGCAGTAACAGGGTTTCTTGCAACAACAGCTCGTCTAAGCTTGACCGCCCTGGTAAAAGCTTGCAGACGAGTGATACTCTCGTGCTCCATAGTTTTCTCAAGGGCATAACCAGGTATCTTACCACGAAGGGAGAGCTCAATTAGTTCTTCATCATCAAGCGAGGTGACAAGCTTGTCTTTGAGCATCTGCTCACACTCTTCCAGAGTTCTTGGGGTGCCGTCTTCCTTGATGATGGGCTTGCGCTCAACCTTCACGGGTGCAGGAGCCGGTGTAGGAGACTCGGACGGGGTCGAGGAAGCTGAGGACTGTTCTTCCTTGATGCTCCAGCGAGCAGCGTTGAAGAGATAGCCGTTAAGAATCAAACTTAAGATAAGAGCTGCGATTATCCATTTGCTGATGATTGGGTCATCGAGGGACCTCAGGATGCTTTCCAGAACTCGGCCGCCTACAACGTCGAGGACAGGGTTGTAGTCGGTGTCGAGCAGGCGGTCAACGTTGGGGTTAGCATTGCCATAGTATGCAGAAGGGTATTCGAGTTGATATTTCATCGGTGGAAGAACGGTGACCAAAGTTTCGACTTGCTGACCCTTTGCACTAACGTAAATGACGTCCAAGCCATTCTCGGCAACCTTGAAGGGATCGATTGGGACGGGAGAGAGAACGTTGGACACCTTGGATAGAACAGGCATCAACAAGCCATCTTGGCGGTTGCGGAAGGGGATGGTGGCCAAGTTAAGCAGGTTGATCAAGACGAAGCCTCCAACCATGAGGAATTTAAACTTGGGGATGCTGCTTGCTCGGACCTTCTGACCAAAAATGCTGGTGGCTCCGCTGGTCTTCGAGTTGCCTCCCTTCCCGTCAAAGTTCATCCGAGGCCAGTCACTGGTGGAGGCAACCTTCTCGGCGACTCGATGGGTAATACCTTCTTCCTCGAGGGTTTTGCGGATGTCAATATGCCGCTTAATGCGGTTGATTTCAAGTTTGATGCATAGGATGGTGGTGTAGAAGGTGAAGAGTAGGAGACAGTCGAAGAACAAGATCCATGCAGCGAGAAAGCAGAACTGTCGCAGACCACCCTGGATGCCCGAGGCAGCACCAGCAACAAGAATGGCAATTTCAATCAGATAGTCTCGAACGATGCCAAATCCAGTGGCTTCGACTGCCTGCTGGATAGCGTCTTGGATAGAGCGTACCGGTGTAGCAGGCTTGGCAGCGGAACCGTTGGGGGCTGCAGCTGGTTGTGGGCGGCTGCGTTCAAGCACGGCCTTAGTGAGAATGATGGGCTTTTCAAATCCGACAGTGACAACTAGGAAAGGAAGTCCTTCGGAAAGCAAGACCATGTTAATGGGCACACCGAGGGCGGTGGTAACGAGCAGGCCGAAGAGGAATGCAAACCCTCCGGAGATGAGAACGGTAGCAGCCAACCAAGATTTAGATCCAAGACGACGTAGGGATAGACAGCGATACGAAGGTTAAGTGCATGGAACATACCCATGCCATGATAATAATATCGATAGTCTCCCGCATGCTAATATATCATGTCAGCCCCCTTGTAATGTATGACATAAATAGAGATACTAGGAGGGAGAGAAAAATACCTTGATCAAGTCAACAAAGGAGTTCCATCCATCAGAGAACCAATTGCGCATGGCAACATGAGACCCGGAGACCGAGCTGCGCGCAGCCTTCATAATCCATTTCTTCTGCTCAATGCCTTCGGGGTCATTGACAGAGTCAGGGATCTCCTGCACTGACCTGAGGAAGTAAGGTATTTCATCGAACGGGAGCGAGTAGGCCAGGTGCGTATCTTGTGAAATGGGCGAGAGAACATTGGGGGTATACGGGATGAGTTTGGCAGAGCTGTTGGCCGGCAGCGGCACATTCTCTGCAAGGGGAGGAGACTGTGGTGACCCAGAGGACGAATAGGGGAACACAAAGGTTGCAATGGCAAGATGCTGTGACACCTAGCAGCCGTCCCCAGTCAGCATATAGTCAACCAGATGAAAGAAGCAAATAGAAAAGAAACAGGCAGGAGATGGCAGGAGATAGCAAGAGATAGCAAGAGAGAGAAAGATAAAGAGAGAAAAAAAAAAAAAAGGTAACCTTTTTGGTATCAACCTGAGCTGAATTGTCGACCTGCCATCTCCACTGCGTATCCTGGCCCAGGTGTAGATTCCTGCCTCCGCCCACGATTGACGCTACGTCGACCTGGCCGGCGCCGGCCCCATTGCTCGACTCGACCAGGCTGCCGTCCAGAAGACCGACGTAGGTGGTACTCGCGAGCAGCGCAATGGCAACGATCGTGTGTATGGGGTGTCTGCAGGCCCTCAGCGAGACCGACTGCAGCGCTCCCGTCACCTGTCGACTGAGCCATCCAGGCTCTCCAGCATCGTCCGCGTCCCCACGAAACTGGCGAGGAATAAGCGAAAATCCCCTCATGGCTGCTGAAAAAATCCCTTCTGGCTCAATGGCTCATGTGCATAACCCGCCGTCTGTCTGTCTGTCTGTCTGTCTGTCTGTCTGTCTGTCTGTCTCTCGCTTTCTCGTTCTCGGTCTCGGTATCGTCTCGACTCGTTCGTGCGTGTGTTGAAGCTGCGAATTGAGGCCGGCAGAAGCGACCAGGGGCCGCAATATTTGGTAATTTAAAGGGAGACAAACGGCATCAAACAAAAACCCGCGAGGAGCTTCAGCGAGGCTAGAGATGTCTTTTTCTTTGGACAGGGTCGAAGCGGTCAGCCAGGCGACGGAGTCAAGCAATATTATTATTAGACGAAATAAAAAAGGAACCACACACCCTGGAGGTTGACTATTATTATTATTATTATTAGGGGGAGGCTGCCCAGCGGTTAAGATTGGGGAGACGACGGTGCCAGGGGTGGCTGATAATGCGACGGGGGCGGGCGAGCGGCTTTTCAACAAGCTGCCAGATCTCTCTCCACACGCAGAGAGATGGATGTCGTCAATAGAGGAGAAAACCTGGCCGCGAGGAAACCTGATGCTTGCTGGCTATGATGGAGCTGAGCTGGGCTATGCCACCAACCCTGTGGAGAATCTTATTTTTCTTCCCTTCAGACTTGTTGAACAACCATGAAAATGTCTGACGGCGGATCAACCAGACTGCAGGAGACGAGGAGGACGAAGAAGAAGAAAAGAAAAGAAAAAGTCCTTGGTCCTGCGTCAAGAATCCCTACAGAAGAAGCCTTACAGGGGGCGTTATTTATATATACAGAGTAACTAACGACGGCCAGCAGGGGGAGGCATTATTTAATATTTGATAATATCGCCGAGCAGCGAACTACTTAAAAAGGGCACTTCCAGCTAGGCCTCCTCCTCCCGCCATCGTTCTCGCTAGCTAGCCATCTCCTCTCTCATCCTCGTCCCATCCCTTTTCTTTTCTTTTCTTTTACATCTCCTTTTCTGCTTCGTCTTCGCGCTTTTTTTTTTTTTTTTTCTCACCAAAAAAGTTTTTTCTTTCCCAAAAATTTGGACGCCACAACCATCACGTGACCTCATCATCGGCGGGTTTTTTAGCAGCTCAAAAACGAGCAAAAAGAGGGCGGCGGCGGCGGCGGCAGGCAGGCAGGCAGGCAGTTTGGTAGGTGTAGGTGGTGCATCGTGTTGTATGTAATGCTATATACGGTTTTGCAGGGTTGCGGATGACAGGAAGGACAGGGCAAGGCTGGGCCGGGTGTGTTGCATCGACGGCGGCCGCGGCTGTCGGCGATGACGGTGGTCGGCGGGCAGAGGAACGACGACGCCCGGCTGGATGCGTAACTATTTGCTGGGCTGGTCTGAAGACGGCGACCGTTGCAGTCTTTACGACGGCCGGGAAGGGTAAAGAGCCCGGGAGTCCAGAGTCATGCGTGAAGACTTGCTCTTTGTCTAGTCGCCGCCGCCCGTCCGCTTCAGGTTGGCGCCGCTGGTAGTTCTATTGTTCCACATTGTTCCCTCGTAGCCGTTTAGCTTGTTCAAAGTACTCCCCTATGTAACTCGCTAACTATTCATCATTCATTCATCATTGTTATTATGTAGCGGGAGACGCCGTTAACGTCCTACCCCGCATCGAGTAGTCGATCTGTTCATTCACATCCAGCCTGCCAGCCTGGCCGGGATATGCAAGCAGCAGCCCGCGGCACGGCGGGCAAACATCTGGTTAGCTGCGTCGTTTTTTATTTTTTTTTTTATTTTTATTTTTTTTTTTGGGCTTGCTTGGGCTGTGAAGGATGAAGAAGCCATCGAGGAAAGGGGGATGCTGTTGATTAAATCAGCGGGATATGTGACATTCTAATGTAATCACGTGAAATATGTATGTATTACATAAGATGAGTTGGCGAAGTCAGCCAATAGAAGAATGAGGACCAGAAGGAAGCCCGCTATAATCGAACTCAGTAAGTCAGAACAAGAAGGGAGAAGAAGCAGAAGAAAGCCCAAGAGATGAAATGCTTCGTGCTGGCTCCAATGATAAAGAGATACCGTATCGCTACGAGCTCTCGTACCTTGGTATCGTCCAGTCTGTGCTCAATATCGAGTCTGGACAACTCATGCATGATCCTGCATAGGAAGCACTCTGAAAGCAGGCCAGAGTGGAATAGCTTACAGCTAGCTATGCTCTGGCCAATCCTCGGCACATCATCCGTCACTATACTAGGACAACGTAGCACAACGTAAGCCGGCCATGACGTGAGGTCTGCCCCAGACGATCCACGGCGTCCGTCTCTTCAATCTAACGCCTCACCTCGCCGCCGCGCAGTTACAGTTGATAGATATTTTGGAACATGATATCATCAACAGAGCTTTAAAAATGCTTAGCTTCGGATCGTTGACGTTGATTCGTAGGGTCTCCTAGAATTGTCCCATCGGAATCTCCTGAAGTTTGTAAGGGAAAAAAGGTTGATTGTTGTGACGGAGCCGACTGCAATGACGACGACTATTCAGAGCTTCAACATGCTTTATCGATAATATGCATAGCGGAAAACCGCTGTTGTGCAGAATTTGGTTTCAAGTAAGCCTAGCCTCCCATGACCTGTGGATGGTCTCCAATCCTAGAGATCAGCTCACTTACTATCATAGTCCATAATACAGGTGGCATTTTCCATGGCAGTCTGCGCTGTAGAGGTTAAATTAAGCATAAACTGATGTAGAAGACCGTACCTGTCGTTGCAATAGTACACTCCGCTTATCACCGCCATAATAGTTGTCGTCACTCAAGGGAGGTACGGAGTAACAATCGAACAAGAGAAAAGGATTTTACCAGTAGTCCATCACAAGATAGAGAATGTTTGAGCAGAATGTTTCATGGAAGGGCCCCCGGCCTTGCTGTTTCTTTACGCGCCGTCTTGTCTACTGGCCCATGACGGCGCGTAGCTGCTCCCAGCGTCCGCATTTCTTTCTCTATGCATCTTCTCGCATCTCCCATCTTTACTCTTCCGTCTTCCACCTGCTCGACCCGAAGCCTTCCTGAATGCAAAATTCCGTCATACCGTCTTGCATTCCCACGCTGCGGCAAAAGTTATCAGTCAACGCCGTCATAGTAAAGGCTAATTCAACTATAAGCGCCTTCGGTGGTTGTAATAAGGTTAAAGTACGGGAAGAGGCGCAACGTCGAGAGCCAACCAGACGCCGCGCCAAGCCAGATCTTGCGACTTCAACTCCTAGTTTCGAAACTTCACTATCGACACCGTCAAGCGCCCGGGCTGCTTGATGCAGACAACCCCTGCCTTACTGTCTCCAGGCATCTCATCCTGCTCAAGCCGGGCCAATAATTGGCCTCAGCTTGGACTGTTATACCCCGCAGCAGATGGACGTCATGGTTCGCAGGCAAGGGTGTTTCTGCGTTCTAGGTTCAATGCATTATTGTTTTGGTCCGAGTTTCCAAGGGCTGAGCCATGGGTTGAAACATCGCAGTGGGCATATTACCAGGTAACATGTCAGGCAAAAGATCACACTTCTCTGGTTGATTGGCTGCCATTAGCTCAGTGGAATGAGCAGGGTCTCAGAGGGTCAATTGTATACCCGTCTGCTCCTACTCTTCAGTCTACCCATGTCACTTTCTATAAATATATACAAAATATGTACATATATATAGGGTGGCAGTGACAGCTTGTGCTATCTTCACCTTTATCGGATAACTATTTTCATATTCTTCTCTTCTCATACTTATTTTCCTATTCAATGCCTCTTAGTGTTGCTGGTCAACACTTTCTTTCCATTCACACTTGACTATTGATACACTTTTGTTCTTTCTTTATATTAGTTTTACTTGCCTATACCAAAGATTTCTTTTCTTACTTTTTCAACTCTCTTTCTGCTGCAGAACTTGCCACAACATTCTTTTTCTTGGTTCATACGACTACTGCTGCATGCTTGCCCAAAGAACCTTACGGACTGTTGTTACCTCGCAACTGCTACATCCAAACCACGGATTCGATATCAGCGTCGTCATCGCTACCCAGGCGCTCCTTCCTACAGCATCATCAGTCTTTGACGTCATCGACTTCAACAATCACTGATTCTGTTCAGTTCTCCTCTATCGAACTTGCCATCATTGACATAATCGAAAACACTGGGATCGCTCTTGCTCATAGCCATTCGCCACCCAGGATCGTCTATAAATATCTCCTCAACTCCCTTCATTTTCCTCTTCCTTTTCTCTTCCTTTCATATCACAGATTTTCGTCTACTCTACTACAGACACATTCGCAAATATCCCTTTTCCTTGCGAACCTCACTTCAAACTCGAACAACATTTCCACTTTATCTTTCCCATCTTCTTTCCTCTTCCTCAAGGGTTATCACTCCACCAAACCCTTGATCATGGCACCCAGAATTCTATCAACTCTTCTCTACCTACTCGCTATTGCCCCCCTGGCACATTCTCACAGCTGGGTAGAGGAGCTGGATGTCGTTGCCAGTAACGGATCCTTTACTGGCGAACCTGGCTACATCCGTGGCCATGTCTCTCGAACGGCCCAAGGATTCAACGACGACTTGATGACCAGTCGTCTCCCTCCGAATGGGCGGCCTGCAAATGTTGGGATTATCCCCAGCGACCACATGTGCATGCCGTCCCAACGGAATCAGCAGCAGACGGAGGGCTGGCCCCGACTAGAGGCTAAACCTGGCGACGTTGTCGCCCTTTTGTACCGGGAGAACGGGCATGTCACTTTACCAGATACCCAGCCCGGGAAACCTAAGAACCGCGGAACCGTCCATGTATACGGTACCAGCAAACCCCGTCCGGATGACAAGTTCCTAGACATCCACGGGGTATGGAACCAGGACGGAACAGGTGGCGATGGACGAGGCAAGCTTCTCTCACGCCAAAACTTCGACGACGGACGCTGTTACCAAATCAATGGTGACAGAATTTCAACGGAACGGCAACAAAAGTACCCGCATGTTCCTGACGAGTTTATGGGGGCAGACGTGGCATGCCAACACGTCTTAAGACTGCCCTCGGACGCCGTCCCTGGAAACGTCCTATCGATGTACTTTGTGTGGGACTGGCCGACGGCCCCGGGGGTAGATCCCAACCTTCCCCATGGAAAGACAGAGATCTATACCTCGTGTATGGATATTGACATCGTCGCGTCCAAGAGTGAGACAGCCACAACTTCAACGGTCCACTACATCGATGGTCAGCCGTTGAACCGTGCTGCAGTTCCTTCACTGCTTACCAATCTCGACCAGCAAGTGGACAGTGGCCCTTCTGATGTCGATGCTGTCTCTTCCACCTCGGTTCCACCGTCGCCGTCTGACGAGGATGCTCCTACCGAAGGTTCAATCGTTCCAATTCCAACACCCACTCAACATAATTGGAATTCCAGAGTCACTAGGCGTAGGTCGCGCCGCAACCGCCGCGATCCCAACTTCTCCTAGGACTCCACCTTGGTAGTTACTTGCCTCTCGTCCCGTCGCTGAATCCGAGCGTCCACATCCGTGTGTTTTTTTTTTTTTTTTTTTATTTCCAATTACGCAACTCAATAGAAAGAAAAATATACCTGGCCTTCGATGAGTCTAGATCTGTTGAATCTGTTTGTGATACCCACCGCGCGGAGTGGTGATTGATATGCAAGCATGGCGTTTGGGATTGGCGTTGTGGAATGGCGTTTGTTATTGTTTACCATGTGTGTAGCATTTGCTTGTGGAAGGAATACTCCACTATCTACAGGTAGTCGCAATCGAACTTTTTCTTAGCTAGTTCTTTCTTTATCTCGTCGCTCATAATTGAATTTAATTCTCCTCGAATCTCCTTCTGTCCTCTAATTAGGCAATTACCTAGATAGCTATCAATTCTCATAAACCCTTTATCTTCCATGGCTAGATCAATTTCCAATATTGGCCCTTTCCCATCGTCCATTTTCCAAACCCAAAGAAATTTTCTGGTCATCCAAATCATTATCTCCTCGCAACCTCTGCAGCGGGGAATTTCAACCATCTCTGCCCCTATCTCCAGCTATCGCTATTTCTTGCTTATCACCCGTTTTTATCTTTTAGGTTGCATTTAGACGTTGGCTATCTTCATACCACCCAAGCTGAGTCTAGCAACGACGAAGAATAGAGTGCCAATGATGCAGTTCGCTCCAGCAAATACCATCATATAGCGCAGAGACCCACTGCTTGCTTCAATAATTTGGCCTCCGATAGGTGATCCGCTGAGTCCAGCCAATGATCCGATTGCAAAAATCAGTCCCGTACGAGTGCCTATCTCTTTCATGGGAGACACTTGGGCCACGAGGGCAGGGGTGAGACCGACACCTGAGCCAGATGAAATTCCAAAGAAAACTGCAAAGAGGATCATGGCTAAGTTGTTCGATGCGTTCATCCAAAGGCCGAGGATAAGAAGTGAAGTTATACTGCACATGACTATCATAACATTAAATCTACCAACCTTGTCAGCGATGACGTTGGGTGCTGTACGGCCAAGGATACTGTAGCCATGCAGGTTAGTGGTATTCATATGACCAGCAGGATAGAATGTGAATTCGTACCTCGCAGCGTTGAGGATTGGAACCATGTAGTTGGCCATATATTGTGACATTCCGTTTTTGCGAGCGGCGACAACGATATAAGTTACAGGGAGAAACATGCCCCCTAAATGCATGTTAGCTAATAAAAGAGTAGAAATGGGATAGAATAGTCAAGCTCACAGTAATAGAAGAAGACTGCTGCTGCGAGCGCTATAAAGGCGGGTTCTTTCATCGGTCGAGTCATTTCAGAAATATGCCAGCGTCGTTTGGATGGTGGTAAACGGGACTTGAGTGTGAAGTTGGTGAATAGAAGCAAGCATAGAATAAGTAATGCACAGGCACGCATGGTCCAATTGAAACCCCATTTAGGAATCAGGTGGATGACCATTATAGGAAATATTACACCTCCGAGAGAAGACCCTGCAACAACGGGGCCTAATGCGGCAGCTCGTCGTTTATAGAACCAAGTTGATACCTAAAGCGAAGAACCTAGGGTTAGAGCAGAGGGTAGCTTGGTTATAGGGAGAGTGTAAAATATATATATAGGACCTACACAAGCGACAGAAGGGTAGAACACCATCGATGCCCCCAAAGCTGAACAAACAGCTTGGCTAAGCAACAAGCCGTAATAGGTATCCATGAAACTTGCAATAGAAAGGCCGCCAACGTGGAGAGCAGTCCCAACCATAACTAAATAAGAATGGCCGAAGTTGTCAAAGATCCTGCCAAAAAATGGACCGCAGAACAACATGAAGAAGACTGGGTTCAAGTTAACAGGGGTTAGACTTCCAAAATAAGGTATTTGAGGGTAACTGACCTTGGAGAGAAGAGATCCATGCCACTTCTGATTCAGTGTATGCTTTCAGCTGGTGAGTATGATAGTAGTTTTGGAATATTCCAACGCAGTTAACCCAGCCGAAGGATACAAACAGCGTGGCAGATGCACCGGCAACGGTTAGCCAGGCGGTCCTCCCCCCTTCTGGGTAGTCATTCTCGAGGTCATTCCATGGGCTTGTTTCGCTTATGGGGCTGGCCTTTTCAGGGTCACTTTCCAAGCGCCCTTTCATATGGCCTGTATCCAGATTTACGGACATCTTGTTGAACCTGAAGAAAGCTCAAAGGCTGAGCAGAATGTAAGAGGAGAATAATCAAAAATAGAATTTGTGACAGGTGTAAATTTGAAACATATGAGATTTAGAAAGATCTAAGAAAGGGGATGGCAGGATAGAGGCTGTGGGTAGTCAAGAAAAGAAGTAGAAGTTCAAGAAAGAACTTGAGATTTCAGAGCATTTATGCTAGAAAGACAATGGAAAGCGCCCGCTTCACTAAATATATCATAGAATAGGTAGCTCGGTAATATCCGTCTAAAATTCAATTAAGAAAGGGGTTATGTATAGTGAAAGATAACAATAACCTGGCCTTCCATGCACCTTGATGGCACAGGGAGCGCATAATAAAGAAAAAAGTACAGTTATTTGAAGTTAATTATCATAATAGATACTGCTTGCTAAGCACAAGTAGTAAATATTGAAAGTACCGTTGAAATAGCTCTCATATCTAGGACCAAACGGATAGTACTCCCCTATTAAAGAAGCAATATGTCCTTGGAGCAAACAAACAAGAAGAGAGTGCTAAGAAATGGAGAATTGGGCTCAGCAGTAACTTAGCAAGTAGCTATTCATTATCAGTCTAGATTAGCCTAGATCAGACAAGATGAGCTGGGGATGATAAACTTATGTTTATCCAAGAGGGTGAGTAGTAAGCCCTAGTATATATGTAGAAACATATCACTAAGTAGCATTACCCCAGGGAATTATACAATTTGATGTCCAATCCCATGGGTCGCAAAACCAATATGAGAAACAGGAGGGAGGAGTCACCTCCCTCCTTTTCCCCACTATGATCAGGGTTGAGTATATACCAGGGTAGATCTCTCGATTAGGAGGGCCGATTTGGTAAAGCTTGACTGGGGAGGCTTTTAATTTCCAGGAGATAGACATGTCGTCATCGGCGTCATGAGTTGGCCGTGTTGGATGGTATCAAGAAATCGAAAAAAATTAAGGAGCTCGTCAAGGCAGGCAACCAGTTGATTTTGCAGACACGACAGCAATTAGGACGACTAGGCGTCTTCGCAGCTCTGTCGGGACGCGCAAACGGGCGGCTCAGGGACGCGGGGCCGTCTGCAGCAGCTCGAGGATCCTCCGACCGGCCTCGTAGTAGGCCAGCTGAATAGCCGTTCCGGCCCTGCTTCTTCGCCTATCTCGTCTCTCCCGCCAGCTTCCCCTGGGATTTCTGCATACGCCGTACGCAGTACTACTACTAGTTACTGACTTGGTCGACGAAGCGACGTCGCGATTTGAGAAATTGAAAGAATAAATTAGGTAAGCATACCGTCATGTGACTACGAGCCTCCTTTTATTTTCCTTCCGCTCGACGTCAGTTTCAATTTCAACCACCAACTCTGCACGTCTTCGCGGCTGTCTGGTCGCTGATATCCATCTGCACCGTCGCCTCGTGTGGTCTCTTCCTCTTTTCTCTTGCTGCCAGGCTGCTCTGCCATGAAAGCTGTCACCAGCCGGCCCATGGAACAGTGAAAAGTCGCCTTGAAACGGTTTCGAGTTGGCTCTATAAATAGCCCTGCCTATCACCTTGCTTCCCTGGCCAAGTTTTCTTTTTCTTCCTTGCCTTCTCCAAGCCCCTGGTCCACCCCAAAATCCTGTGGGACGCTTGTGGAATTTCGGCCTAGCTGTTGTTTGGCCAATTTCGACCCTGGTGTGTTTCATCATAACTCAACCATACCAATTCTGGTACCTTCCCACGTCGATTTTCCATCGTCTGCCAAACACAGCCAGCACCGCCAGCCCTCCAGAGAGACAGCCTCGCTCCCACCCTGAGGACACAGATCAAGAGCTTCTCCTTAAACCAGACGTGTCAACCTCCTTGCATATGCGTGTGCTGGTGGCTACATTTCCGTCCTGAGGCTTCTGACCGAGCTGAAAGGTCACAGATACGCAAACGACTCGAGCGGCACACCGGCGGCTAATTCTGCTGCGACCTGTTGCGGGCCTAGAGGCATTTTTACCTACTGCCTTAGTATCATAACAAACAGCATGTTCTGATATGCTGGACAGCTGATTTTATTGCCTGGGACTGCTTCTAACCTGTGCCTGAGGAAGAACAGTCGCATTTGTGTCTTCCCCCGCCTTCATCGAAATCTAGTCGTGGACAAGCCCCTCTGACTTCGCGACTTACGCTGCCAACTGAACCAGCTAGCTGGCTTGCCCACCAACTTCGTTTCCGCAGACCTTTTTCAACTGCAGCCCCTTTGATTCAGTGGGATTTGCACAGTCGAGCCACCAAAGTGACCGAATATAGCTTCGCGCCTGCCTGCGCCTAATTCTCTGTCATACCAGCTCAGAATCGTCATAGTGGTGGCATCATTGGCTCAAGTGTTCACAAAAAATCGCTAAGATGGCGACTGCGATGGCATCGTCACAGTCGCCGCCTCAATTCGATGCGTCCGCTCCTTCATCGATCTCATCGCGGGCCTCTCTGCCGCCCTCTACCATTAAGCGGACGAGCCTACAAAGACCTTCGTCGTACCCAAAAAACCGACTATCCGTCCACTCCAACAAGTCAAACTCGCAAAATCGTTCACGTCCAACCTCTGCCACTTCTAATACCTTTTCTGTTTATCAGTCAAGCCTGCCTTACGCTTTGGTTCGGGATTTTGCCTATCCTCCCAGTCACCCTCTTCATTATGGCGCACCTCCCAAAGATTCGGGCATTTCGACACCAGTCCACGAATCTCGGAGGATTTCAGATGCGCCCCTTTCTTCACTGGACGCCACCCGCGCTCACTGGCCCGCCCCAAACTGGGACCCAGGTACGATGTACAGCCAGCAACAACTACCTCCGATAGCGTATGGCGATGGACCTCCATATAGTGAAGACGAAGATTTACATAGCCCCGTTGTTACCACCTCACGGCATCGAAAGTATAAGTCCGGCCACTCTAGTGAGAGTAGACCTGGCTCACGCAGACGCAAAGGGTCGGGTTTTGGTGACCCCGACAATAATGGTGACGCTGAGAAGGGTGTCTTGATTGGTGTTAACGGAGATGGAAGCGAGACATATTATATTAGAGACGAAGACGCGGATGATGATGGACCAGGAGGAGAGTACGTGACCTACCCAGCAGGGGATGGCAGACGCTCATACCACCCGGGTTTTGGTGACCAAGGCGGGGCTGGAGGTGCCGGTCTAGGTAACTCCGCTCATAACCACGGGGCTTACGATAGAGATTTCGAACTAGCCTCTGACGACGATATATCAGACGACGATGCGTGGAACGACCCTTCTAGATACTCGCGAGACTATCAATTTACAATCGTTTCTCCAGATGAGGAGATGCATGGTAAAGCCGTTGCTCTCTTCGATTTCACTCGCGAGCACGAAAACGAGCTTCCTTTGAAAGAAGGCCAGGTAATTCTGGTTTCTTATCGCCATGGCCAGGGATGGCTCGTTGCTGAAGACCCAAGGACTGGAGAAAGTGGACTGGTTCCTGAGGAATTTGTACGTCTTGTCAGGGATATCGAAGGCGGATTGAATTCTCTCAATGGCGATTTGAATATGATCGACCCTAATACTGCCGGAAGTGAATCCGAACAAACACCGGTCGCCACCACTCTGCCGGCCTCGCAATTGAACGATGCTCATATTAGTGATACTGCCGATACGGATGCACAAGCCCACGTACCGGTTGAAATCGATGCGACTGATAGTGGAACACAAGAAGTGGACACACCAACTACACAAAGCAAAGAAACTGAAAGGGACAAAGGAAGGGAAAAGCATCCTCCAGTCGTGTCGACCTTTTCAACGAGCAGCAAAGACCTAAACCCCTACCCCTCACACCTACTTAGTGGTCATCAGCATAGCAGGTCCATGCCTCCCGCAATTGAACATTCAGAAGCTCAGTTGGCCCGTTCCAACTCTGGTGCAGCAAAACGAACCAAGAGTGTGTCTAAACGAGTCTCTGAGTCGGCTTAAGGACCTCGTTTCAAGGATTCTTGTGTTCTTGTCATGATTTTTTCTTTTCTTGTTTACCCTGGACGAATAAACGAGATACCTGGTGTGCATTATGAGAACGAGTGCCAAACAATTTCATCTTTTACCTTCATACTCCCTCCATATGCCTTCAAATCATGGAATGTGTTCTAGTCAACGTGATTCCACACCTGATCCTCACTTAATATGCCCTTCAATTCTTCGTGAAAAACACGAATACGCTGTCTGAGACGGTTCTAATGTGGTTGATGTATGTGGGCACTTTTATCATCTCTTTCTTCAGCTCCGGCTCCTATGTTTGATTGATTCCATTTCCTAGCCCACATCATTATCCCGTTTAGGTTTTCTTGTCTTCATCATCTGCCTTTTTCTTCTTTCATTTTCTTTTCCTTATTTTAATGTTCATTTTTTTTTTTTTTTTTTTTTTTTTTTTTTTTTTTTTTTTTTTTTTTTTTATTTCTCTTTTGCATGTTGGGTGTATATCCTCGCTTAAGACGTGCATAAAATCGTCTGGCTAGGCTAAAGGGGGATTGGTCAATACTTTAAATGAATGAGTACAGTATGCATACACGGTTGTTATAAGTATAGAATCGACTTAGTTCCATGTGGGCCAAACCTGATATAGACCTTCATACATCTCGAGGTAGCAATGTAGGATTAGGATACACAGTTAGTTGGGTTTTTGGCTGAACTAGTTCATATCTGATCTTGGAGGAATAATTACATGGGAACTGGAAGGGATGAAGAATCTGGCGGTATTTAAATTGAGCCAGCAAAGGGACCAAGCTAGCAACCAAGCTCACGACGAAGGTACAACCCAATTTTGAAGTAAAATATACCAGAAGACCAAGCTACGATCAGATTCTCCCAAGGAACTTCTATCGTAGGTTTATTCAAAGAGCGTCTAGCTATGGAGCGCGCTTTAGCCAAGAAGATCATCCAGCGCACTTCCTCCGCTAGGCTTCTTCTGCTGTTGAGAGCTGGAAGTCCCACTAAAGGTTTGTGGAGAGCTACTTGAGCTAGGTGTTCCCCAGATGCCAGCACTTGCCTTCTCCTTAGCCATGCTCGCGAGATTTGGGCCCTTGTTCTGAGTCTGCGTTGTTGGTTTGATACCAGCGTTGGCGCTAGCGGTAGACCATAGGCTCCCAAATGCATCACCGCCTGATTTGGAAGAGGCTGTAGTTTGAGATTTTGTAGCGAATTTATTGGACGACTCTAATGGCTTGGACTGAGGCGTGGGAATAGATGTGAAGTAGTTCGGCTGCGAAGCTTGGTAGGTGGTTGGCTTGGGTGGCTGAGACTGCGTAGTGGGCGAGAGTGGCCCTATGCTTGATCCTTGAGACGTTGTGCCAGTAGCCGATGGTGTTTGGGGATTGGATCGGAAGGCAGCTAGCCCGTTAAGGCTTGCATTCTGAGCAGCTGAAACGGGCTTTGGAGCAGCGAATTGGGTCTGGGTTGGCGCGGATGGAGGAGCAATTGAGCCAAACTGCGACTGTAGTGTATTCGTGGCCGGCGTGGTAGGACTAGCGGACTGGAAGTCGTCAAATTCATCATCATCCATGCTCTGAGCTGCAAGCTCAGTTAAACCACTCGAACCAACGGGTTTTGTGGTGGACGAGGTCTTTGTAGGAGGGGAGGAGACGGAGGGTGCTGCCACTGGTTCATCATCGTCGCCAAAAGAGACCAAATCAGGGGTTGGCGCCTTCGGAGGAGCAGGCTTGGATTCGGGTCGAGATGTTGGCTCACTTCTTCGAGGGGCTGAATATCCGCTATTATCACCTTCGTCGTACTCCTCAAACCGGTTTGACCTCCGACTAGCATCCCGGAATTCGCTGGTATTTCCGTTGAAGCCGCCTCCATCGCCATATACTCCACCGCTGAAGCCTCCGAAGTTCGCATCTTCGCTGCCAAATCCACCAAACCGGGAGCTGCCCCCTCCACCAGAGAATCCGCCCACGCCTATTCCTCCTTCGAATCCACCGAATTTGTTCCTATTAGCCTTTGCCTTCTTCCTTTCTGCACGAATCATATCAACATCGCCTAGCAACTTGGCAAGTTCTTGAGACCGGTTGCGGATATTTATTCCTTGGTCTTTACCATTGGGGTCGATATAATGAAATTGGCGAAGCATTCGCAAAAGTGAAATGTGAGAGCGTGCATCATCGACAACCCTTTCCGAACCATTCTTGACTAGAAACTCAAGCAGTTGTAGAGACTAAACAATGTAAAATGTTGTGTTAGACAACCTTCGAACAATTTATACCGTGAGAAGGGTGGGATGTAGGCCAATACCTTATATATCTGACGCCATTCTTCTGCAGATTTCTCCGTAAAACGTTTATAGATCATTGGCATTATCTCGTTAAGCAGTTGGCTATATGAAGATAACAGTTAGCCATTGACGTTTTTTGAAGTTTGATACTGTCGATGGAACTGACTAGCTGTGTGTTCCGTTTGCGATTTCCTGCATAAGGGTCGAAGATGCACCCCAAGGCTCGTTGTTCGTAGCTTCCCGGACCTATAAATTCGAGTAAAATTAACCGTTAGCCACAGAGCTTGGGTAGTTTTTCGTATGGCAGAGAGGGCGCTGACCTTTGCTTCCATCTCAGTGTAATTCATCATAGCTAGACAGATCACAGAGTTAGTCAAATGAAACCACAACAGTTGATGGCCCAAGTATTGGCAAGTCTCATATACAGGATTATATTCCTAATCAAATCACGTACCATTTTGTACTTTGCGGACGCCTGCTTTGATATCATACAGACTCAGGTTGCTGACCTGGTCCTTCAACGAATTGAAGTCCATGACGAATGGACCTTATCTGGACTCAAATACTATTTCCAAAGAAAGGAGCAAAGAAATATTATAGATCAACTGCGCCGTATACTGTCTGTAGGCGTTTCTCCAGAGCGGTTGGTCAGACGCGGAGTGTTGCTGCAAAGGGTGATCGTTGGTTTGATGGCGGAAAGTCGTAATAGACGGAGGATGCCCGAGGCTGTAGCTGGAATGAAGGGTGTAATCGCATAAAACGCACTATGCCGGAGGATATTGAAGGCGGAAGCGTTTCACTCCTCGAGTGGTTGATGTCGTTGGGCGACGATGCTGGCGTTGGTTGTTGTCAAGTTGAGTAGCGAAGGAGGTTTTAACTCGTTATCTTCCTGGCCGCGTCCTTGGTGTTCGCCGATCACAACGTGACAAAACAGCATCCCCCATTGAAAGTGGCCTCAGGCTCAGGGGTGGCGCCAACGAAAATGCACCACAAACTGCTAACAAATATCATCAGAATCGTACAATACATAAATTGTAATGGATTGTAAAGCTATCTACTGTTGGAACGAAGTATCTATTTCATACAGGTACCTACACATGAAGAGAAACGTTGTGCCACCGGGACACATATCTCCGTTCAGGCAGCACAGAAAGGCAAGGGCCAAAAAGCTAGCATACAGGAAACGAATGTCCAGTTCATAATCATGATACCTCGTAATGGAAACTAGATATATGCCGATGCAGGGAGTGATATCTTGGGTAAAGTAAAACATCAGACAAAAAGAATAGATAAAAAAAGAAAACCGTAAAACAGCGACATCATTAAACCGCTATTCCAGCACCGTCACCATGGTATAGAAGCACCGAAACGAACAACAACATAAAGGGGGAATAAGGAAAAGAAGACATAAACAAAAGGGAGTTAAAATGGTAGTAGTAAGCGATGAGGGTAAGAAGAAAATAAGCACGAGAAAACCGGTCAACCCAGTCCACCTGTGCCAGTGGCTTATTCGTTATAAAATTTTCTCATGATCAAATGCAGGAACAAATTGACGTTAACGCGCAGCTGATCCTCAAACAAGTCCATGAACTGCGTGTTGTTGAACTGGGCCTGCAGTAGATCATCCAGTGGAATCTGTGCATTTGCGCCGGGGACCATCATGTTGCCGCTGCTGCCGTCAATCGTGAAGATACCCACTGCGTTGCTTGAAATTGTGAGATCGACACGGTCCCATTGACGTTCCGTGTAGCCTTTCCAGTGGACGAGAACTCCCTTATCTGCAAGGTTTCGGGCAGAGTATTTGTAGGAGCCAAACTTGAATACACGACCTGAACGTTGAAGCTCTCGCTCATGATCCCATTGTTTTGTAAATGGCATTAAGAATCGCTTCTTTCCTTTCTTGTTTTGCAAAGTGATCATGGCTTGTTCAATGTAATCGTTGTATGTCTTTAATTGCCCTTCAAGATAGCTGGATTGGTCGTTCAGTCGGTCCAAGGTTAAGCGGACATTCTCAAGTTCTCGTTGTCGCTGGATTCTTCGTCGATGTTTTGTTCTAATGTCGACAGCGATTTCGTTCAGCAGATCCTGGTACTGGTTGTGTCGACTTATCCTTCCAGCTCTCTCAAGCTCAACAATATGCTGGAGAGCGGTTCGTTTCAGCTCGGTATAAGACATAGCACCAATATCAATTAACGTGTTTGTGTCAGAGTAGGCGCCGCGTTTTCGGTCACCAGCCGACAACTCGTCGCGGACGAGATCTGCCCATCGTTCTTCATCCTCAACGCTTGGTGGTGTGACCAGGATTTCGAGCAAATTGGCCCCTGATTGAACACGAATAATGTATAGGATACATCGTTTGGTTTCAACAAGGAGCGCTTTGATTTCCGCATCCGGGTCTGTACCCCAGAAATTAGTATTTTTCCTGCAACAAACTCCCAGGGTGTATGTTCCACTTACCCTCCATATTATGCAACTTGGGAGTCAATGTAAGGCTGATTTCAGAGGAACTGACGCTCATGAGTTCGTTCTCATTGCTCTTCACACTTCCAAGATCGCGTATCACTTCACGAAGGGTATCTTCGGGGCTCGTACATATGTACGGAGCCTCGGCTGCAATAAGTTGATGGATTGAGAAAATGTCGGACATTTTGATATATAAGGTTGGCTTCGTTTTGGCATACAAGTCGTTGTACTCGTTAATATCAAAGAAAGTTTCCGCATCTTGGACGGTGATAACTATGAATCGTATTAGACATTGCGAAGTTGAGGCATTAAAGGAAAGTTTTACTTACTGTTTCCCCAAATTCCTCCAAGTCTCTGTATTGATTCACTAATATAAGTGTTTAGGGGTTGCAGATAGACGTTTTCGGCACCAAACAACCCTCCAGACGCTGCTTGACCCATCACTTTGCCAATCTCCCCCAGATTTTTCTTTTGCTCCTGCGTCAAAGCCCGTTCAACGACACCCGACCTTTCAGGATCCAAAAGGGCAGGTTGAAGGTAATTTTTCCATACCCATTGTCCTACTAGCTGCAGGATATACCCTCTATCTTCCTCCTCGTACTTAGCTAGCAAATGTTCGTACATCTGCTGGGCAATGAACCGTATTCCAAATGGTAAGCGATGTAACGAATCTTCCAAGAGAGCTAAAATTTGGTCGACGATATCACGAAGATCTTGGAGATGGCGGATGAAAGTTTCTCGTGTCTCTGGGTCTCTGATTGCCTCTTCCCTGGGGACGTCTGGTCTGCGCCGACTTCGTTTTCCTGTTCTCAGTTCCTCGTTGTTGATAGCAGAACGGTAGATTTGCATGGGATCACTTTCTAGATCGAGATCAGCATTATCAATTATAGCTTCCTTGACTAGAGGGCCGAATAGATCCTTTGTAAATTTCCTATCTCGAGGCGTCTTGATGTACGCAGCCAACAACTTTGTCCAGAACGCGTTGCATCGAATGTAGTCCTGAAGTGAAGCCGAATGGTCTATTTCCTCCTTCACTGAGCGTACAATAAGCTTGATCAAGTAGTATTCCTCACGTCTCTTTTGAGAGTAGCCAAACAGTCCCATGACAAGATGTTTTATCCTGTCACAGTCGCGCTCGGAGACGGCTTGCTCTCGCAGTCGTCGAAATACTCTGGCTAGATATTGTGGTTGAGTCTGGAGGAGGAAAAAGAGCTCTTGATAATGTTCTAGCTTCCTTCTGGATGTCTTGTTGAGTGCTTTAAGATCAAACGGATCCTTGGAGGCAATATCGGAGTTCGACAAGACAGCGCCGACATGTCCGCCGAAATGTTTCTGATGCTTGATCACTTCGTCCAGGGTGATTTTGTTCTTCACCAGCAGAGCAATTTTGATGTCCAATTGCGTTATATACTGATCTGCCATCTCATTCTGTCGTACTTGTTGAACGACTGTTTTTCTCAGTCTCTCGAATTCCAGCTCTTCATCAAAGTCAAAGTCACTATCATTCAACAAGTGCACAAATCCCTTTATCGTGCCGACGGGTGGATTCTTGCCGCTTGTAAGGCTTTTGTATGCTTGTCCTTGAATCTTGCCTCTCACAAAGCTTTGGACTTTGACAACCTTCTCCATGTTTTCGCGATAGAACCGTTGCTTTTCCGCAAAACGCTCACGAACCATACTTCCCCGGGCAAGGGATTGGAGTTCAAGAACTAAATCCTCCTCGGCTTCAAGTTCGCCTAAAAGACTGTCCACATCCGCCCTGGCTAGCATAGCCCGTGATACAGCTTGGAGATGGGTGACTTCATCCGTGAAGGTATCGAGTTCTGCTAATAGCCCACCAACGTCTATTCGCAACAAGGCTGCCCGCGCAAGTCCCTGTAGGCGGCTTATTGTATGGTTCTCATCGAGTAAAGTTTCCATATCTTTGTTTTGAGCTCGTCGTAGTAGGAAACCTCGGATGCTGCTTTGGAGTGAAGTAATGCTATCAGCACTGGCGACAAGGGCGCACTTGCAGGCTTCGACATCAGCACGAAGTAGTTGTCCGCGGATGAAACCTTGAAGATTGATAACTGATTTTTCATGGTTGCTGAATTCTTTATTCATCTGTTCAATTTTCCTCCTAACGGCTACGGCCCGTGAAACTGACTGAAGGTCCATCCAGCTGGGACTATATTTGGCTAACAGAGCCTTCTCCCCATTTATCCTGTTGCGCGACGCATTTGCACGAGCGATGGACTGGATGTTCAGCCATACTGGAGCAAACTGGGCCAAGGTGGCCTTCTCATCTTCAACTCTATGACGAACAGCGATTGCCCGAGCCATTGATTGGATGATTAACCAACTAGGGATAGATTTGGCTAACATCGCTTTATCCCTTTCGATCTTGCAACGGGTGGCATTCGTTCTAACTGCAGACTGGATATTTAACCAATTTTGGCTAAACATGGCCAGCGAAGCCTTTTGATCCTCTATCCTGCTCCGGGTAGCAATTGCACGAAAAATTGATTGTATGTCAGTGACAGCGGCGGCTTCTTGCTCTAGATGCCCCCTGTCTATCTGAACTGAGCGCCGTAAGAGCATTCCTCTAATGGCAGACTGAAGGAAATGAACTGTTCCCTCGGCATCCTTGGTCTCTTCGTATCGATCGTGTTCCAGCTTCCTTGCAAGAGCGCCACGAATAGCTGCTTGGAAGCTTTTGATACCATGTTCTTCTCTTCGTGCCAGGGTATGTATGTGCTGCACTTCAGCCTTTGCTTTTTTGGCTCGGACCAAAGCTTGGAATTGTAGGATTTGCTCTTCTGCGGCTGTACACCAGTATTGATCGTTTTTCTGACGCATCCGAACTACAAATCCTCGAGCAGCCGACTGCAAGTCTGTAGCAAATCTCTGCATACCCAACCGATAATCGGCTATCTGCCGGGCCCAGTCGCCACGTATTCTAGACTGCAGATCTATTAACAAGTGTTCCTCGTCCCATAGTCCTTGCATCAAATCTCCCAGTCGCAGCCTAAGGAGTGCTCCTCGAGCTTGTGATTGCAGGTCAGCTACGGAGTCTTCGTTTTCGTTCAACTCCCTAGCTATCCTTTCTTCTTCTGTTTCAATAGGCTCGGGCTCAGGCTCTGGTTCGGGCTCCGGCTCGGCGCCAAACTTGGCTCCCATGCCAGAGAAGCTAGGCATAGTCACTCCTGCCTGATCAAGGCCGCGTTGTGTTTGTTCCAATTCATGGTGTTCGAATTCTAGTTGACCAACAAGATTGCCAATGCGGAAGTCGACAACGCTGTTCTTATACAAGAGCCAAGACAGCGCGTGGATGCAGTGGATAACCTTTGGAATGTTTTTCCTTTCATAAAGGTCTATCAGTTCGAATCTAAAAACTTCTGGGAGTTCGATTTCGTCCAAGAAGCGGAAAAATAGTGCAATATTGTCGGAATGGCGGAATTGAAGCTTTGGGCTATAAAATATTCTAAGAGTGCGGTGTGGGTATAATGCTTGAACGAGCTCGGCCAAGGTGACACCGTCACGTAGTGCCTCTTCCAGCTGGACAATAGGTGGAATGGGTTTCTGTATAACGTCCTCTATCCATTCTTTGGCCTCTCCAATGTGACATAGATACTCGTAGGCCTGAAGAAACCGACGTTGTTTATCCATCCAGTTCGTCGCAGTCCAGGCAGAGACACCGGCTCGTTTTGAAGCGGTAGCAGCTTTTGGGCCTCCACGGACTGAGTCCGCTCGTTTGAGTCGGCGGCGTCCCTGCAGGCCGACAACAGACGGTGATGCTGTAGCTATGGCAAACTCATCACTGTCACTTTGAGCTATTTGGGAAAGCGTCCTGAGATGTCCGGTTCTCGATTTTTGGAAAGTCTGGAGCTCTGGCGCAGTGAAAGAAGTCTGTAAAGATGGCGTTGCATGAGGAGTAGACTGCGTACGTGTATGGTGAGAACGGCGCATACTTTGAGTCCGCGGTTCGAGAGGCTCGTCTTTTTCCTGTATCACCGGACTTATATGGTCATAAGACGGGCTATTTAGCTGTTTCGAGAAAGGTGAAGTAAATTCGGGTGTTTGGCTGCGCCCCGATTTTGAGTGAGGTGATGTAAACTCGGGCTGCGGAACGAGACCACTCATTGTCTGACTCCTTCCATGGCAGGAAGAAGATGTGGAAGGCCTCGATTTTGGCGGAGTACCGTTGGGAGCCTGTGGCAGAGGCCTCAAGGAACGACGTATATTTCCATATGTCTCTCCAGCACTCATCTGGGTATCGAAGCTTCCCAGGCGTCCACGCTGTTCCGTCTTGCGCTCAGGTGTGTCTGGCATAAAGTCGCTGGGTGCGTGAGACGAGACGGTGCTTGTCCGACTGGGCACATATGAATTGGACGACATTGAGTAAAGTGATGAGTTTGTTGAAGCGGTCGAGCCATGCCGTAGCGGACCATATGACGCCGGAGCCAGCTCGGATTGACCCCTTCTTCTCAGCGACGGAGGATTGGAAGACATCGTTGACGGCGGGAGACGTGTGACGGCGCGGTGTTATAACGGATATTGCCCTTATGCGGCCTAAGCATAGCGTCCCATGCTTCTCTGTGCAGGTCTGGTCCAGGGATATGATAAGGTATGGGCGCGGCGAAGTTGCGACTCAAATGTTTGAAGTGAAGAATCGCAGGTAAACACACTAGAGACCTATCTAGCAGGAGAAAAGAGGCCGGGGTTATATGTAACAGGTGTATATATCTGACTCCTTAGCGCTTGTCAGATGTGACTTTGTTGCTCCGTCGCTCCGTGGCCTCGTCGCTTGGTCGCTTGGTCGCTTGTTTTTGTGCTTTTCTTGCTTGTTGATTTTCTCGCGGGGAGAAAAAAAGGCGAAGAGGAAAACATAGTACCTAAAGGGGACTAGCGCATGTCAAATGCTAATTAGTCATCATGAAGGTTATGATGTAATTAGTTGACAAGTATCTTACATGGACAAGTGGTATTTTACGTCTAACCTTGTTATTGCATTACGCTAAGAAAGAGACCGCGAGGAAAAGGTGCAACCGGACGAAGACAAAAGAAGACAACCAAAGTAGCATGAAAAGAAGATGATCAGAGTCGAGCAGACGGCGAATGGCACCTGGTGCTTAATGTTGAAACACCTGGGGATGCTCTGCAGCCATAGCTCCAACTCCAAACTCATGGATGGCCGTCTTCAAAAGCCCTTCCTACCACCAGCTCAGATCATCAGCATGGGAGCAGCTACTAACCACATAACTACCAGACATCATAGTATCTATATATTATCTATACCTACTTACCTATCTCCATTCAATAGTCACTCCTCCCGTCCGCTTCACTTCACTCAAGGTTGATTACTAAGCTAGTGACTAAGCACAACCCACAAGCGGGAATTATTCCTATAAAACCTCAAAATTTACTTGTTTGATTTTTTTTTTCTTCGGGTTTTTCTCTTTCTTCCCTTGGGAAGAAAGATATCTCCCCGCCAACAGGACGTTTTTTCGAGTCAGACGCTGTTGACGGTACTCATATTTTTTTTTTCTCGTTGACATACAGCCAGGTATAAAATATATACACATTTTCGCCTGCAGAAATGCCTCTATCTAACGGGGATGGCCGCAAAGCCTGCACGGTCACCTCGCTACGTGGGCGGACAGAGTTTGTTGACTGCTCCAAGGCCCTGGACCTCCTGAAAACGGAGTATACGTCTGGAGATGGCCTGGATATCAATGAATTGCTTGACTCGAACAAGCGCGGGGCTTTGACTTACAATGACTTCCTGGTACTCCCTGGATATATCGGTACGGCAGCCATTTCCTTATCGATAGCTCTCCATATGAACAGGCAGTCTAATGATGAATCCGTTTGATAGGATTTCCCGCGTCTGACGTAACTTTGCAGTCTCCTGTAACCAAGCGCATTTCTTTAAACGTGCCTCTACTCTCTTCTCCCATGGACACTGTCACTGAACACTCCATGGCTATCCATATGGCACTTTTGGGAGGCCTCGGTGTGATTCACCACAACTGTTCGGCCGAAGAGCAGGCTGAAATGGTTAGGAAGGTGAAACGATATGAGAACGGGTTTATCCTCGACCCAGTCGTCATCTCTCCAAAGACTACAGTCGCTGAGGTCAAGGACTTGAAGCAGAAGTGGGGTTTCGGAGGCTTTCCTGTGACTGGTAAGTTATACTATATATCATTTGTGTTTTATCAAATTCCTTCCAATGATGTTGTATATCTTATCTTAAACTTTCGTTCAACTGCACGCGGCGAAAGCCGCCCTGGAGAGCAACAGATTATGATCTGAGATTGCCCGTCTCTATGACCCAATCCTTATGGTCTATAGAAGTTGAACAATTTAACTGACTGCTTGCATAAATAGAAAATGGCGATCTTCGCTCCAAGCTGGTTGGTATTGTCACCAGCCGGGACATCCAATTTCACCCTGAGTTGAGCGATCCGGTCACCGCTGTCATGACCACCGACCTTGTAACTGCTCCCTCTGGTACTACCTTGGCTGAAACCAACGAAGTCCTTCGGGCTTCCAAAAAGGGTAAACTCCCAATTGTTGACGAGGCAGGAAATATTGTTTCCCTCCTTTCTCGCTCTGATCTGATGAAGAACCTCCACTACCCACTTGCTTCTAAGCTTCCCGACTCGAAGCAGCTTATTTGCGCTGCGTCTATCGGCACTCGTCCCGCTGACAAGGACAGACTTCAGAAGCTTGTTGAGGCTGGCCTTGACGTTGTTGTCCTCGACAGCAGCCAGGGTAACAGCATGTACCAGATCGATATGATAAAACACATCAAGGCTACACATCCGGAAATTGACGTCATTGCCGGTAATGTCGTCACTCGTGAGCAAGCCGCGTCTCTAATTGCTGCCGGTGCTGATGGCCTCAGAATCGGCATGGGCAGCGGTAGTGCTTGCATCACCCAGGAAGTTATGGCAGTTGGCAGGCCTCAAGCAGCCGCTGTTCACAGCGTAACTGAATTCGCCTCCCGTTTCGGTGTTCCTTGTATCGCCGATGGTGGTGTTCAGAACGTGGGTCACATTGTCAAGGCTCTTGCCATGGGTGCTTCCACCGTTATGATGGGCGGTCTTTTGGCTGGTACCACCGAGTCTCCAGGCCAGTATTTCGTCAGCCGTGAAGGACAACTCGTCAAAGCCTACCGTGGAATGGGTAGCATTGATGCCATGGAGGAAAAGAAGGCCGGCGGCAGCTCCGCTGGCAACAAGAGCACTGCCGGTACTGCCAGATACTTTTCTGAGAAGGACAGCCTGCTTGTCGCTCAGGGTGTCTCTGGCTCCGTCCTAGACCGTGGCTCCATCACCAAGTTCGTCCCATATCTCATTGCCGGTGTCCGGCACTCGTTCCAGGATATGGGCGTCAAGAGCTTGCGTGAACTACACGATGGTGTCGCGAAGGGAACTGTTCGCTTCGAGGTTCGAACTACCAGTGCCCAAGCCGAAGGAAATGTCCATGGCCTACATACCTACGATAAGAAGTTGTACTCTTAACTAAAGGCATCGCGACGTTTGCCAATTTATTTGCTAAGTCCTTATCTCCTTGACATATTTATTACTGGCGAAGTTTCAGGAGTTCCGAAGTGGCGGTGTATCTGTCGGTCAAGGGCGGTTTGGCATGCCAGTTCTAATGTTCAACTAATCAAAAGTTTACGGATTCTTCAAGCGATAGTTATGTAGCCGATGACAGAATGGACAGTAATTCATATATCTTCAATAATCTCCGAATATTCGTAACTACCTGACCGCTTGTGCCGGCTGTTATATCACGTTGACTAACTCGGTAATGAAACAACCTCGGGATGATCGATAGCCTTTCCCTAACCTGACTAGTAGACCGGCGAGTTATTGATGCCATCACAGGTCAAACTCGTATACACAAGAAACAGCACGACACAATGATGGCCTGTGTCCTCGTTGAATGTCACTTTCATGGGCTTCATCGCGTAAATCTGAGTTTTATCTTCCCCTCTTACTTTCTACGGCGGCATATTTCCGTGTCTAGGGTTCTACAACAGTCGTGCTTTTGTCCAAACAATTCGTTGTGCAGAGCAGTGCAATCAAAGAGAAAGAATACAATAAATTATACCCAAAGCGCAGCTTACTCAAGCGTTCGCATTATACCACAGTATCGAAAGCCAATGGCGTCAAGTGATAATAAAAAGCAGGCAATCGACTATAAAGTCCCCCGGCCAAGTTCAAGGTAACGGCTGTCCCTAGAGAATGATGATGGCATTCACTCCACTGACTCTACAGGTAGTGTTATACTTGTATCCCCTCAAAATGAAGTCCTCCTTCTTCATCGGGTAAAAACATCCTCTTCATTCCCGTCAGCGCACGTATTTCCGGGTGGAAACATATCTTCCCAGGACGGCGACTTTCCACCAGCAGGGCACCCGGATAGCCATGACGATGGAGCTTACTATAGAAAAGCTGCAATCCGTGAAATGTTCGAGGAGAGTGGAATACTCCTTGCGAAAAAACGGAGTACCGGCCAACTAGTGAAGCTTAGTCCAACAGAGCGAGAGGAAGGCCGACATGCCATCCATAGGAATGAGATCACATTTGATCAATGGTTAAAGAGGGTAGATGCAGACGCTGTGGCAGATACCGGTAGGTTGCTCGCCCTCGGTATACCTTCAAAGAGGACGCTTGGAATGTTAACAAAGGGGCACAGGAATGCTGATTCCCTTCTCACATTGGATAACACCTGCTATAAATGCTCGCCGTTTCACAACACAAATGTACATTTATTTTCTACCTCCTGCAGATGATACCACCAGCGACATTGCAAATACAGGATTAAGCAGCGAAGAAGTCCAAGTGCCTACTTCCGATGGCGGGTTAGAAATTACCGAAGCGCAGTTCCTCCCGGCATCGGAATGGCTACGACGTGCGAAGATGGACGAGATAATCATGTTCCCTCCTCAGGTGCTATTACTGAGCTTTGTCGCGCAGTTTCTCGAAAGAGCAGGTGAAAGGACACCAATACCGGCTGCAGAGTCTTACAAACGACGCGAAGAGCTGATCAAGTTTATTCACTCGGGTGACCCTGCATGGTCTCATAAATTCATTTCCCCACGGCCGTTAGGGAGCATGCCTGATGGCAGATTAATTATGGATTTAAACCACCCAGGCCAGGAACTGGAAGGAACTGAGAAAAGAGGGGATCCAGAAAGGGTTATCCTTGTGAAGTTCAAAAAAGAAGGGCCCAGAGGAGTAGAAGTACGATGGCTCAGCGAGGTTAAATCTCATCTGCGGGATCATAAGAGCCCGCTCTAGGTTGGATTCTATAACCGTCACCGCCACTACGAAGGCAGAGTATCCTGCCTTTATATATATATATATTGAGGCTTATATCCTAGATAGATTGTCGAGTTGTGTTTGTCCCTCTTTGCATGTTATTTAAACTTTTGATATTGAGCCAAACCTAAAACTCACCCGTTGCATGAATCACATGACCCACAATCGAAAAAAAATGATTTTCACTTTATCTCGCGCAGGCAGCAAGAGCATCAAGACATCGACAAGAGAAGATAGCATCTGATTCCATTTCCCTTGCCATCTCCCTTCGATCAACCCTTTCTCACCCAAATTTACTACCGTCTATTCCGCCAAAATGGAGAACGAGAAGGGCGAAATCGTCGATCTGTACGCACAAACTCCCAGGAGCCCTTATCAAATCGCCCAAAGGGTTGAACGAATTGTCTCAACAGATGCTAACGAGAATCTATATGAAATAGCTACGTCCCACGCAAGTGCAGTGCCACCAACCGTATCATCAAGGCCAAGGACCATGCTTCCGTCCAAATCAGCATCGCTAAGGTTGACGAGAACGGCCGATACACCGGTGAAAACCAGGTCTATGCTCTCTCCGGATTTGTACGAGCTATGGGCGAGGGTGATGACAGCTTGAACCGTTTGGCTCAGCGGGATGGATTCTTGAAGAACGTCTGGAGCGCAAGCCGATAAGCGTGAGGAGAGAAACAGTGGTTTAGACGTCAAATGGTACCTATCACCCGCACATTTACGTTACCCGAAAGCAGACAAAATATGTGACTGGGAACCTAAGAGAATACTGAAGGAGTAGGATAAATGCTGATATGATCTTTTGTGCAGGTCGATTTTCTTGAAACGAGGTCGGAATGGTCAATGGGAATGAATATTTCAGGAATTTCCGATGTTATGAAGACTCTGGCGCTACTCTAATCTTTTTGGAGGATGCGACGATACAAACCCATTGAATAAGAAGATAATGGTGGAAACGAACAGAGCAAAAAAATTGAAATAAATTAAAATTTCTAAATAATTCCTTCTCGTTGCCAGCTCACCTCAGGCTCCGCATACACCATTTTCCTTCCTGGATAGCCAAGTGGCTAGAGCGCAATAATCATATCGTTTGTTTCTCAAAATATACCAGTGTTCGTCAAGCTATCTGCCTGTCATCATCTTCTATCCCAGTTCCTCAACTTGCATATGAACCGGTACTCCAACTTTCTGGTTCTTATCGAGATATGTGAATAACTATCCCGGTTCCCCAGACGTGAGCGAGAAGGTCGATTCACAAAAACCAGCTTTTTGTTGTAATCATTATTACCGGGAGAATGACAGCTGCCTTCTGATGAGCTGTGACGGTCAAGATCACACGTCAGAGCACAGATACGGGCAGGACAGAATTATCACATGTGATTATTCTTTTTAAGCATTTTGTTCTTTCTTTTCTTTGAGACTCCATAGCTCTTCTGGGGGGAGAATGATCACGTCATGGTCACTATGAATACAATTCCTTGCAGCGGCTAAAGAATACGGTTTAAAGCCCGCCAGAAGGTGTAACAATGGGCTGGTGTTTGTTTTTGTTATTAATTTATTCCAGGAGTATCATTCGACAAGTCTATTATCCTCGTCCCATGATTGAAGTAAGGCTGTAGAAAAGCAGGAGTAAGGTGGAGAGTAGGCGATTGGGATTGCTTGATGCCTCATGTGCACAATATAGCTTCTGCAGATGGTGCTTCTTTTATTCCTTCTCTAGGCGCACAGCAGGATTCGACTCAACGAAGTTTAGGTTTACTTTATGTCCTACCAAATCTCGAATATTGTTCACACCATATCTGTTCACGAAGTAAAAACAAAGATATGTTAGCAAGCTGTCGAGGTCGGTATCTAAAGCCAGACATATAGCTCGCACGGACTAGAGGAACGGGGAGGGACAGGGCTGTTGGGATAGTTAGGGGACAATACTTACTTGATCATGGTTGGTCGCTCCAAACTCAATCCCCAGCCATAAACCTGCATATCACTTGGGATACCCATTGGCTCCAACATTTCCGGCCGGAACATACCGCTATTTCCAATTTCGACCCATTTCTTCAAAGTGGGATGGTAGCCGAAGATCTCCATACTAGGTTCTGTGTAGGGGTTGTAGGCGGGCTTGAAGCGTAGACCATGGATACCCATCTTAGCAAAGAAGACTTCCATGAAGCCGATCAGACCGCCAAGCGAGAGGCCGAAATCTGCAATGACACCTTCGATCTGCTGGAACTCCGCAAGATGAGTTGCATCGAGAGTTTCGTTGCGGAAGACCTTGTCAATACTGAAGTAGCGGGCGGGACGTGGATTTTGTGCTAGCTTTTGAAGCATATAAGCTGAGACAGAGGTGGTATGTGTTCGTAGGACAAGGCGCAATGATTCATCCGCACTCCAGGGATAACGATAACCAATAGAGCCATTAAAACCCGTCTCATGAGCAGCGTGAACGTTCTGCCAGTATTTCTCATAGTCCAGTGGTTTGAGTGTAGTCTTTGAAGAAGCATAGCGGTGGGCCTGGTTTAAACTCGAGAGATGGATGTCACCTTCCGGGTCAGCCCTTGGTTTATCCGCCTGTACCGGGTCGGAGATATAGAATGTGTCTTGGAGATCGCGGGCAGGGTGTTGCTGTGGCACAAAAAGAGCGTCGAAGTTCCAGAAACCAGATTCAACGTAACGGTTGGTGGGCATTTCCTGGAAGCCCATTTCAAAGAAAATTTGTCTAAATTCATGGCGGACTTTATTCAATGGGTGCAAGGCACCACTTGGGGTGATGGCTCCCTTGGCCTTGAAGTTATATCCCTTCAGCTTTGCCGTCCTCCATGAGCCATCCGCTAACATTTCCACAGTTAGATCTGTTTCCTCCTTTACAAATTCTCTGGCGTACTTGGGGCCTTTCCAAAACTTATACACAAACACTTTTTGGGTATTGATAAGCTTCCGCTTCCGTAGCTCCGCTAGAACTTTGGCGTCTGGGTGTGTCTTCGTTTTTTGGATGGTAACCAGCTGCTCACGAGAGGTGTCCTCTATTGAATCTGTAGCTGCCTTCAATGTATCTTTGTCCTTTTTAATCCACCCCTTTTTAAATGCGTTTCCTGTCCCAACCTTGGCAATCTCCTTTCCAACAATATCCGGCAGGTCAGCAATCTTCAACCCCTCCATTGCAGCGCTGACGGCTTCGAAGACTCTGGCTTCATGGCTGCCATTGGCGACAATACCTTCAGCCTCAGGCAGTAGATACACTTCTTCGCTTTCGATCGTCTCTTGCAACACCATATCCCTTGCGGCAAGACGGTCTAGAGCAGCCTTGACGCCCTGCGCGGGGGCTGATGGGAAGGCATGGTTCGACAATTGCGGCTCATCCGTCGAAGCGAGGACGTCTAAAACTTGGGAAGTAAGGTCAGAGGCCATCTTTGCAGCTTGCACTCCAATCCACAGCCCGCTAACCACAGGAAATGAGCGAAGCTGGCACAGGTTGTCTGGTAATTACTCGGGCGTTTTTTGATAGTCGATGACTCTTATCTTGTGTGGATGGGGCATTTTGATAGGATCACGTGAGTCGCGCAGTCAGAGGCCACACGTTACGCATTTTTGGAAGAGAAGAGAAAGAAGAAACATGTATGACAACATGTTGGTTGTATGAATCCGTCCGGGCGTAGTGATTTGACTCTTGTAAGATGCTGATCCCAATAATTCGTGGCTAATATGGCTGTCACTCTTTGTACCTAATCATATTTCTTTGCTCCAACTAACTAATGGATTTACATGAGAAAGAGAGATAACCATTAGATAGACATAGCTAGGTGATGCGCCTCCCCGAGGACGGATCATCAAGGGTCCGATCGCGGCTCGAAATGACAGATTAGAAATCTCCCAAGTACCTTGCTCAAGCACATTTTTATACGAATATATATAATGATAATAACTAATAATAATAGTACGGAGTACTCCGTAATAATCAGGACATAACTCATGGCAGCATTGCGGAGACAATCCTCCCCACCAATAACTGCTGAACTGCATCAACTAACTAACTGGGCTACGGGCAGCCGCACCATTGGCCCAATAGATTATCCTTCGACAGCCTCACATCGACCACAGACAAGAGCATTCAAAATACTTCGTACCTAAAAGTCAAACCAAACGACGAGACGGGGTATACTCCGTACATCAAGGGTGAACCCCTGTACCGCGTATACGGGTACATGAGTAGTGATGCCAGGGTGATGCCCGCTTCCGGGAGAGGGGCGAAGAGGGAGGGAAGGGGGAGGAAGAAGCCGTCCAGGAGTCGACCAACCGGCGATGGGGGAAGAGACGGTTCCCTGGCCATGGACATCTCGACTGACCCTCTCATCTATCCGACACTAAAGCTAGTTTAATACGGCAACTATAGTTTCCACACATATACCTATTTCGCATCCCTCACACTCACCCTCCCGGCGTGCGGAGGGGCTCACTTGACAGCTGTTCTGTCGACGGGACAGTCCAGATTCCAATCTATGCACATGATTGGAAAATCCGTGGAAGGGGGCATGTACAGAATCATCTGGCTGCACAACCAACGGGACTTGAAAAAAAAAGAAAGGAAGAAAGAAAGAAAGACGGGCGAGAGGGAGAGAGAGAGAGAGAGAGAGAGGCTGTATTTGTGTATGCAGTATATTACTTATCAGGCAAAAGGTCCAGCAGTGCTGACGAGTGGCTTCATGCTTGTTCGTCTCCGCCCCAGCAAAGAGGGAAGATGGAGAAAGGCTTCGAGTATGTTGACTATCAACGTACATAGCCAAGGACTAAGCGTATCCGACCAACTACCTGGCGCGTTACCGGCTATGTACATGTCCAGTACATATAAAATAGTTGACTCCATCGCCAATATGCAGGTAAAAAGGAGAAAAGGAAGAATTAACTGAACGGAGACATCACCACGAGCTTACCGTCTCTCTCGGAGTTTGGACAGAGGGACTCACCCCATTGGCTGCCTGTGATGCCGGTGTAACCCATCCCATGCGGAGGCGAGGCTTTTCTCTTTTGCTCTTGTCAACTTACTCTCATTTTTTGCCCTGCTCCTGCTCTCTCTCTCAACTGTACGTCGTCTGATATGTTGGCGATCAAGCTGGGCGACCAAATTAGCCTAGATCCAACCCGAGCCCCATCCCCGTCCATAGGCAAGACCAGCAACGCTTGCGTTTCAAGTGACGGTGCTGATGCTGCTTAAACTCGCCATCGTTTAAACTAAAAGGGGGGATGGACGGGTAGATGCCTTGGTGGTGGTGGACAGAGGGCAATCACGCTGCTATCCCTCTCCTGGGGAAGAACCTGCGGCTAGGTTCAGTCTTAACATGCTAGTCCTTGCTGGATAAATAGCTAGTCAGTCAACCGTTCGTTTAAAGAAAAGAAATAAGAAAATAAAAAAGCCCGCCAGCGAGTCTCCAACGCTCGCACAAGCACAAACGGGGGTGTCAGGACGAGAGGGCAACGAGAGCACTGCCAAAAAGCAACGAGCATCCCCCAGTCGCTGGACGCTGTCGGTCGTCGTCATAAGTAGCGGGCAAGTACCATGCATCCGCAGCCTGCAGGGTGAAGGAGTACCGTTGCAAAGAAGTGACTTCTGCCTCGTCCTCGTCGCCTTGTCTAGTCTTGTCTTCTTGTCTTCGTCTTGTCCTCCTGTCTTCCTGTCTTCCGGCGTCTCTCTGTCTTGCCTGTCTCGCTGTGTCTCCTGCCTTTCCTCACCTGTCGTCGTTTCTCGCTCTTAGTCAGCAGGAGGGAGTAAAAAAAGCTAGGACCCCTTTTTACCGCTCACGCACCGCCTGATTTTCTGCCACTTCCTCCCCCTTTGCCCGCCTTTTCTTCCTCCCGAACTTCGACTTCGACTTCGACTTCGACTTCGATCTCAAACCTGCCCTCCCTCCCAACCCTCGCTCACTCACGCTCTCTCGCCCGCATCTCGGTTTCGGCGTCGTCTTTGCCCACCGGCTATCGCTGTCTCGACCGGCTGCACTGCTTACGGGCCTCTCGCGGCCTCGTTGTAGTGTTGGCTTTTCTTTCCTGGACTCCAGAGACGTTCGAACCCGCCGCTCCTCACCTTCTCGCCTACGCTACCCCGGATCGCCCTGTCGACCTCATCTCACCCACCAACTCCTTTTTCTTTTCTTTTCTTTTTTTTTCCGCTTTCTTTCTCTTACATAGCACCCTCCCTCCCAGTCTGATTGCCTCCAATGTCGAATTCGCGCTGACTGCGTGGTGTGTACGCATCTGAGCTTTGGATATCAAGCCTGCTGTTTCCGTTGTCGTCGACTCGTTCCACGTTGCAAGTGGTTGAAACGGGCGAGAAACAAAAACGAGGCTAAGATATACAAGGAAAACCAAAAAAAAAAAGCAAGCTAAACCGGCCAGAGGAGACACGGAATAAGTATTCTTAAAAAACGAAAAGGAAAGGAGAACTATTATATTATTTTTCAGCGACCATCATGGCTCCTGAGGACGAGACGTTGTTAGCTGCTGCTGCTCTACTTCAGAGCCTAGCAAAGGATACACCACTACCCGCCTCGTTCCCCTTCAACGGCCACAAGTACAACCAACCCCCAAAGAATGGTTGTGATGTCGCCAAAATCAAGCTTCCCGGGTTAGAAAGTGATGGAAAGGCCGCATTAGAGCGTGAAATAGCTGCTCTTATCGGGCGAGTTAACACTTTACAGTTCTTTGTGGTATGTTTAGAAAGCCATTTACTCCGTCCCTGTCCTGTGGTACCATAGGGGTTTATGATCTCTCTAACTCTCCTTTGCAGCCGCCCTCTCGATACACTCGTGCGTCGAATCTTAAGAATATCAATAATGAGCCCGACAACGATCAAGACACCGATTCGAAAACCATTTGTGAAGATGACACCAGCGAAGATGACGATGAAGATGATGACATTGTCCAAGTTAAGAATCCCTATGAAGACGATATAACTTATCTACGAAACCGTGTTCAATTACAGGCCGACGAGATCAAGTTGCAAAAGGAAATAATCACTCGTGTGCGGGACGAACTACGGTTACAAGAAGAGCGTACCAAGAACGCTTTGGTCAAGGTGGAAACAGAAGATGTTGGCCTTCTCGAGCGTGAACTTCGGAAACATCAACAAGCAAACGAGGCTTTCCAGAAAGCTCTCAGGGAAATTGGAGGTATTATCACTCAAGTCGCCAATGGTGACCTCTCCATGAAAGTACAGATACACCCACTGGAGATGGACCCCGAAATTACCACTTTCAAACGCACCATAAACACCATGATGGACCAACTCCAGGTATTCGGAAGTGAAGTGTCTAGGGTGGCACGAGAGGTCGGAACTGAAGGTATTCTTGGTGGTCAGGCCCAGATCACCGGTGTTAACGGCATCTGGAAGGAGTTGACTGAAAATGTCAACATCATGGCTAGCAATCTCACTGACCAGGTCCGAGAAATTGCTACTGTCACCACTGCCGTCGCCCATGGTGACTTGAGTCAAAAGATCGAACGCCGCGCTAAAGGAGAGATTCTTGAACTTCAACAGACAATCAACACTATGGTGGACCAACTTCGGACTTTTGCAACTGAAGTCACTCGTGTCGCTCGTGATGTCGGAACTGAGGGTGTTCTGGGCGGCCAAGCTCAGATTGAGGGGGTGAAGGGCATGTGGAACGAGTTGACGGTTAATGTCAACGCTATGGCCGAGAACCTCACCACTCAGGTCCGAGACATTGCTATGGTTACCACTGCTGTCGCCAAAGGTGATCTTACCCAAAAGGTTCAAGCCAATTGCAAGGGTGAAATCCTGGCATTGAAGACCATAATAAATTCAATGGTCGATCAACTTAAGCAATTTGCCCAAGAGGTCACCAAGATTGCCAAGGAGGTCGGAACGGATGGTATGCTTGGTGGCCAAGCTACCGTCCATGACGTTGAAGGAACCTGGAAGGATCTTACAGAGAATGTGAACGGCATGGCCATGAATCTTACGACCCAGGTCAGAGAAATTGCTGATGTCACTACTGCTGTCGCAAAGGGAGATCTCACCAAAAAGGTTACTGCTGAAGTCAAGGGAGAAATCTTGGACTTGAAGAACACTATCAACAGCATGGTGGATCGATTGAATACATTCGCCTTTGAAGTCAGCAAGGTTGCTCGAGAGGTCGGAACTGATGGAACTCTTGGTGGGCAAGCGAAGGTGGACAACGTCGAAGGAAAGTGGAAAGACCTAACCGATAATGTCAACACTATGGCTCAAAATCTCACTGTCCAAGTGCGAGCTATATCTAATGTCACACAGGCTATTGCTAAAGGAAACATGAATAAGAAGATCGACGTCCACGCGCAAGGTGAAATACTCACTTTGAAAGACACTATCAACAACATGGTTGACCGACTTGCCAACTTTGCTCATGAGCTGAAAAGAGTTGCCCGTGATGTCGGCGTTGATGGAAAGATGGGAGGGCAAGCCAACGTTGAAGGTATCTCTGGAAGATGGAAAGAAATCACGGAGGATGTCAACACCATGGCAGACAACCTTACCTCCCAAGTGCGCGCCTTTGGAGAAATTACGGATGCCGCCACAGATGGTGATTTCACAAAACTCATTACTGTTGAAGCATCTGGGGAGATGGACGAACTGAAAAAGAAGATCAACAAGATGGTATCAAGCCTCAGGGACAGTATTCAGAGAAATACAGCTGCTCGAGAAGCCGCCGAATTGGCCAATCGCACAAAGTCCGAATTCCTGGCTAACATGAGTCACGAAATCCGTACGCCAATGAATGGTATTATCGGTATGACCCAGCTTACTCTTGATACTGATGATCTCAAACCCTATCCTCGTGAAATGTTGAATGTCGTGCACAGCTTGGCCAACAGTCTGTTGACCATCATTGACGACATACTCGATATCTCTAAGATCGAGGCTAATAGGATGGTCATTGAGAGTATCCCCTTCACAATGAGGGGTACAGTTTTCAACGCCCTGAAAACCCTTGCTGTGAAGGCCAATGAGAAGTTCCTCAACTTGACATACCAGGTTGACAGTTCAGTGCCCGATTATGTTATTGGAGACCCCTTCCGTCTCCGCCAAATCATCCTTAATTTAGTTGGAAATGCGATTAAATTCACTGAACATGGAGAAGTCACTCTTGAGATCAAGAAGCATGTACCTCCACCTCCTGCAGAGGGCGAGCCTGAACGTGAGGTCTGCGCCGACGACGAGTACGCCTACGAGTTCTCCGTCCAGGATACTGGTATTGGTATTGCTAAGGATAAGTTGGACATGATTTTCGATACTTTCCAGCAAGCAGACGGGTCTACTACTCGCAAATTTGGTGGCACCGGGTTGGGATTGTCTATCTCCAAGCGTTTGGTTAACCTAATGGGCGGTGATGTCTGGGTCACCTCAGAATACGGTCGCGGTAGCACCTTCCACTTCACCTGCGTTGTCAAGAAGGCAGATCAATCTCTGGATGTTATTGCCTCCTCTTTGATGCCGTACAAGGGACATTCCGTCCTATTCATTGACAAGGGATTCACCGGAGACTATGCTGAAAACATCATTGGTATGCTCAGGGCCCTTGACTTGGTTCCAATTGTTGTCCACAATGAAAACAATGTGCCTCCGCCAGAAATCAAAGACGAAGAAGGTAAAGAGGCAGGACATGCTTATGATGTTATCATTGTCGACATGATTGAAACTGCACGAACCCTCCGGACCTTTGATGAGTTCAAATATATTCCCATCGTGCTTCTATGCCCAGTGGTCTCTGTCAGCTTAAAATCTGCGCTCGACCTTGGAATTACATCATACATGACAACCCCATGTCAGCCAATTGATCTTGGCAACGGCATGCTCCCTGCACTAGAAGGCCGTTCTACGCCCCTCACCTCGGACGACTCTCGGTCTTTCGATATCCTCCTGGCAGAAGATAATGATGTTAACCAGAAGGTTGCGGTTAAAATATTAGAGAAATGCAATCATGGGGTCACTGTCGTCGGCAACGGACTCCAGGCACTTGAGACTATCAAGAAGCGCCGCTTCGATGTTATCCTTATGGATGTCCAGATGCCAATTATGGGAGGTTTTGAAGCAACCGGTGAGATCCGTGCATACGAGAAGCGCCATGGCCTGACAAGAACACCCATCATTGCCTTGACTGCACACGCTATGTTAGGAGATCGCGAGAAATGTATCCAGGCGCAAATGGACGAATACCTCTCCAAACCACTTAAGCAAACCCAGATGATGCAGACGATTCTGAAATGCACTACTCTAGGAGGCCGACTCCTTGAGAAGAGCAACAATGACTCAAGACTTGGCATTAACACGCAAATGCATGGCAGAAATCGAATGCACTCTTCTGATTATCGGGACCGACGCCCACGCCCACCACGTCACCTAGATTCACGAGCTTACGGAGGTGCTGAAGGACCAACAAGCTCAACGCCTGAAGCCAAGAAGGCTACGACTAGTGAAGATGAACCAGTGAGTCGTTCATAGTACATATCGTAAGCTAATCTACATACTTCGTCTACTGACAGTTTGAATAGAGGGTAGTTGAGGTCCCTGATAAGCAATAACCAGCTACAACCCCCCCCCAAAAAAAGGAACCATTTTAACGAAACGGACGGCGTACAAGGAAAGTCGATATCTATTGTGAAAGAGTGCAATGAGGCGGCCCAAATATCCGAGGAGCATACCAATATTTCTTACTATTCTTGGTAAAAAGCGGAATCTCCAATATTTCCCCAACACCTAAAGCGATTTATATCACGTTCTGTATTAATTGCATTTTGGTTGATACTTCGCGGAAATATCCATATTCCCCTACATCCCTTGGCCACATGCATAAACCGTCCTCTTCCTCCCCTAAGCTTCACGAGTTGGATTTATGAAATTATCTGGGCGTTTTTTTGGCGGAGAGAGTTTTGGCGAGTCTGAACTGTTTATTATGCTTGTGCTTTTTGTTTCATCTTTGTTTGCCATCTGGTTTCTTCCGGCCTATTGTTATTGATCACCCCCTCTGTTACGCCTTCATTGCCTTATTTTCTTTGGTCCTATATTTTTTTTTTTTTTTTTTTTTTTTTTTTTTCCCATTACTTTTCCTTTTATTTCCCTATTCCTTGGTTGACTTTGCACTGCCTGTTGAACATACCCATATTTGATCATTTTTGCTCTATCTTTTCTTATTTGCAGTTCGTTTGCAGCAAAGAAGATTAGTCATTTGCGGATGAGAAACAAGACTCTACTCTTACAGTCTATTTGCTTAACCACTCGGTATTTTTGTCCACCTCCCCTTGATCACGTTGATAGGGAAATTTACCATTCGGGTCGTTTCTTTGATCATACCACCCTCTCTTAAGATCGCTGGACTGGTCATTGGCTATATAATAATCTACAAGTCGTTACCTTGCCATGTATTATTACTCCTTGATTCCGCTATCGACCCTTAGTACACATTTGGATACATCATCCGATGCTTAAGCTGGATCTAATAAATAGAAGACGAGAAGAGACCAAGGCTGCAGGGATTTTATGACGCCTTTGCTCTGGACTAAATTAGCTGGCTACAAGCTAAACAATCATCACCTTTGCGTGAGAATTACGAAGTATGCAGCTAATTCCAACATTCGTTACGCGTAGATGAAGTCTTTGAAAAAATTGTTTAATTCGAGAACATCCGGAAAAGCTTTTTGCTTCTAGTCGTAATCTAAAGAAGGAGTAAGGCGTTACCGTTCGTTGCATCAAAATATACGATCAGATATCAAGTATAAGCCACCTACTATGATTATATATTTGGATCTTGTGTGTCCGTGTATGCATACGTCCAAACAGTGACATTATAGTAACTACGTATATAATACAGTGTTTTATTTTGATACTATGAGAGTAAGTCTTAGATCATGGTGTGAATTAGAATGGATGAAAATGCACTCAATAGTCCATCATGCGGTCATACACTTTTATAGTCTTTTTCATTAAGGAGAGTCGTATTTTATATACTATGCAGTCAATCATGAAATAGATAAGGCAATAGGGGTAAGATAGGACCAAGAGAATGCACGCTTGAAATGGGAGAACAAGTAGTGGCGACATAAAGATTATGGGAGAATAACATGGTTTTGCAGTCAGGGAACCAGCAAAGTATCAAATAATACCAAAAAAAAAAAAAAAAAAAAAAAAAAAAAAAAAAAAAAAAAAAAAAAAAAAAAAAATTATCGTAGATTAGTCCGTGTGTAAGGGTTCATGTCATACCAGTGCTCACTTAGTTCCACCATCGACGATGGGGAGAGCCAGTTCCAGTGGGCTGTTGGGAGGTCAGAGTTGGGGGTGTGTATGTAGTGTCTGGGCCGGATGGCTTGGGACCACCGGTTCCGGTACCGGGTGGTGGTGGGTTGGAAGTTGGGGGTGGAGTCTTTGTAGAAATAGTCGTCTCCGGGGGAATGGTGATCGTCTTGGTTCCCTCGTGGATATCGGTGATGGTGATGGTTTGGCATTTGCCGCACTGACCGGGAGGAAGAGTCTGGGGTGGAACGACAATGGTACTTGTTCCCTCGTGGATATCGGTGATGGTATAGGTCTGGCAGCCAGGGCAATGATGTGGCGGAGGAGTAGGCTCAGCTGGCGGAGGCGTGACAGGTGGGGCTTCGCAGCCGTCTCCGCGACATTCAGTGACGGTGACGGTGACGGTGACTGTGGCCGGTGGTGGGCAGGTGTATGCTCCGCAGTTATCACCGTTGCAGGTCTGGGAAGGCTGCGTTGGGGTAGGCTCCGGGGTGGCATGGGTTTCAGTAACTGGATAGCAAGTGGTTGTGGTATAGGTGGAAGCGGTGAGCCAGGTGCTGTACCAGGTGTAGCCCGGGATGGTTGCAACGGGAGTAGAACAAGGAACAAACGTGGTGCGGGTGATGGTATCAGTTCGAGTAGTGGTGATGGTCTGGGTGCCCGCCCCCGGAGGGTTGGGAGTAGGCGGCTCGGGGGTGGTTGTTGGAGGGTTGCCGGTTGTCATTGGGGGCGGCTGGTGGTGGCCTCCCGTCCCCCTGACTTCAAGATCTGGATACTTGAAGCCAGGGCGGGCAAGGGTGGTGCCAGCAAGAGCAACGACGACGAGGGGTATTAAAGCAACCATCTTGAAGGCAGAGTCGATCAAAGGGCAGCAACAGCAGAGTAACGAAGGAAGTATCTGTTATATAGGGAACAGCCAAACCAAGCGAGTGACGCGGCTCGAAACGAAATGGTTAGGAAAGGGGAGGAAAGAATATAGTATTCCTCTCAGCTATGAACTGAACGATAGTGGATTATGATAGAGAGAAAAGGATATCAGGAGGGTATCAGCCGGGCAAGGCAGTAATATTTATACGCTTTTCTCCGGACGTAATATACATCCAACGTCACCGGGAGCGGCTGGCCTCGATCTCTCCAGCTCGAAGGCTTAGATATCGAGAGACATGTTGCTTTTCCACCTTATCCGAAGCTCCATCTGAGCTCGGGACTCCACCAGCCATGTCATGGCGTCTCCAGACAGCTAAAAGTAGCTGCAACTCAACCGGTTACCATGGCTCCGAGAGACCTGGGGTGCGCGAAGAGACGAACGCCTTAGGCACTTGTTCCGGTGGCTTCCTCGGCCAGACCCCATAGGCTGCCTGGACCATCGAGCTCGCTACGGTGGTATTAGCTCAGAATAGTATGGTATTTGTAGCGAGACAAAGCCCTGGTATCTGATATGGTTGCCAGGTGAGACCCTCTTGGTTCCATCTACACCAGACAGATGCGTTCCCTCAGGAGCCGCCTGGCGGAACCGCCAGACGTTACGGTGGGATTGCAACCTCCCCAGGAGAGCTCGGTGTGCTCCGTATGCCTCCCTCATCTTTATTCCCGAGAGACGAAGGAGATGCTCTCTGCTCTGAAACGAGCTGAGGTGTGCAGTTCCAGGAGCGCCCTTCCAGCTCCTGATCCTGATTGAATCCAGAAAGCATCGAGATGGAATTGCTGTCCGCAGCCGCCCTCCCTCTATCTATCCCCGAAGCCTCTCCGTCAATAATTGCTCGATCCAGGCGGCCTTGGGCGGCCAAAAATTTGCTGTTGGATGGTTATGACGACAAAATGTCTTGCATCCAACGGTGGGTGGGCGTCTGAAACACGAATCAGACGCCGCGCTGCTCAGCTGGGCGACCTTGGTTTACTCGATGGTTGGCCCCAGGCGATATAAAAATAGTTATAAAAATAGGTCGTGCTTATATTTTCTTTTTTCCTCTTTTGCTCCTTTTTATGTTTGTTCATCCGAATGAGCAAAGAGCTGTTTGGTTTCTCATCAAGCTTTATGCTGCGCCCCATGTGTTTGCTGGTTATTCTCCGAGATCAACTTGCCTTGGACGGGAAGGCTACACAGTGTTTTGCGAGCTGATGGCCTTCTCAGCCCTACCAGACGACCGTTACAAGTGTTTATCAACCGTCAAGCTTTTACGGAGTACTCATGATTCAATTGCATTGATCAATTACTCTCTCTCTCTCTCTCTCTCTCTCTCTCTCTCTCTCTTTTGAAATACTCTAGTGTTGGTAGTCAGATACTAGACTACCTTGTAGTAGTTCGATAGCCGTGAATAACATGAAGACGGTCTAGTAGGGCATAGATCCCTCTAGTCAGTCTTTGCATATGGCTTTCTGGCTTTGTTTGCGTTAGGTCTCTCCCTTCATTGGGGGGTTTCAGAGACATATCTTGGTTCTTCAAAATTGATGGTAGGTATCTGCAGCTAAAACGGCATGGCTGTATCCCAGACGAATACCTGGTGATTAAGGCCTGGCCAACCTGCATACTTCACATAGTTCTCAAACATATACGAGAAAGAAGCGCAGAAGGTCTGAGTTGGCGCCAGGTTATGAACAGAAGCGAGGAAATAGCCAATAGTATCTTCTTTGGTGCATGCCATGATAGTAAGACCTAGCTAATAAGAGTCAGAACAGGGACATTGAACTAGTTTCTGGTATACTCGAGATTGACAACGCCGAATAATGGGACTCATGATCTATGTGTAGCAACGTCCGGTGATGTGGAAAGCAACCTGTAACCATGCTTTTATATTATTTTAGGTGCAATAAATGGTTCCTTATGATTCTCAGATTGTCAGAGGGCCACAAGCTTAAAAGAAGGGGTTGGATATGGCATCAGTCTATTTTGAACGGGTTCCAACCGACTCGAAGCACACGAGCTGCAATGAAAAATACTAGTCCTCCAAAGTAACAGCAACTCGTCCAAGTAATGAGGCCCCAGTATTCACCGCCATTACGGGTCAAGATGGATCCTCCAATGGGGATACCGGTAAGACATCTGTGTGATATATTTAGATTCGTAAAGATAAGATAGATAGAAACAAACAAATGACAGAAAAATTGAACCTTTTGGGACGGACAAACAGAAAGAGATAGAATCATATACATACCCAAAGCTGACAACAGTATATGCCGTGGCATAATACCGCCCATAGTTCTCTGTCTTGCATGTCTGGCCCACACACACTGGCGTTAGACCAATGTTACTACCACTCGAGAAGCCGAAGACGAAAGCGAATGATACCGTCATCGCAGTGTTCCCATTGGCTGGAAGCCAAAGGCAAGACACAGAGAGCAGGCACATCAGGACAGTAACAATCATGGTATTGAAACGTCCCGTGTAATCGGATATGTATCCGGGGACCCAACGGCCGAAAAAGGAGCCTACATTAAGGATGGCCAGAAGCTGGTAGGATAAACCCTTTGGCATGCCGTGATGAAGAGCATAGGAGGATATATATGTGAGAGGTACAAAAAGACCCCATTCTATGCAGAAAATACCAAGCGTGGTGCATGCAAATACTGGCTCCAGGAGAATACGGAGATCAGGCATGATATTCTCCATGGTAGCACGCTGTCTGGGCAGTCGTGATTTGACTAACATCAAGCCAGCACCAAGACTAACAAAGCATATCAAGGCCAATACGCGAGTAGACCAGGCGAATCCAATCTTGGTGAAGAGTGCATCTAGTACCAAAGGAAAGACAATACCTCCTACACTCCCTCCTGTTGCTGCTAGACCAGTTGCACGGCCTCTAAGGCGAAAGAAGAAGTGGCCAGGATTAGCCACTGCTGGTGTGAACACCATCGAAGTTCCGGCTGCACAGATAACACCAAAAACCACCATTATCTGCCAGTATTCAGTGCAGAATCCAAGAGCAATTAAGCTCCCAATGACAAGAGTCGAACCGACGAGGACAAGCCCCTTTGGGCCCTTTGCATCAAATATAGGGCCGATCTGAAGACCACCGAAAAAGATGAGGAAGGAAAAGACGCCAAAGATCCATGAGATGGTGCTCTGATTGTAATCCTTGAGTTGGTTCTCACTAAAATAAGCCTGGAAGGTCCCTATGGTGTTAACCAATCCAAAGGAGCCGAAAAGGCAGAGAAAACATCCAAATACCACCAGGTATGCCTCCAGTCCACCCTCGGGATACACATTGCCATCTGGATCTGTTGACATATGAGAACCTAGCCGGGCGAGGTTCTCTGAGTCTGTAGGCGGAGAAGGTTGTGACGATCGCGTACGGGTCAGACAAACCGAGTTACCGTCCTGGTCCCTAGTAATGGCCTGGAATAGCAGTCGATTTCCTGCTAACGGAAGCGCCTTTTCGTCATAAAGGGGCGGTTCTCTTTCCTCCTCGTTAGCTAGGGGGTCTGGGTCTTGCCTCGCAGCAGCGTCCTGTGACTTCTTCTCTGTTGCCGGAGCAGGGCCTTCTGAGTCACTCTCGCATCCTGTGCCAGCAGCCTGCTCTGGATGGCCTAGATGGCCAGTGTTGTGGTGTCCCTCCTGATGAAAATCTGCCCTCTCGGCAATCGGGTTGTTCTGAGGTCTCATACTCTGGGTCAGACAAAACACCGCTCCCTTCACCAGACCTGCCAAGGTGAGTTATATATATATATATATATACAACCGCTGAGAGTACCCGGGAGGTGTCCTTATCGGTGATGACAGCAACGAAAGGAATATTCCCTTTCCGCCGGGCTCTCTAGGAGTCAGTTGAATTTAGACGAGACGAAAGAAAAATATTCCGGGAGGCAAGAGGTAGGTAGTTATCAGATCCATGGGTACCGGCAACGGAGGTGGCCGCTTTAACCGAGCGGTTTTTTACTCCAGAAATCGTGGGTAAAAAAAATAAGCATAAGGCCTGGAGGTGTTTGATAAGCGTCGGGTGAGGGAGTGGACATTATTATCCTTCATTCGCCCATGGGCTTTCAACTTGGGTTTCGGCAGATGGGACATGCTTGCTTGATCCTTGCTTCAACACACGAACTAGCTCCTTGACATGCGGTGTTGGACATGTTAACTAACTGTCTGGAGAGTTTCCACAGGGAGTGAGAGAGTCTGACCGCCAACCAGAATTATCGTCCTGTCATTTATCGTGGAATCTATGAAAAGGGACACGAAAACCGCCCTCTGTAACAAGCTCCAAGGGAGACGAGCCGCTATGTCAGTGGTCCCGGCAGTGTCGTTGAAGCTCACGGTTGGCGATGGTGAAGCTCGGTCCGTTGGTGGCTTGCGGGAGCCACACGGAAAGGCCCTTGTGTCGTTGTGGTTGCTTTTTCCTTGCTGAGATGCCATCGCAAGCTGGAGTCTCAGCCAGCCGCAAATGAACTCCTGGACGCTCCTTGAACCGAAAGCCTGGCGCTGGGAGCACAGGGTCACCTTGATAGAGAGCCTTCTCAGCGAACGAAATAAATATCGCGTGCTTGCTTGAGAGCGCTTTATCTCCAGATAAGTCAAGAGACCTCTCTAGAGCAAAGATGCAAAAAGAAACCATGCCATCAAGTTTCAAGACGACGAATTCAGCTAGCTTGGAGTTCGAGCACACGAGATGTGTGCTGGTGATTCATTCATATATTCCTTGAAACCCGATCCAATCGGGTGTGCAATCTATCGGGTCCTGGTTATGTTTGTGTTTATCTGATCAGGCTGCACCGATTTTACTATCAGATATCTGGAAAGGGGTAAGGAAAAGGTCTAATAACGTGGTGCTCTGTAACTCTAGAGCATTAACTACTATGTCCTCGCGGAATTGAACCCAGCTTCAAGTCTTCCTCGTCACTATGGTGTGAGAACACTCACCGGGAGGCTCTCTATCACCATAATCTATCGTGCCTGGTATTAGTATCATTGAACACATAGATAGGATATTGGGCCTTGGGAGGCTCGTTGGACTACGAAGCAGGTTGTAGCCATGTTTGCGTCCGATCTTCCGCCCAGACCAGTCCTTTGGATGCAATTGACTTCTATCAGTCTCACGCTGATCAATGGTCTTCCCGAGGAATACCCCGTCTCTTGCAGGCAACCATACATAAGTTATATATTATTGTATATATTTATCAACAGGTTATACGAGGTTATATTTAGATAATATTATTGTCATTTTGGCTCAAGCGTAACAATGAAAGTACTCCATAGTAAAGCAGGATACGAACGATCTTCACATATGAAAAAGGCCAATATAAAATAACTGGCCTTGCTACGATGATTACCGTCTGTTTTTCATCTGGTCAATCTCGTATTAACCATGGATTTCTAGAGGAATGCACTGTGTTGCAACGTCAACTGGTTAACCATACCTACATAAATAATTGAAAAGTAAGGAGCCCTGTCCATCACGAGGAAATCACCAAAAGAGGCAACCCGTAATGCTTTGGTCCCACCATCCCTGGTATTAACAGGCTGAACAGCAGACCAGATGGATGGGTGTATCGCGGCGCATCATCACACCCCTTCTTAACGGCGTCACGAGCATGCTGTCGATTCTCCCCCATCAGCTCCTGGGAGGAGATGTGACGGGCCTTGCCGTACCACATGGGACCGCCGCAGCGACGGCTTCCTGTTCCCCCTTCAGGTTCGCTTGTTGTGCACTGGTACCTGGCTTGACGTCATGATCAATCGGTGAACGCAACTATATTTTGACCGAAACTCCTCGGTGTTTGCCGCCGGAGTGCAAAGATTTTTTTTTATTGCCCTTTAAAAATTCTTCTCCGGCTTCCCTTCCCTGGCTTAATATCCGCATCCCCACTCGTGGTTTGCATCCTTTTTTGATGCTGTGGCGCCTCGGCCATTGCTGCGGCACTTTTCATTGGTGGAAAGCCAATGTAACGTGACACTGTCCGAGTGACTTCTGGTATGACGTAATACGGTTGTTTAGCGCTCATTGGCAGGAGGGGGAACAAAGCTTTTTCCGAGCCCGAGCTCACGGGTGCCAAGAAAGTCAAGGCGATGAAGGAAGCTTACTAAGCACTCTCCTTTGACGTCCAAGAAAAAGCAATATCAAAGCTAACAACAGAGACAAGCAAACTCCAGAGAGAGGGAGAGAGACAGCCGTGCATCTTTGCAGACAGAATGAGCTTTTCGCAAGACAGAGCGAAAAGAACGAGGGAAATAAGAGTAGGGAATCTAATAGTGGCTGAAGGCAGATGCAAATTAGGCAGGGATAAATCTTCCATTTGAATGGATTATGGCTCAGGAAGAGATCGCCACTTCCTTGCACCTTTCTAACTCCGTGCCTTAGAAATCAATAAGAGAGAGGACTAGTTCTTTGGTTCAGTTTACGTCTTTAGAGAGGACTTCCCGTGACCTTCAGGATCCCAAATTCAAAACTCCCCCATCTTGCTTACCCATCAGGGAAGAACCGAACCTTCGTGATGTTGCCTTCGTCCGGCAGCCTTCGCCCTTGCGTTCCTGCTCGACGGCCTGCAGCGATATAGAAGCACCATCAAAAACCACCCAGCTTACACCCTGTCGGTCGGGGATCCATATACGAGCACTGCTCTCCCTACCCTATGACATAATAATAGTGAGAATGAAAACGGAGAGACGCACTAGCATCAAGAGAACTCCACCCCTTTCTCCCATGTCAACTCCACCGCCTGCACAGCCAATCAACTTGACAGGATCCGCCCATTTCAACCCGCTCTCGTGCTTTTCTGCCCATGGCTTCGCCCTGTTGCTTTTTTCGCCTCTTAATTTCAGCCTGGGTCTGAATCGTCTGATTCATGAAACACGCAGATATATAACAACCGGCGTCACCATGCCTCTGCATTTATAGAGGCCTTCCTTTCTCTCACTCTCTCTCAAGTCCGAACGTCTCTTTGGCTTACAATCCCCTGGACCGGTATACACAGTCGTCTTCACTCTTCGGAAGGCAGACGGTGCATACACGGCATCTCCGTCTTATTACAGCTACACGTGAAGGAGAGGCTCACCGACCAGCGGATATACAGCTTTTTATTATATTTTTGGAGATACAGTTAGCTGGATAACTACTCTTCAGAAATTTCTTTCCGTTCACTATCGGCCCCAATTGCCATTCTCAGCTGGCTCATCGTTCCACGTGCAATATCATCGCTCAAGTGCAAATCATCGCAATTCCTCGGAATATCTTCCCACACTCCCATCGCATCGACGGCCCGGTTCTAGCTATAGCAGCCCAGACGCAGCGTCTTTGTGAAATTCACCAGTTCCCATTAGCCATATATTGTACTGACGAAAGCACCAACAAACCCATATCCCATTGCGAAAAGTCCCTTTACGCTCAACAGTTCCCCATCTGGCCCAAAGCAACAGTAATCACTCACCATGCCGTTTGTGAACCCGTTTGCGAAGGAGCAAAAGTCCTTTCCTGGAGTCCTAATACCACTGTCCGGTGGCTCGCCAACAAGTAAAATCCCAGCGAAAAAGAAATCCGTAGGTGGCACCTTTGACGAAGAGGGTGCCGCCAGCCCCCCACCGGAATATGAGACCGAATTAACACTCGAGGCTCTGAGAGCTGAGGTTGAGGCTGCTGTTGTCTCCACCGGCCAGGACACTGCATACGATAGTACGTTCTAACTATTTTGAGATTTCCCTTAACCCTTTTTTTTTTCCTGTACAGGTTAGACGAAAGAAACGTCAAATTCGTCTAGCTTGGCCAAACCAGTAGATTATATACTACTGTATTCAAAGAATCAAGCCTAATCAATGTGTCCTTTTAGGAAAATCTATGGTCATTAATAGAGCAGTTCAAGATATTGGAATGGGCCGCTATCAATGGCAATTGTTTGTCTTGTGCGGATTTGGCTGGTTTGCAGACAAGTATGTCTTTTTCTGAGTCGCCTCTAACCTAATTTTATGCCTATATAAGCTAATACGGTATTATTTACAGTTTATGGCTTCAAGTAAGCATCTACATACTGTCATGCATTAAGAGAAAATGCTGGTTAACAGGTTTCATTTAGGGTGTTGCCCTTACATTGCCGAAACTGTCTCTCGAATTTGGTGTTAGCGAATCTCATGTTCGATTCACAACTTGTGCTCTGTTCATTGGCCTTTGCCTTGGATCAATCATCTGGGGAACCGCTTCTGACATCATTGGACGTCGCCTTGCTTTCAATATGACTCTCTTTCTATGCGGCGTTTTTGGAATTGCAGTTGGTGGTAGCCCAACTTGGATCGGGTATGTATAACCTTCATGACTTATTGCATCTGACAAATGATTCACAAGATGTTCCCCTGGCTAAACGTACTTTTACTAGTGTCTGTGCTATGTTTGCGTGTCTCGGTCTAGGTGTAGGTGGAAATCTACCTGTTGATGGCGCCTTGTTCCTTGAATTTCTCCCCTTCGCGTCTGGAAACCTCCTGACTATGCTCAGTGTATGGTGGCCTGTTGGTCAATTGGTTGCCAGGTAAGCAGCGGAATTTCCCCCGTATATATTATTCCTCACTCTAATCCTATTTCCCTACAGTCTTATCGCATGGGGTCTTGTACCAAAGTATACTTGTGCTGAAGGTCTACCTTCCTGCCACCTTGCGCCTGCTCCATGCTGTGCTAAGGAAGACAATATGGGATGGCGATACTTAACTTATATCCTCGGCGTCCTTACATTCCTTATGTTCTTGTCTCGTTTCTTCCTATTCCACCTCTTTGAATCCCCCAAATTCCTTCTCTCTCGTGGACGTCAGGAAGACGCTGTTGCCGCTGTACACGGAATTGCGCATAAAAATGGAGCAAAACTTGGCTTACCGTGGATATCCTCAATGAGATTGGAGGACATCCAGATGAAGTACAAAGCCAGAAGCTGAGCACTGCCGAGATCATCAAGAGACAGCTGAACAAATTCTCTGGAGAACGTATCTCCCCGCTCTTCGCAACCAAGAGCCTTGGATTTACCAGTAAGTATTTTCATCACCCTACATTCAAGAAATAGTTGGAAGCTGATAATTCATATAGCCGTCCTTCTGTGGTTTTGCTGGGCGACTATTGGAATGGGTTACCCTCTTTTCAATGCTTTCTTGCCACAATATCTTTCTCAGGGTGGTGGTGACAAATATCCACCCCCAACCACCTATACCGGTATGTTTGCTACCATACTTACTGGCTCTTCCTATGGCTAATGAAATTTTAAACAGTATACCGTGACTATGCCATTACTTCCATTGTTGGCGTCCCTGGCTCCCTGATTGCCTGCTACACCGTTGACATCCCTTATATTGGACGTAAGGGTACTATGGCCATTTCTACCATGATCACGGGAGTTATCCTTTTCTGCTTCACGATATCGCCTGACCCCAAAGTCCGTCTGGCATGTACCTGTCTCGAGGCCTTCTTCCAAAATATCATGTACGGCGTTTTATACGCCTACACCCCTGAAGTTTTCCCAGCACCCAATCGTGGTACCGGAACTGGTATCGCCAGTTGCCTTAACCGTATCTGCGGGCTACTGGCACCTATTGTTGCCATCTACGGTGGTGATGCAAACCCTAAGGCACCTGTGTATGCATCTGGCGGCCTTATGTTGGCTGCATTTGTGGCTATGATACTACTTCCAATCGAGACTAGAGGCAAAGCATCTCTCTGAAGAAACTATGGTTGAGTGTCGTTATCTGGATGATTATATTGTCGTTCTTCATAGGAGAAGTATAGAACGAGAATGGAAGGGGGCGAAAGAATGCATCAGACAGAAAGTCTGGTCGCAGGCATCGCGAGCGAAAAGATTTGTCCTTATGGTTCATGTTTATGTTCATGTCTATTGCTTACTATACCCAGTTGGAAGGTAGCTTGTGTTCTTTTCAATGAATAGAAAAACGAATTTATTTATCTCTCTTCTCATCTAAAATACATGGTCTAACGTCTTCTAAGTATCTGTCTTCTCAATCGCATACTTCGCTTTTCTTCTGCATCTTATTTGAGTTATGTGGAAGTCTCGAACAAGCGTAATAAGCGTAACTAAGTCACCTCGTGTACGTACATACTCTCCATCCATAGATAGGCTTCACTGCCGAGACCTCGATATTGTGATTTATCAAATCAAATGCGACCCAAAAATAAGGAAGCCCTTCGAATTTTGCTCCCAATGCGCCCCTATCTATTATCCCGGTGGGGAAAAAAATCACACACAGCAACTTGAGTAAGAGTACAAACAGTCTGTATAAACATTTCCTTCTCCTTCCAAGAAAAGGTAGAGGAGTGATGGTATGGTTTTGAAAAAGCCATATCAATTGTATGTACGGAATATTTCAATGTCTAGTGCTGCGAAGGTTCAGTTAGGTTTGGGGTTGTATTGAATGAATCCATAACATAACATGACATGACATCACAGAAGAATCAAAGTGAAAATGGGCATTAAAAGAAATCATTGCTGGGCATGCACACATAATGAAAATGAAGGGCGACCGAGGAGCCTGCAAGATGCAGGGTAGGGAATTGAGTGACGAGAGTGAGGTGGGAGACTTGGGGGATGAGGTAGCTCTTCTTTGGATGAGGATTAATGGGAATCAAGATACGGGCTGCCCAGCCATCCTCCTTCCTCTCCTTCCTAGTAATGTGGCATTATCTAGGCTGAGTTCGAATGGCTGTTGTGCTGATCGAGCTGCATTTTCTCTGGCAGCAGCTGCTACGGCTGCGCTGTGTTGGCCATAGCCGCCCTGTTGATATTGTTGACGGCCTCGTTGTTGCTGTTGTTGCTGCCTGGCAGCAGTTGCGCCGGCCGCACGACGGGCTTGAGCAGCTGCGCTCATTTGCTGTGATTGTTGACTTGTACTGATATTGGTACCGCGTAACTTGCTCTCAACAGCAGCTACGTCGGGGTTATATCCGGTAGGTTGTTGCCGTTGTTGGCCTACCTGAGCCCTGTTGTAAGGCATGGTTGGGACGGGGTTACCTCCATGGTCGTAATAACCATGTAAATCAGAGTCTTCACCGCTATACTCTTGTTGCTCGGCAGGTTCGACTTCACTAAGGGGATCGAGAGCTGCGCCTCGGTATCCGACTTTGAAGCCAGCTTTGCGACGTTTAGCCTCCTCCTCTTGTCTGTGAACAGCATAGCCGACATCAAAGACCTCGCGTAGGTTCATAGCCCCGGGGGAGCGGAAGTCAGCGCGACGAGCATTGGGATCAATACCAGCAAGTGGCGCTTCAAGGATCTTGTTATGGGAAACGAGAGGAGTGGCAAGTGGAGGGGCATCATCAGCGGCAGTAGTCTCTTCGTCTGTCTCTCTAATCCAGGGGTGTGCAAGGAACTCTTTTATGGTATAACGTTTGTCAGGGTCAACGGTGAGGAGATGTGAAACCAAGTCCTGCGCAGATTTAGATATGTCGTCCCACCAGGGGGAGAGGAAGGTGTATTGTCCACGCGCAACCTTCTCGGTCAGTGCTTGTATAGATTCGTCATAAAAGGGCGGGAATCCACATAGCAGAGTGTAGAGTACACATCCTAACGCCCACATGTCGACAGATTTAGAGTAGCGCTCATCTTTGACGATTTCTGGGGCGGTATAGCCGACAGTACCACAGGGGGTCATGGTTTCGCTATCCCAGATGACCTTTGATAGGCCAAAGTCTGCAACTTTGATCACTCCGATGCCGCCGGACCCAATTCCAGGAATAAATTCACCTTCGTCAACCTTGTCTTCGTCACCTGGGGCTGGTGGCTTGGGGTTTTTGGTGGGAGTGAATGGCGCTGGATAGAAAAGCAAGTTTTCCGGTTTTATGTCACTTCAAAAAAGATCAGTCATTGCATAAACAAGCAGGGAAGATTATACGGGGGTGAAGTGGTGAATCTAACCGATGAACAACACCGGATTTCTCGTGCAGATACTCTATCGCCTTTGCCACCTGTACGATAACATGGCGGGCTAGATTTTCACTGAAATAGGTCAAACGAACGATCTGGTGGAACAACTCTCCCCCGGGACATAGCTCGAGGACGATGTAGTAGAATTGGGGTGATTCCGAGAATTCTATCAATTTGACTATGTTTGGATGGTCAAGTTGGCGCATTATTTGAACTTCTTTCAGTATACTCGCACGCTAGGAGTAGTGTTAGAATAACTAGATCGTTGATATGTAGTGGTCTGACGATATATGGAAGGGTGTTCTCACCTCCACCTGCTTCTTCTTGATGCTCGGGTGAAGGTGATCAATGCCCTAAGAGGAGACCCCCAAAGGCACACCGGTTGGCAAAGAACGAAGAGAAAGAAAGGAAATGTTTACGGAAGCCAGTGTAATGGGATTGGGTATTTTGCCTGACTAGTAGCGCGGCATCCCGGACATACCTGTTTGGAGCTCATCTCAAATTTCCTGACGACCTTGATAGCAACTTCCCCTGACTGTCCAGACTTGTATCGCGCGCGGTAGACGTTGCTAAAGGCACCATCACCCATCTTCTCAACAAGTATGTATCGTTCTAGGCCGGGGTAGGTAGGCAGCTTGGAACGGTTGAGCTTCTCCTCCGCAATAATCTGCTCGATCTCCTGCTCATGAGCTCTGGCCTGGTTCTTTGTAGTGGTGACCGATGCGGCCTTATTCGAGCGTTGATGTTGATCGATAGCATCAAGGGTACCGGTGGCCATGCCGGGCTGATACTGCGGCTGCTGTTTCCGTTGGGATTCTGCGTGGACGGCTGTGACGTTGGTGGTAGGCTCACCATGGGCAACAGACATACGGGCCTGTTTCCCATGGCGGATGAAGTTCTTGAGGTTTTGTATTGTACTCATGATGACAGGATGTGCTTTTCTTTTCTTTTTTATTATTATTGTCGTCCCCTTGAGATGTGAGCGCAGACAAGGGGGGAGGGCTGATGATGGGGGAGGGGCGGGTAGTACGGCGCGGCTGCTACAGCCAGGCCTCTTTTTTTTTTTTTTTTCTTCTTTCTTTGGGGGGGGAAGGAAGGGTAAAGTGGAGGGCAGCAAAGGAAAGGAAAGGCCGGTCTAGGATGCTGAGATTTGCCTGGCCCTTGTGACAGTTCCGTGTCTCTCGAGTGACTGTTACTGACTGTCTGGCTGATGATCTCCTGTGACTTCGATGCAGGCGGGAGATAAGCGAGTGACGGGGCGAGGAGCCTATTGTTTTATAAGGAGAGGGAACGGCCAGCGGAAGGAGTGAGATCTGGGATGTTGACGTCAGTTAAGTGGACACTCTAATACTTGAGTTGCTTAGTGGCAGGGCATGGGAGGACGAGGAGGGCCTTGTAGCTTCTCCGTGGCCTCTCTCGGACTGCTCGGTCGCCTCGGTCACTCGGTTGCTCGCTGCAGCGTTTGCAGAGACAGCCGGCCTTGGTCTATCGCATCCTCACCGTCGCCGTCCTTCTCTCTTGTCTTCTTCTTAGTCGCTATTTTGTGCTCTTTGTTGCTTTTTCTCGTCTTTCTTGTGGCTTGACGTCCTTTATTTCCCCTTTCGGACAACAACACGTGAAAATAGCTTTGTATTAGTAATATAGTGGCTGAGGTAATTTTTTGATGACTAAATAAAATGACTAATCAGGTACATTTCCCGCCCCCGAAAAGGGCAACTCACGACTTCATTCCATTCAACGTCAACCGTCAAAAGATCAGCCGGACAGGGAGACGAGAGCTAGAAGCAACGACAAATAGAGACGGAGGCGAAAGCGACAGAAAAGCAGCTGTAGGATATACAAAAAGCAAGGTCACGGAGCAGACACAGATACAAGAGAACCCGGTGACACTGCATAACCAGGAAAAATAAGCAGCAAGGAGAGAGGTGGCTAACATCACTGCTTGCTTTTTGCCCTTCCATACTCTCGCTCTCCAGAAGCCAGAAACAATGTATTAGTTCATCAGCAGAACTTGGAACACGTTGACCAGCCCTGAATTCACGAAGACGCGGGGTTGTTGAAGGCCGGAGAGACGACCGGAGAAGAGGGACCCGCGCATGCTTGTCTTGAGACAGTGCATATATACTGGTGCCAGGGTTGCAGCTCCCTTGAGCTTGCATTTGTCTGTCCTCGTTTCAAGCCGGCTCGCATGTCCTGACTCTCGCTATTCGATATTTCACCTCGTTGTCTTCCGTTTCTCACCTAGACAACACGGCTTACTTGGTACCAGTCACTCCTTAGGTGCGCCATCCCACACGCTCCTTCAGTATCACCACTCGTCCAGCACATTGACAGCACTATCACCAACATCATCGAAAAATTGCCGTTCATTGGTCCGCCCTCCTGTTGAACTCTCCGTGTTTCCGAAAGCATAGCATACCATAGCACGTTGGTGTGCTGGTGAACTTGTTCAGAACGTCTCTGCTCCGTGATGAAACGGAACCTCCACGTCCCCTACTCGGCTCGAACCTGGCAACGATAAAACCGTGTTATGTTGTTTGGGGACATTTGAGGCAAAGATATTGTTTCCTGTGATAATGGCGGCCGCAATCGACATTGTCCAGAGACGTGAGGGCAGGGACAAACCTCTTTTGAAATCTCACAAAGTCTTACCGCGACGACGGGATCTTGTCAGCGCATATTCTCCCGCGTGCGCTGATGATGATACCGGTGGTGACATAAATAATGGGCCCGCGTACCCTCCTACACGTACACTTCCCCTAACTCCACCCGCCATCACCCTTGAAGACCAGAAACCCCTTGAGATTTCACACGACCAAGATGCTGAAACTCATCTTGACCCGCAAAATACCATAACACCTTCAAACAGAGTAAAACCGCTCACCCCAGACATTACCCCTCCTCGCATCGTCTCTCGTTCTAAGAAACGAGACGGGCAGAGCCAGCGTTTCCCGTCTGCATCTTCAAGAACGACCTCCTTCGCGACAGCCAAAGAATCCTTATCCTCTGATGAGGAGACTGAGAGGACCAAATCCACTTCTCTGTTACCCAGCAAATATGGGCCACCACGTTCCTGGCGCAATACAACTGTTAGTCCTACAACCACTGATGAGACCCATCATGACAGAACTGTGCGGGAGACTAAGCAAGACCGCCAGCTGTTCGATACAAACGAATTACAAGTACGCAAACGTGGCGAAGAAAGAAACTCATCCGGCTTAGGCCATATTCAGTCTTTTCATCAAGACTGTTCCCTTTCTCGTATTCATCATGGAAGCCTGCGGGGACGAACCCGGAACGAGAATAGCACTGGCTCATCTAACTCAGTTGAAGCCTTTGCCGCCAGCATCGGCTGGCCAAGTGAAGGTGACATGGAGACCAATAACTCAGGGCACGTACGCTGTATTTCAACCGCCTCAACCACCACCATTGAAGCCATTGTGATCGATTCTCCGTCGCCGAAGAAAAGGACACTTCGACATACTGAGAAGAATGACTCCCTTCGATCCGTCAGCACGCCAACACCCAGCCCACCATCTGTGACCAAGCCGTTGCAGTCGCTACCCCTATCGCAACCACGTCTGACTCACAAACGAACTCGAATCACAGATGAAAATCGCTGGAGCATTGCATCTGACATATCAGGGACTACAACCAGTACAGCCATAACTTTTACTAAACCCAAGAAAGTCGAGGATATCATTCGTGTGGTTGTTATCCCTCAGCGTCAGTCATCGCTGAAGACTACCGCACCACCTGGACCGGCCTTGCGCTCATTGCCTCTGAACCACCGCAGACCTTTTACTGCGCCAGAATTAGCTCCAGAATCATCCAAAAGCTCACGCAGACATAGACGCACCATGTCCGAGTCCCTAACCTCCACGGCTAGTGCGTCTAATGCTTTTAAACCGAGAATTCCCACGCGACGGTCTTCCCTGTCTGCTCCCACGAGTAGAAATACCTCCCGAGCAGGCTCGATATCAGATAATAGCTCTCGCATGCTTGTTACAGTCGTTAGTTCTGAAAATAAAGCCGTTTTCGACTCTAAGACTCTGCCACAACCCCCTTCAGAGTTTGTTAACCCACAGTCTCAAAACCTAGGGCCTGAAGGTACAGGAGTCCTGTCGGATCTCATTCCAAAGCCGCTTCGTCTGTCTACAACTTCTATGCCCACCCCACAAATAGTTCTTCCCCCAGATTCACCTGTTCGTGATCATGACGATTTCACCCGCCCGCCAACTCCACCTGGATCTTCAACGCAATTTCAGCGTTCTATTGAGTCGTTATCCTGCTCTCCTGGGCCTGTAGAAATAAGCCAGGCAACAGCAGTTCCTTTTTTTGCCCATAATAACAAATCCCTGCTGGTTATTGAACATCCACTTTGTGAAGCTCGACCCAAGCCACCCATGATTTCTCTAGACCATGTTGAATCCCCCCTTAGATACCCCCGTGCTGCGCCCAAACCCCCGGGTTCAGATTCGCGGGATGTTCCATTGATCCCACTAAAGCGTGCAAACACAGTGCCGTCAAGACCGCGGCCTCCACTTCCAATGCAAACGGATAGTAGTAGCGGTACTAGCGGTGGGATTGTCCGTCGTCTCAGCTCGGTTCGTCGGAGATTTAGTTCTTCTCATCGTGCTTCGACTGCAGATTCTATACCTGCTACTGATGCTGCAAAGGATATTAGAAGTACAACGCACCGTGTACGCAACAGGATGGCGGGCAAGAAGCTGGATAGCAAGAAGCATCCGTTTTGGCGTCCGTATGGATTCTGGCAAGACTACGAAGGCGAAGGCAACCCCAGTAGCAGACGCGGTAGTCTTAAGTCCAATATATTCACCCCCAAAACTACGACCACGATAACGGCTGGAAACAACTTGGATTCCAATGGATACGAGAGCGGGCAATATGTTAGCAACACACTTGGAATTCCTCAAAACAGCACGCCATTCCAAGGCCCTATCTCCATGATCCGGCGTGTCTCGCAGCGTTCCCGGTCTCGGTCTAAGCCTAGTCGCGTTATTAAATCTCCATCCAGCAAAACCAGCCTGTCCTTAGTCTCCGAATATCGTCGAGGGAAACGTACGCGCTCTTTTCGTCCCTTGCATGAAGTGCAGGACTGGATCGCCCGTACTCGCCAACGCCGTGAACAAGAGAAACTTGAGGCTCGTCGGGAGAAGCTCCGCCGAGCTATCGGAGGGAACGTTATTGTCGACTACACCAGCGTTGCCTCCACAATGGACCCGGAGAGTGTCTTTGCTCCGTCTCGAAGGGAGAGAAGTTAAATAAACCCTTGCATCACCCACGAATCCAGCTATGCCAGCTGAACGAATTATGATATCATGAATGAATTGTAAAAAAGTAAGATGAGATTGCGGGTGCCAATACCATTTTAAACACCATTTTATTCCCAATATATGCTTTGTGATGATACATTTCATGCTTTGATAATGACAACGAGGATGTTCGATTTCCTTCGCTTGCATTATGATGATTGATGATGATAATGATGATGATGATGATGATGATGAATTTAATTTGATCTTGATTTTCCTCTCCCCCCCTTTTTAATGTCTATATGTATCGCTTTGCTTTCAGTGTTACAAGGAAGCCTTTCCATTTTTCCCCCGAGTTCGAGGTTTATGCTTCTTCTGCTTCTTCTTCTCTTTCCCATACAACGTAATTTTTAAATACTGGAATGGAAATTTTTATAGAGCTCTTTATCACTCGTTATTCTGTCCTATAGTGTGTGTTGCAGTGCTGAACTCGGATTCCCGTAGGTTCAGCATACGATCTCGCAGATCCGGGTCAAGAAACGGTTGAGGGATCCGAGAGGCATCGAACTCCATCGTCAACGTTTCTTGGTCAGTTTTTGATGCCGAACTGGTTGAGGCAGAGGTAGAGAGCATCTGGATATCCGCTGGTCGTCGTGATGGATGAAGACAGCGAGCCGTCGAACGTTTCTTTAGTGCAACGGGCTTTCCCTTGGACACCATGATCTCTTCGTCTATACGGGAGTACTCTTCCGTTTCTCGGTTCCTTCCGCTTCGCTGTGATGTTGGCTGTTTCTCCCTCGTCCCGAGCTTGACCTTTTCCTCTCCCCGTCGTAAATCTCGGTAACCAAACTCTGGACGTTAATATGAGTTATGCAAAAATGCCCGTACCTACTAGGCCGTGTCATGTGACTGGCAGCAAATTCCATGGACAAAGACGACGAGTTCGACTCATCCGGCGAGACAAACGCTTCACCACCAAGCAAAAGTACTCTGACAGCCTCTTAAACTGCGCCTATTTACAAGCGGCCGAGCCTGTGTCGCCTGCTGCCCTGCCATTGCCCGACCGCTACGCCGCTGTCCCACACATTCTCGCCCCGTCTTCAACGCCTTGTACTCACCCGCATTCCCACGGCGAAATTGAGAAACAAAACCTAAAGAAAAAGAAGCAAAAAGCCTGCGCGGCCGCGGATTAAACCGGCAGGCCTGGAGGTTCTTTTTGACTAGGGTGAAGGGATATGGTGATAGCGGTTTCGGAGGCAGCTCCCCAGCAGCGCATCCACAGCCAGTTTGACGCAGCAAGTTACCTAGAGCAGTGAGTGGGGGTTATGTCGCCAGGTGGTGGACTGCGCTCGCGTGCTGCAGAGAGAACAAAGAGTAACAGCGGAGACGAGGGGGACAGCGACGACAGTAGGGCTAGGAGAACGTCGCCGAAAGGCCTAAGTGGTGGGAGACAGAAGAGGTCTGCGCCTGGTGGTGCGCAGAGCAGCTCGCCGCAGAGTGCGACTGGAGAGGGCGACGAAGACGAGAAGCGGAGGCATCCGGTGAAGAGAGCTTGTAATGAGTGTCGTCAGCAGAAGGTGAGCACTCCGTGTATGTATAAGTTATAATTCAGCACTGACGAGACCGTCACGTAGCTTCGCTGTGATGTTGTTCAGGACCCTTTTACGACCTGCACTCGCTGCCACCGGCTAAAGCTGCCATGTAAGATCGAAGCGAACTTCAGACGGATTGGCAAACGCAGCCGTAACGCGGAAATGGAGCGGGAAATTATAGAATTGCGAAGGCAAGTTGTCAATGCCAATGCTAATGTGCAGTTCCTGGCCCAGCAGCAGCAGCAGCAACAACAGCACCACCACCACCACCTGAACATGCCTGCAGCTGGCCATCTTCCAGTACCATCTTCCATGCCTTACAGCCCATCGACGAGCTCGATGCGCCCTCATCAAGCGGACCAGGCCTCGGCTGAGTACATGAGACCACACGAAGCCGTTGCATCATTGTTAGATCTCAAGTCCGGTGGTGACTATCTGCGCAGCCCACCCGACAATAACATAGACGTGAAACGACTGGAAGATGTGGCAATTCCTTTAGATCGGACCGCAGAGCTTTTCAACAGATTCTTTACATACTATCACCCTTTCCTTCCATTGCTTGAGGCTCAAAAGACCCCGGACGAATATTATGATACGTCTCCTCTCCTCTTTTGGACCATCATCGCAGTTGCTTCCCGCAGGTACCAGACAGATTCATCTCTTCTGAATGCTTTGTCCGGTCCCGTTTTGCGGTTGGTATGGAGCACACTTGCGGACGTCCCACAAAGCTATCATATTGTCAAGGCTTTAGCATTGCTTTGCACCTGGCCGTTTCCTACTAGTAGTACGTCCACGGACCCTACTTTCATGCTCTGTGGCATGATGCAGCAAATAGCACTCCAAATAGGCCTACATAGGCCGTCCCATGCACAGGACTTCTCCAAGTATAGGGTGGAGTTGAGAGAGGGTGAACTAAATGATAGGGTGAGGACGTGGGCATTTTGTAATATTGTTGCTCAGCGGTATGTTACTTGCCGACATCTCCCTATATCTTGGCCCTATGCTAACGATTGCTTCTAGAGTTGCAACTGGCTATGGGCAGCCATCTTCGACACTGTTTGACTGTACTCTTTCTTCGAAGGAGGCGGATCTACGACTCCCTCCTGAGGTTAGAGTGCGGCTACAGATTGAAAAATTCTGTGATAAAATATCACAAACATTGTACACTAACCGTCGCGACCCAGTGGGTGTATTAAGTGACAAGGAGCGAAACGTCATGGCATCAGTGCTATTCAAAGATTTTGAAGATCTGGAGGGTCAGGTCCGAACAGAGACAAATTGTATGCTCCCATGCTTTCACATATGCGCCACCGAGCTAACAAGCAGTAGCCATAACGAATGTCTATTTACGAGCCGCTGGCCTACATCTACATCTCTCTATTTTCTTTGAGAACCCGAGCACCAAGGACTACCGCCAAGGCCTATCAGCTCTATACCTTGCAACAACTGCCTTCCTTGAGGCGGCCTTTGGCCTTGAAACGTCCACAGGGCCAGTCCTATCCTATTGCTCTAACTACATTTACCAGATGACCCTTGCCGCAGGATTCAGCCTTTTCAAGTTGTGCAACAGCTTTTTCGCCGTCCATATTGATATGAGCTACACGAAGTCTCTTTTTAGTCGCACTATATCAGCCTTTCGCCACATATCCGTGATGAACAATGATCTTCCGCAACGATTAGCCGAAGTTCTAGCTCAAATGTGGCGAATGAACTGCGTTGGCAGCAGAAATAATCAACAGTCTCAGGACCAAAGGCATCAGGGAGAAACTAACCCATCCGATACGGGAGACTCCTGATGTTAAAGGTTCGCTGTAGAATGAGCATGTCACTTGTTTTCGACTCCGTTTGGCGATGGCGAGAGGATTTCCAAGCCAGAGGAAGGAATTTTGAAGGTAAGACGCCCTCTATCCCAGTACCCTCTCCCACCTCCGACTGTGTACACAGAATTAACTGCTTAAAACAGCGTATCTCAAAAACCCGACAAATCCAGACTCTGGAGCTGACTCCTCAGCCTCGTGTTCCTCCACCGCCGCCATCCGAACATCAACGTCCACTCCTGCACCACCTGCGCCAGAAGGCGTAAGTGCAGTCTCGGCTGCTGATCCCACCCTTACCTCCCCAGCCTTGACGGCTGGTCCTATAACTACGGGCCCTAGCTCTCCCCCGGGTCCAACGCTGGGAGGCTTCAACTCTTCCTCCCTTTCCAGTGCTTTCTTAGAAACAAATTATGAAGTGTTTGACCCTTTAAATTGGATGCTTGACGGTCTTGTAGACTTTCCTTACTTATATCCTGGTGTTCAGGGCCTGGAGGTGTAGGTAGGGAAAAATATCCATTTGCCCAGGGGATGCTACTAGCTTCTTGATTCCGTTTATTTTTCATAGGGAAGTTTATTTCATCTGTACATGATACCAACGTACCCGGGACACATTTCGGCCGGATTTTGAGCCTTTTGCTTCTATTAGGAGTTTTCACGATAATGGGAAATATGAAGCTTCTTGCTTACGATGAAGAGTAGTACATACTAGCTCTGAATTGGTGTTAATGCATCAATATTTTCACACGTATCATTTGAATTGACGATGTTCACGTTCATTGATTCTACAGTACGGAATTTATCACATTTGAACATAACAGACAACATGATAACTACTGTCAGCAGGCTGAGAAGTTGTCAAGACCCTTCACGGCTACAGCTTCCTCCGCCTACATTACCGGTAGGAGTGTCCCTAGCTAGTGTGCAAAGCTGATAGCAGTATTCAGAAAGACTAAGGGTGCAATCAGCAAGTAATGGTGTGAATGATGAGTTAGTCGTTAAAAGCTCGTTCAGATCCTCCAGAGCAGGCATTTATTTGTATGGGTGACTTTGGATCGTCGTCCGGCGGGCCAGCCAGTCAACTAACTGGCTAGCTCTATAGTTGTTTAATGGTATTATTGTCAACTAGCTCGCCAACACGCGAAGATGACACCTGAGGTGGGCGATACGTAGTCGGCGCCGCTGTAGCTTACTTAGCAGGAAATCCAGGTAGTTGTTTATCAGCTAGCTAACTTGGTCTGGCAACCGAGTGTTGATGACTGTAATCGAGGGAGGCATCTCTTAATAGGGCAATAGTATAAAGGAGCCTGCTAAGAGATATGGTCAGATAGAAAGAGCCATGAGCCATTCCAAGTAAATTTGGCAACCAGGGAAAACAAGCATAGCTAGTTAACTAATATTTATTGACACGTAAGATGAAAGCCAAACGGGTGTCCAGCAACGGTAATATCAAAATCGAGCAACCGTACAAAATCTCAATTACATCAAGGGTATATTACATTACTGCACACTTTGAATCTTTGTTCCTCTTTCGTTCACCCTTCAGCTTGGTCCATTGCTCTTTCCAGTCGTCTGACCGTGCCGTAGAATTTAATCGAATATCAGACTGGGATGTTAAGATATTGCGACCAGTGCGTTTGTCAAAAAGACCTCCAGCATTAAAACGATGCCGAGGTACATCCTGAGAGCGAGACCGGGATCTTTGGACTCCGGGATGTGAATTGTCAGAGGACCTGTAGTTAGTAGAGAGCCAGCGACCACTGCGTGACTGGGAGTTCTCGTGAGGTTCGTCGGGGAGTGAGCTTGTTCCAGATATCTGGCGTTCAGCAGGCAATGTAGGAACATTTGGTAAGGAGTCTGGAGGATGAGAAGTGTGTGTTATAGACACTGGGTTTGGTGAAGGTATATAGGGATGTCGTTGCAGGGTATCCCGTTGCGCTGCCTGACGCCCTGATCTGCTTGGGTCTGAGCGATCTGGAATAATTGTATTCAGATTTTGCACGCAGCCCTGGTTCCCCGCCACCTGGGGCTGTGAATTTGATGGTGCAGTATGACCAGACAAGGGAGTGAAGTTGGCCGGTGTCACGGCTATGGGATGTTGGATGGAATGATTACGGGGTAGAGGAAAAGCAGGGCCAATATTGGTAGGGGTATTGTTGGAAGGCGGCGGAGAACTCATGTTGATTGTGCTAACGCCAACCTGACTATTCGACAATTGCCTATTACCACTCACAACTAGGTTAGGGGGTGACATATCTGAAATTAAGGATGTGTTGAGGTAGTTTATTGGGCTGTTAGTGGCACTATTAGAAGGAAGAGGGCGTCTCGGAATCGTGATACTAGGCCGGCTTATAGTTGTTTGCGAACGATGCAGCGATGAGCCCCCCGAGGAGTCAATAGTTGATGTCCGCGACCTGCGTAGCCCGTGGCCGACATCTCTAGGCGGACTACCAGGTGGAGGCTCCGTAGCACTTGGTAGAATGCCTATCTGAAAGTGATCCGGTAGAGGATCGCTTGCATCTTCCGTGTATGGAGGGGGCGGCGGAACCCAGTTATCCGCATCACTCTCATGAGGTACGACAAACTGTCCGCGGCGAGGCCCAGAATTAAGGGCTGGACGAGCCGTCTCAAATCTACTTGCAGCGAGGCTGCGGGACGCCGCCGTCGCTGCCCGTCGTAGTGTTTCTGTAGAGCGAGGAGAGGTATTGCTATACGGGCTATCTAGAAAGGGTAGAGCACTCCTGGCTCCGCCTCCAGGAGTAGGTGGGAGGGGGGGTGATAATGATTCTTCATCAGCATGAGATCCGGCAGGAGGTATGCTATTGCGCCAGTTCGACCTTGATGGCGTATGTCTGGCAGCCATAGTTCTCTGACGACTGATTTGGGCTCTCCTTTTCTCGAGCTCGACTTCAGCATCGAGCGTTGCTCCCTGTTCAGGCAGCTCAGTTGGGACTGCCTCGCCAGCTTCAATAATGAGTTCTTCGTGCGCACCGTTTTTCGGGGAGAGCTCAAAATCAAACAAAATGACCCTGCCCCCATCAATAGGCATAGTATCCCCAGTAATCATGCTGAAAGAAGAGTCGACGCCCCCCGGAGCCACTGCAACAAGCCTACATAGCTTCCTGGAACTAGAAGTCTCCCCTTTCGTGTTCCGCATCCATCTCATATCCGTAATATCGTTGGTTGCTTGAATTGGATGTCCGGATATAAAGCTCTTTGGGCTTTCGATATGTTTGTTGAGACGTTGAAAGTTGGTAGCCTCGTATGATAAAGAACCATTTTCATCGATGCGAGGGATGGTAGGCTGTGGATGAGCTTGAAAATCCTTTCCAGAACCTTCAGGCTTTGCCCTTGATGCCGGGACTCCAAATATCCATATCCCAGACTTCTCAAAGCTTGCTGCTATATATTTACCGTTTTCACTAGCAACAGGTAGCAGATTTGGTCGAGGTTCGTCTCTCTCTATATCAGCTCCAGGCCCAACTAGATAAAGGGTTCCACCTCTGATATCATCAACTTGGGATATACGGAAGGCCTTCACACAATTATCGTACCCTACAAAAAAAATAGAGTGGTCACCACTTTCGGCAGGGGGTATCAAACTAGAATAGCAGTAGCCCTCACCAACCTCTGGGAAAAGAATCTGCGTTGTCCACATCCGACTGTGGAGCTCTGGTAGGCTTAGATCAAACCCAGGGTCAGGAAGAAGGGGAGGGGATATCATGATAAAGTTGTTGGAGTGAGGGTCGTTTGAAGAACCAAAGAGCATGGAACCATCAGAAGAAAACGTTAACGTCGATATTCCTTCACACCTCACTGCTCGATGGGCAGTGGATAATGTATTATCTCCCAAAGCATAAATTTCAATCCCACCGTCAAATGCAACTGCCAGGATGGAGGCATAGGGTGAAAATTCTAGGGACAACGGGACCTCGTGAAGCTCAATTGTCTGAAGAAGTCTAGCATGCTGGACTTTCAGCTCATACAACCGTACCCGGTGACCAGATGATGCAACAGCTAATAGGGAACCGTCATCAAGTATTGCAGCCGCGGTAGGACGGCGTAATATCTTCAGTTCATGGAGTATCGAGATTTGCTCTTTTGTAAGATCTATCACGAAAATCCTAGACGAACTTAACGCCAGTAGTAACTGGCCATGGGCAGAGAAGATGAACCGTAACGCTTCACCTTGCGGGGAGGCAGAGGAAGAGCTCACTGATGCTGATATAAGTTTTACAACGGTCTGCTTTGGCCGAATAAAGGCAGCAAAAACATGGCTTCTGGCGACCTGGACGAACTTCGATTTTAGTCTCTCAAGACTGGCTGACCCCAGAGTCTCCGCGGCTGAATCTGACGGCGAACAGAAGTCTGCTAAATGGTGACGATACAGACTTGGACAATCAGATATCTGTCGCCATGCACGGTTGATCAAAGTTAGTGAAGCAAAGCTGTTTGCATCAACCAAGCGTAATATTCTGGACATGTATGTTAATAAAATCTGCAACAAAAGATAAAATCCTTTGAAAAGCCAACCACCGGATATTGGTTTTTAGGCATACCTCTCGATAACGACCCGAGGAAGTCGGTGAAATGCGGCAGCAGGTTGTTCACCTGACACATGCCCATGGCCTTCCAAGCCGTCGCGCCTGATACCGTACTCATCCAAAGTCATATAATCGCTACCTTGAATTTCATGGATATCTCCAGGCAGGACAGAGAGTTGGTCCCCTTCCATGGTCCTAGCAGTCATTTACCGTCACGATCCATGGTTGTATGCAAATAAGCGCACGAGCTTCCCGTTGACGTCGCCTCTTATACCATACAGCGTGAAGGATCTATGTACCACTACCCACGACTCGCGGAAATAAAAGGAAAAAGAGAATGAGGAAGACGACTAAGCCTGTAGATGCGTGGCGATGCTTTCTCCAACTTCTCGACTTATCTAGTTTAAGACGATCGTTTGCATGGGAGCAGCCACCCAAGATATATATCATGCACGTCGTCCAGGCCACCAGGGATGAAACGGGTTCGAAGCTTTCGAATGCTGCCCTGGCGCTCCACGGAACTCCCACGAGCTAAAAAAAGACGGCCAAATTCCAGCCACCTCAAGCTTAATAAAATAAAAATAGCAAAAGTCTGGGTGATGGTCAGCTATTCCTTTTTCTTTCCCAGTTTGCTGCCCCCTGAAGGCAAAAGAGAAACAACGAAAGAAAAAAAAAAAGGTCCTGACGTTGAGGGGTCACATGACCCAGGCAACTCCGCCGGTTCGAGCTTGCTAAAGAAAAAGAAAAAGCGAGCGAGTTGCTGCATGACTTGCAACCCAAACTCCCAACCTCCCACCAGGCCGCACAACGCCTCGATGCATCAGTGGTCTTCCCGCGGATCGGCTGCACTGCGATATCTCAATATACTCCGTCACCCTGGACGCCCCATGGTCTCTCCCCTTTCTCGGCTGTCCTTGGGGGACGTTGAAGGGATGATGAGTCAGCGTCAACGACAGTAACACTGGCCAATCAGAGGCAATGCCGCTAGTCCGGATGAGAAGTAACCTTATTGGCATGTGGACGAATGAAAAGCTGTCGATTTGGGCGGGGCATCTTAATAAGCGATAAGGCGCCACGTTGTTCCGGGCCGAGACCCGTTGGCCAATTAGGGCGGGGGAAGCCGGCAAGCAGAAGCCCTTGCATATCGAAAAAGAGGCAGGGAAGAAAAAAAGGGAGCACAGCACATTGATACAACCGAGATGCAGGACGTCGCGGGCTTGAAGGCACTTCTAGAAGACGCTGTCTCTGCGTGATGGGTGCGAGCGCTGGCCGGCTGTTTCGCGATCAACACTGGAAGCTCTGGATCTTGGGACTTGACGCCACCTTTTTTTTCATTCCTGAAAAGAAAAAAAAACCCCGTTTACCCGATGATAGTGTCACGACCTCTACCAATGCAGATTTAAAGACCCTCAACCAGCTATATAACATACAGGATAGCGAAGAGTCTTCGCCTAATCCAAGGAGAACGCTCATTTAGAAACCGCATAGCATCGCATTTCTTCATTCGTTTTCAGGATGGCAGCAGCACCTCGTTCTGCCACAGTCGCGCCTAGGGACACTCAGCAGTATGCCCTCAGCACTGGCTCGCGTCCTTACCGGTCACACAAAGTCCGGGCATGCGACTTATGCCGAAAGCGCAAGTCTCGTTGTACGGTTGATCTGCCCGGCCAGTCGTGCCTGTTGTGCAGAGTTCAGGGGGCAGATTGCCATTATGGCGAGGACAAGTCCAACCTAATAGACCAGTCGGCACCGACCACCAGCGCAGAAACCAAGCCCTGGAGCATGCCTCCTGATACCAAAGGGCTAAAGAGAACGCATGATGAGATGAGCTCGGCATCCCCTGCTAGAAATCTGATGGAGATTCCGCCGGTTGCATCTAAAGAAAACCTTGTCAAGTCCACTCCTAAAGCAGAGAATGAACAAGGCTACAGGCACGGGCCCGGAGAGTCCGTACATATTGTCGGCCCGGTTGCCGCAGCAGATGCGCAGGTTATTGAACGGTACAGCGAACGGTCAAATAACCACAGCCCAGACCGAAAGACGCCTTATAATGTCTATTCCAACGACCCAAGAAAACCCATTCTATACACTACTGTATCGAGGCGACGGCAGGGCCTCAGGACGACCGGAACCCCGGGCGAAAATCAGCGGGAGATTATCGAGCAGGTATTAGGCCCGTTCAAACACGATCTAGTCAAGATGTATGTTCCAAGAATTTACCAGCCTTATTGCGAAATTAATCGGTCACTCACTAGTGCTTCTTAGATTCCTTGACAAAATCAATGCTTCTTTCCCAATATTTGACGAAGAAGCGTTTTTGAGCGGGTATGAGGCTGAAGACGACAGTGTCCCACCCGCATTGTTGTGTCAGGTATACGCTACATCATTAATATATTGGAATCAATCGCCGGTTCTCGCTCCTCATCCAAAACCTGACGTCAGGTATGCAGTTAACATGGCCGTCGCTGCGCTCCATGAAGAGTTTTCGGCTCCCGGGTTGTCGACTTTGACCGCAGCTTTGATCGACCTAACGGGCAGGCCTATCTTTTCTACTACGGGAAATGCTATTAACAGTGGCCGCACTGTGGCCCTTGCACACTGTTTAGGCCTTAATCGAGATCCGAGCAACTGGAAGCTCTCTCGTGCAGAAAAGAACCAGCGTATTCGGCTTTGGTGGGGGGTTGTCATCCATGACAAGTGGTAAGCCCAGACACGTCTCATCATTATCGCTGTAACCATGTATAATTAACCCCGGGTGTCAGGGCAAGTTACGGCCATGGGGTACCGCCTCATATCTCGCGGAACCAGTATGACGTTCCTCTTCCCACAATCAGCGTTCTGGTACCGCAGGCGAATCCCACACAGCAAAGAGTCAGAACTGCACATTGCTATATTGCTTTGTGTCAGCTAACTGAGATTCTTGGCGATCTTCTCCCTTTGGTATACGGGCTCCAACCGAGACCTTCAAAAGAGACATCGAAAATTCTCAGGAGAATGAGATCAGATTTGGATCGGTGGGAAGACTCTTTGCCGGACTGGCTGAAAATGCCACAAGATCAAGACACACCGTCAACCTCGGGAGTCAGCAGCATGCAGCTCGCATTTTTGGCTCTCAAAATGCTTGTTTGTAGAGTTGAACTCCAAGTAAGCCTCAATACTTCCTTCGCCAGCACAGCGGCAAGCAAATCTTCATGACGCTAATCAATTGGAGGAGGAATGGCTACAGGAAGTTAACCCCTCAGACAACCCAAACACAGAGGCACGCCGATACTTCCAGACGGAATGTAGGAAGGCTGCGGAGGAAATAGTTCAGTTCATGCTCTCGCTCAGGAAACCGCAGTATCAGGAGTTTTGGATGTCCTGTAAGTCTAAGTGATTTTCATCTCCATACAAAGGAGACCAAGGCGATACTGACCTTAATTTCAGACAGTTCATACCACCTGACGTCGACAGCGACCCTTCTTGTCCGCTCTGCGCTAGAGACATCCGATCCGGAGATTGCTCGATCCTGTCTTAACAATGTCAGTATCCTCCGTGGCGTTCTTGAAAAAGCCCGATCTGAAAATGACTGGGATGTTGGCGACATGTGTCTGGATCACTGCGAGAAGATTTTGAGCAAGCACACCACCGAGGAGGTCGTGCAAGCGTCGGAGCTGAATCGAAACGCAACCATAAATCACCACGGTTCTGATGCTCCTGAAACCGTCGTAATGACACCGTATGATCGAGCAAACCACAATGATATTGTTGACGATATGATGTCCATATCTGGTACGTTTGGGACGATGGATGGCTTTCCTTTTGATATGACCGGAATCTGGGATGTATCTGGCCTACAAGACCAGGATACCAACTTCATAAACATGACGCCGTTGCCTTAGGAAAACTTGTAAGGAAGATTTTTTTTTTTTTAAAAAAAAAAAAAAAAAAACTAAAAACACTGCATGTTTCCTTGCTGGCATTGTATATATATTCTTTCTTGGTTTTAGTGATTGGGTTATGGGCGGCCGTTTTATGATTCGAATACCCCCTGTATTTATTATATATGCGGCAGCGTGTATCATACATATCGTTGCACCACATGAACATGAGCTTTTTATTACTTTCTTGCCCGATAAAGAGGCCCAGACGGATGGCAGAGAGGGAAATGCCCAGGAGCTGAAATGGCCTTGCCGCTTGTCCAATTCCCCGCGGGCACCGTTCTACGTGGAATAACACAAAATCTATTTCACCACCGCAACCTTAACTGAAGTAAACAACCAGCTCACTCGCTGATCGATCTTTATAGTTATTGACCAAACAGCCACCTAGTTGGCTTGCTAATGGCAAGCATGTTGACTTTTCCTCTCCGGCACGGCCAGCTGTTTTCCGCAGCGTCCATCACTCTGGCTTTCCCGACACACTTTTCCGTCTCAGGGCGGTTTATATTGGTCATTGAAACCCTTCCCCGGACCCCGTATTTGGAGTATGGGATGTGACTCTTTTTGGGGGAAAAACGGTTGATGCGGCTAAACCAACCCCCAGCAGCTCTTCCTGGACCAGAACAGAATGCCATGGTTGAAACATGCATTATCCAATCAGGTACGGACGGCTCTCGATCGCTGCTTTCAATCCCAGGTTAGCGATAATCGCGCGACCCCGCAAATATGAGCGCTCCGGATATTCGAGTTGCATTGTATATATAGACGGAGGAAAGCCCGTATGTTGATGTCTCTATTCTAGGACTATCCCAGATTGAGTGCTGCGCTCATTTGGCTCTATTCAGCCAAACGCCATATGGAGAGGTTGACCAAAGGCAACAATGATATCTACAAAACACAAAAGAATATGGTGCCTGCTTTGACTCCATTATGGTATGCTACAAAGGGACTCGATGCCGCTAAGGGTAATATAATATTAGGGTCACGATCCGTTATTGATCAAAGTATTTTAAGATGTTTGAAGGGGGTACAAGGCAGGTATGTAGTCAAATACCCCATTCAAACCTACGACTGTTGGTGTGGCCGTAAACTGATCTATATATCCAGCCGGATATGATGGCTGCTGGCGCTCTTGCTGCTCTGAATCGTCCGTTTCCGCAGCTCCCCCGTGTCCACGCGCTTATGAAAACCACTGCTACCAAGTTAGAGGCTGTAGGGCATAAGTTTGGTCTTCCAGTACAGGCAAGCATGATTGTACTAGATTTTAAAGCTGCTGGTATGCCAAATGCTGCTGTGGTTAATTATTGCAAAGAGATTGGCATCACTGTTTTCCCAGGGGGAAGGCTAGTGTTTCATTATCAGATGTCGACGGATGCGGCAGAGAGGTTGGTAAAAGCCCAGTCTCTAGTAATTCAAGATGCAAAAACCGGAGCTTTAGAATATGAGGCCCCCGGATGTTTAACATTATGAATGTTTCAAACTTTAATAATTCCAGCTAACCCGGTACCTTATCCTGTTCTCGTTTTGGAGATTTGAATGAGATGCATTGCGATAAAGTACATTTTGAACTTGTTTTAATATATCAGGAGTATGTAACTGAAGTTGGCGCACATCCATTAGCATAGATTGGAGTATATAATTCCCCAACTCCTGAAATTTAGACAAGGGGAAACGCCAAACGTTGAATAGTATTATGCTGTACATGCCAATATCCACCGGTATGCAAGGGAGTCTAAAGGAAGGGATTAATATCAAAGGTAAAGGTGCAGCGATATAGGCAGGGGAGGGAAGAGTCGTAAGACAACACAGTTGGGGCCTCATGTAAACATTAAAAAAAAGAAGAGGTTTGATATAAAGACAGGTTAGAAAGTATAAAAAAGGAGGAAGCAATTCGGAAGGATGTAGTAGGCGAACTCTCCATAGAACCGTCGATTAGCATCCAAACTGTACAGTAGGGAATGAAACCCAAATCGGCCTACCATTCATCAACATTCCTCATTTATGCCTTACTCCATTTCGAGACCCTGTTAGGCCTGGCTCAGGAGTTTGCGGCGGTTTATTTACCGCCACTTCCGAAGAAGCCTGTCAAGCTGTTCTTCATTCCTTTCATCTGTTCTTCTCTAGCCTTCTCCTCTTCGGCAGCCATTTCAGCCAGCCATTTCTCGCCGTTCTCTCGGATCTCCTTTTCGATCATCTCATATTGCTTCTGACCCCTCTCACGGATTTGATCCCAGAGCATCTTTCCTTCCTCGATACCACCTGATTGGCCATCTTCAAGACCAGCTATCGATGATCCAGCGGGCTTTATACCAAAGAGGGAGCTAATGCTACCGACACTGTGTTTCGGTCTCTTGGCTCTCTCTTCGGCCAGTTGCTTTTCGAACTTGTCACGCATTGCCTTCTCTCGCTTGGCAAATTCGGCAGGGATGAAAGTCCCTTCAAAGGACTTGAGGACAGGTCTGACATCATCGATGCCCATTCCAGCAACATATTCCAAAAAGGGAATCAGAGCAACGAGTGACTTGTCCTTTGAATCTCCTTTCCACTTTGGTAGTATGATCGCGTTTTCGGGTTGGCGTTTGGCATGAGGAGCATGAGTATCGATCAATATAACTTTCGAAAGATCGCGGTTTAGGTAAGAGAGGTCCTAAATTTGACAGGTAAGTAAAAGCTCTGAGTCGAATATAGAGCACAGCCGAAGAATTACCTTGACATATTCGCCATCCTCGTACTTGGTAGCCTCCCTGAAGAGGGGCCACCTAATAATTCTGTATGGGTCAAGCTTTCGTAGAACCTGGTCTGCCATCATGCTGGGTACAGTTGTGAACAGAACCAATTCATAATACTGATTGAGATAGCGGAGGAAGTAATCAACACCAGGTCTCTTCGCTACTCGCCATCCATGCTCACGGGTCCATTCACTGTGAACAAGGAGATCCTCGAGACTAATGACGAGAGTGTATGGCTGTCTAAACTGAGGATCTTCTTCGGGTAGGAGCTTTTCAAAGGCCGGGTCCTTGTAGTAGCTTGTGATATCGGACAAGCGGGCTTTGATGCGGTTAAAGAGGAGACCGAACCCCCATCCAGAGGGTGCATCTGGGTGTGCACTTTCTTCTTCCTTCGTATCCCAATTGCGACCAAGATATGCGGTACCGGCAATAGAGAGACCCAGGAAGGCAGCAAATGTCAGGTTAGTCATTTTATTTCTGCGTCTTTCAAGGGAAGAAACGTATTCGTCCTTTGGAGTATCACCACGACCCCCGTCATCCTCGGATTCTTTCTCCGGGTCCTCGGTCAAATTGAGGCCTCTACTGCGGCGCTTCGATTGTGACTCCATTTCTACACCCAAAGTAGACGGAATACCTTGGGTCAGATCTGGAAGAGGTTGTTGTTCTTGCTGACTGACATTTTCTGGCTCTGACTTCTCATTCTCGTTCTCGGCGGACGGTTGTTTTGACCCAGCCCCAGCTCCCGCCAATTGAGGAGCCGTGTTCTTTTGTGATTCAGAGGATGTCTCGAATTCGACTTGTTCTTCCGAGAATTTGTCTGTAGCCGGTGTCTTTGGCTGAGGAACAACTCTAGGCTTCTGGTCATCCGACAGGGGTCCCGACGAGGGAGCAGAGGATGGGATCGTGTAGCCACTGGGTTTCGATGGCTTCTTAGAGTCACGGGCATAGAATCTGGCATGTGAGGATGTGAGGGACAGCCTGGTGCCAGCTGTTATGGCCCTCTGTCTTGCGAGTGGAAGTATAGCGCGTGAAAGCATCTTGGGCTGTATGTGCCGTGACCTGACGTCGTTTGTTCAACAAATATCAGACAACTAGCTCCCTCATTGACTCATATCATGGGCTTGTTGAAGGAATACGTAAAAAGGATAATCCAATTTCTCACAGCTTCTGCTTCTCCCTCTGCTGTCCTGAGGCTCTGACAGAGAAAAATTGATGTCTATATAAAATCTGAAAAGCTTCAACCTTCCCAGATGGGACTAGACCCGCAAAAACTTGTATCACGTGAACTCATATTATATAATCATCTATTCCTTCGAGCCTTTTCGTGTTCAAATTTTTTCAGCTTCGGATTCTTCGTTCTTTTCCTCTCTCTCTCTCTCTCTTTTCTTTCTCTTCTTCTTCCCAGAAAGTTATTAATCGACCCCAGTGAGCGAAATTTGACACCTTGCTCGCCGTCAGTGCCCATTGTGTTGTAATAGCTGGGTAGATCAAGGCTATGTGACATATTTCATATAGCCATCGCGCCACCAAGAGAAACAGCTAGGGCTTCCTTCCTATGAGTTGCTTGGTCTCCGTCGGTGTCGACACATCGGTTACGCTCTTTTCTGTCGCTTCGTGTTGAATACGCTCTCTGGCAGCAGCTTGGTTTCGCTGGAGAATGGTAGACGAGCTACTTGTGTGGTCGGGACCTCTGCAGCTTTGAGCATTGTATGCCTTTCTATCGTTTTTTCGGTTTCGGACCTGCAACGACTACCATGATACCGCCATCCACTAAGGGCGTGAGTCACCAGCTGAAAGAGCGAGAGCAGGAAAACGAGTGTAGATTCTTCGATCTGCCCTGGGAGCTCCGGTGTAAGGTGTACTCGTATATCTTTTCAGGACCGCCCCGGATCGTGAAACCCGTCAGGCGAAACCGTAAAACAACCGACAAAGAGCTGGCCTCATCACCGTTCGGCCGGCACAGGCGTACAAGTATCATGCTGGCCTCCCGCCGATTCCACGATGACGTATCCCAATATCTCTACTCCTCGTACACATTCCGCATCTTTCCCGTACAACATCAGCCGTCCATCGTGCCGAACGTCTGCGACCTCGCGCCGCGATACAAGAGTGCGGTGAGGGTTTTACGGCTCGTGCTGGGCTCGAGCTGGACTGAGCCACCGGAATCCTGGGTTGTCAATGAGAAACTCGGGCTTAAATCAATGGAAGGAGTCCATACGTTGGAGATACTCGTTCTGTGCGACCCGTCAAACCCAATGTTTGAGCCGTTTCGCATTTCCAAGGATTTTTATACCAAGTTTTCATGCCGGCTCCTGCATGGCATACTAAAAGACCTTCCGAGTTTGCGATATGTTGTCATTGACGGTTACTCGTCGATCGAGAGAAATGGCGGCCTGGTCAGCGGTCTTGTTCAAGAAATTCAGACTACGAAGAAGAAGATTCGATGGGCTGGCCCCTTCAAATCTTCGAATCCATCCACGGCTCCCTGTTGATATTTAAGCACTTATCTGGATGTTTAATGATTCCCCGGTTTTCTTTGATATATACAGCGTTCCAACTTTCACTGTATCGATAGACTTTTTTACATAAGTACATACATTAATAGACTAAATATCACCCGTATAATTGATTGTTAAGTTATGAATGGGCCATTGCTCCTGTATATCATGTAGATGAAGTCGTATTTCAAAGGCAGGACATAATGATACATAGGCAACTGAAAATTATATTTCCTCATCAGTCTCCATCATGTCTTGCTGGTGTGCCTTGGATCGGCTGTCTCGAGCTAGAGATGCCTCCTTATCAATCATCTGTCGAGATACAGCCACGATGTTGTCCTCTATTAGCCGTTGACCAACATCCTCGATGTCTGTTAGAGAGAGAAAAATTCAAAGTTAGTCGAGGTATAAATATAAATGCTGCGCTGATTAAAGGGGTCCTACGTTTCTTGGGGTCCAGTTTTCCAACATATCGTGTCTTGAGCTGTTCCGGTGTCAGCTCCGATTCCTCCTTAACCCTCTTTTCGTATCCTTCAGCAAGTCCAACAAGCTTCTGCAGCCGCTCCACATTTTCGTTGCGTTCCTCCCTAAAATCATTCATCTGAAGAGCTTCAGTCCATACATGCTTGTGGAGGTTCATGAGCATATTCTCTTCCAGGCCAGTCTTTCGGTAGTTGATGGCAATACTGTAGTAATGACGGTTCAAGCCATGAATCAAAGCTTGAATGGATGGTTTATTAAGGTGTCCAAGGTTAGATGTGGTCTGACGAGGTTCCTGGCCCATGACAAGAGTCTGAGGGGATATTAATCGGAAAGCATCGATGACGACTTTCCCCTTGACGGATTGTATAGGATCAACGACAACGGCAACGGCACGAGGAGTGAGCTGTTCAAAAGATTGTTGAGTATTGATATCAACTGAAGAAAGCCAACACCCAAATCCTGGATGGGAGTGGTACCATCCCACGACGGTTTCTGGTCTATACATTTACTTATGAGTAAAAGAACAAACAATCCATGGAAGCAGGGATAAACTGTAATCTGTATCACTGTACCTTCCAGTCTGTCGAAGCATCTCCATCATCTTCGTCTGAAATACGGGGTCAACAGCTTCGACGCTGACCCCGGTACCGCTCTGGGGCATAGCGAACACATCTACAACTCTGACTGTGTATTCGTCCACAAATTCTCCCAGCATCAAGCCCATTACTTCCATGGGTACACCCGCACGACCGTGCCGTAACATCTTAAGAAGAGCCAGAGAGGATATATGAACGGTCTCGGAGTTATCAATAAGGTTGGGAGTATCCTATCCAGGCCATGGGTCAGATATGGGGTTTCCATGAAACACAAAAGGCGCCATGGCCATAGAAACAAGGTAGACATAGAATGATCTCTTACCCCCTGAGCAGCATTACTCATGCCCATGCCCTGGGCAGCTTGTAACATTCGGCTAAACCGTTCCATAATGACAGCCTGCTTTGCCTTATTACGAGGAAGCTTTGAAGTAAAAAGACGTCGCGCACAAACGGCCGGTGTCTTCCTAGCCACGAGTCACCGGTCTAGGAGCAAGGAAAGGCAGTGAAAGGAAGGGCAAAGGAAAGGCAGGAGTCGAGCTTGTTGCTTTTGCTTGTTGCTTTGCTTTGGCTTTCTAAAGTCCATGAACGTCGCTTTTTGGCCGAAGCTGCAGGGTGGAGCGCCAGATGGTTCCGGCAAGTTAATCCGGAAACCGAGTTCCTGCTTAGTCAGCCGCTCCTGTTCATGCATTTCAACTTCTCATCGCCCAACGAGAAACATTTCATCATTTCGCATTCTACGTTTGCTCGCAGCAGCAGCAGCAAAGCTCTTCACAGGACTCTTTGATTTGCGATATTGCTACTTCCACTGTGCTCTCCTCGGGCTATGGGGCTTGCCGTTTCTCTCTGACTGCTTGACCTCCTCTACCCCTTTTGCAGGCTTGGTTTACTGTGACAGAACAACTATATACCTGCGAACTGTTTTTGAAGCTCCTCCGTTACCCGAATTACCCAAAACTTGCCCATCATGACCGGGTTTGCACCGCTAGATGCTCCCGTTACGAATGGGTCCACGGATAAGAAGCGCATTGCCTACTTCTATGACTCGGATGTGGGCAATTATGCCTATGTCGCTGGGCACCCCATGAAGCCTCATCGCATTCGAATGACCCACAGCTTGGTGATGAACTATGGACTTTATAAAAAGATGGAAATATATGTAAGTTTGTCTAGCCCGTTGTTTCATACTTTTTGGGTCTATTTTTGCTATTTTTCAATACGGAAGTTCAAACAGGAAATTGATAACTGACGGGAAACAACATGATTTATAGCGCGCGAAACCCGCAAGCAAATTTGAGATGACGCAGTTTCATACCGATGAATACATAGATTTTCTTGCCAAAGTTACACCCGATAATATGGACCAGTACGCGAAGGAACAGAGCCGTTATAATGTTGGTGATGACTGCCCTGTATTTGACGGTCTTTTTGAATTCTGTGGAATTAGCGCAGGAGGCTCTATGGAAGGTGCTGCGCGCCTCAACAGAAATAAATGCGACATTGCAGTCAACTGGGCGGGCGGTCTTCATCACGCAAAGAAAAGTGAAGCGAGCGGCTTTTGTTACGTTAACGGTAGGTCTTACACCTGCTTTTTCCTTTCTTCGAGAACGAAGCTGACAACTTTTCATTAAAGACATTGTTCTCGGCATTCTCGAGCTTCTGCGTTTCAAACAGCGTGTTCTTTATATTGATATTGATGTCCACCATGGCGATGGTGTCGAGGAGGCATTTTATACCACCGACCGCGTTATGACGGTCTCATTCCATAAATATGGAGAATACTTCCCCGGGACCGGCGAACTGCGTGACATTGGTGTCGGCGCAGGGAAGTATTATTCTGTCAACTTCCCTCTCAGAGATGGCATAGATGACGTTTCCTATAAAGGCATCTTTGAACCAGTTATCAAACATGTTATGGAATGGTACCGCCCAGAGGCTGTCGTCCTTCAGTGTGGTGGTGATAGTTTGTCTGGTGACCGTCTGGGATGTTTCAACTTGAGTATGCGCGGCCATGCAAACTGCGTTAAATACGTCAAAAGCTTCAACCTCCCTACATTAATCCTGGGAGGTGGAGGTTACACAATGAGAAACGTTGCTCGAACATGGGCATATGAAACTGGCGTGCTTGTTGGAAATCAGCTTCCAACAGAGCTTCCATATAACGACTATTATGAAGTAAGTTTTCAGATTATCCAACACTCTATTCAGGTTGCGTGCTTACTGTATTTCAGTACTTTTCTCCTGACTATGAATTGGATGTTCGGCCATCGAACATGGACAATGCCAACTCCAAGGAGTACCTGGAAAAGATTCGAATGCAAGTTGTTGAAAATCTGCGGCGCACTACATTTGCTCCATCAGTTCAAATGACAGATGTTCCAAGGGACCCATTAGTTGATGGTATGGATGACGAAGCGGATGCTATCCTAGATGACCTTGATGAAGATGAGAATAAGGATAAGAGATATACAAAACGACGATTTGACAATTACGTCGAAAAGGATGGCGAACTAAGCGAGAGTGAAGATGAAGAATCTGCAGCTGCAAACGGTGTCCGTCGTCAGCCGAATAGAGAAAGGAGGCGAGGGAATATCAATTACCGTCACCTGGATGGGGACTCCACTATAGATAGTGGGATTGTCACTCCTCGAGACGAGTCATCCATGCCGGAGGAGGAGCCTGAGCAGGCTGATAAGATGGACGAAGCAGAAAATGCAGAACCTCCTGCCAAGCCCTCTCCTCCTGCAGTTGAACCGTTAACCAAGCCAGATTCATTAATGGAGGATGATGATACTCCAGTTGCCGAAACCAACGGTGCCGCTCAAGAGGTCGAGGAGAAAGAGCCTACTGTTTCCACACCTGCCTCGAACTTAGAAGTCCCTCATGACAATGTTGACGGGGACACCACCATGGAAGACGCTGATGTTAATATGGACGAAACTATCGAGCTAGAACTTCCAGCCGAAGAACAAGAGGAAGAATCTGCTGCAAAGGCTCCTGCACGGGAGACGACACCCCCCAAACCCACGGCGGCTGAAGAAACTAAATCGAATGCTTCTGGGGTAGAAAACGCTGCTACAGAGCCTACGCAGGTAACTTTTACCACGGAAGTCAAGGAAACAAAGCCTGATACTGATGCGTCTAAGGAGGCTCCAAAAGAGAAAGAGTAACTTGGTACTCTCCCCTTTTCCTTCCTGTTATCTTCTGGTTTTTCTAAATTGAACACACTGTTGCTATGTATCTGTTATTGGCGCTTGGGGAAATATCCATCTAGGAGTTTTGCTTTGGGGTCCAGCATGGCGAGGAATGACTTATGGAAAAGGAGGCGTCGGCTGTCTCTGACGTATGTTCCGTGAATACGTCAATTGTTCTTCTCTGGTTTTTTTCTTTGCCATTTGACAATGCCTTATTCTTTTCCAGTTTTGCTTTGCTATCGCCATCTAAACCATCTATTTTTGTATCCCTCCTGACAATCAAGACCACATGACTTCCAAATCGGGCATTATTTTAGGTCTAGGGTAAATCACGTGAAGATAATACGCTATTCTGCTTTGGGCCAACCAGAAAACACCGCCAAGATTTTTCTTTCTGCCCACATTAAGCGAAATCTATCTTTGCTGGAAACGGAATTTGAAGATAGCAAGTTGTCAATTATCGGATTCTACGACCACCCAGCCTTCTTACGTCGTTTTCCCTTTGTCGGTAGAAATCTGTCATCATGTCGAAGAGAGGGTAAGCCAGGCCACATTTTGACGTGACCGCCGATATGCAACCTCTTGCGTCGAGGCTTGTACTTCAAGCCTAGGAAGCGAAAAGCAGACAAGCAGAGTAGCAACGTCGCGAATCAGAGGAATATAGCTAACATGATTTGTGTGATATTAGTCGTGGCGGTGCCGCCGGCAACAAGCTGAAGATGACCCTTGGTCTCCCAGTGTACGTATCTGCGATTTCCCCAGGATCCGACATGAAATACACCACTGCGCCATTCGCCTACGAAGGACAGAAAACAATATGACAATACAGGCTATTATTTACAAAAGAGCTGGATCAGCCCATTGGGGGCTGTCGAATTAAGCGTGGATGACGGAGTTCTTTCGACTGCAGAACGTTACATGTTCAACTTTACTGATATCTGTACCCTCAACATAGTGGTGCAGTCATGAACTGCTGCGACAACTCTGGTGCCCGAAATCTTTACATCATCTCCGTCAAGGCTACCGGTGCCCGTCTCAACCGTCTCCCCGCTGCTGGTGTTGGTGACATGGTTATGGCTACCGTTAAGAAGGGAAAGCCAGAGTTGAGAAAGAAGGTTATGCCCGCTGTTGTTGTCCGACAGAGCAAACCATGGAAGCGACCTGACGGTGTCTTCCTCTACTTTGAAGACAACGCTGGTGTCGTAAGTTCTCATTACTCGACCCCCAGTCACTTCAGTCCTATAACGGAGTTGCTAACGTGAATAATTCAATTATATAGATTGTAAACGCCAAGGGTGAAATGAAGGGATCCGCCATCACAGGACCAGTTGGAAAGGAAGCCGCAGAACTATGGCCCGTAAGTCCCTTTTTAAACAAAAGTCAGTGCTGCAATCTGTTCTCGGACTAACTGTTTTTTCTTCATCTAGCGTATTGCCAGTAACTCCGGTGTTGTGATGTAAGAGGTTGGTAGCAGGTTACCAGGGGCGTTGATTCTTAATTTTATGTGATACGCAAAAACACAGTCATAGTTTTCTCGCCTTTTTCCATGTTTGGCTCTGGCGGTCATCCCTGTTGTATGAGAGCATAGCACTTCCCCATATGGGCCTCACTTCCGAGCCTCGGTGGGAAAATACCCGACTTTCACTGAGATATACAGTCAAGTCTCAAATACAACATGAATAATAAATCGGCGGACACCATAACTAGTAGAGATTGAGATTTTTTTTCGTAAGTCAGAATTGGCAGATATGCAGTGGTTTATTGAACATATACATCCATTGAGATTTATCCATGGAATACCTGTCCTACAGGGGCAATCTCTGAATGACAGGTTTAGACAATCTTGATATATTTCTCCAATGTTTCAAGATTATACTACATTATTGATGGTGTAAATGCCACTTTATTGCTATATATGAAGTGTTGCGAAAATTTCACAAAAGAACGCCAGTAATGCATACTACCTAGTAGCAAGAACTCAAATGATTCCTCCAAAACTCTATTCAATCGATCATATATTCATCCGATCTCATGATCCCTTTTGCTCACGAACTCCTGGACGTAGCTGTTTCAGGTCGCACCTGAGTCCTTATTCTTTTTCTCTTCGGTTGCTCCTTTTGATGCCCTCCTCTCGTCAACAAGGGGTGACCGGCTGGAGGTGATTAAGATAGTCACCCAGGTCAAAGCAGCTATGAGAGTTGCAAGCGCAACAATATGGATTACCCACCAGATATGCTGAATACCTAGCTGACAGGTTGTGATTTCATATTTCCATTCTTGAGATGACTCAGCATCGAACCAGACCGACAAAAGTCCAGCATTACCGTCAAATTCTCCCATCATCGAGCGTAGCGTGACTTCTCGAATAGCTGGAGTTGGTGTAAAGGCTGAGTCAAAACCTGCGTCACTGTTAATTGATTCTAGCACCCCTGCAGGCACCTCAGTAGGGTATTTCTTTGCATTCCATGACCAGGCGGCATCTGATATGTGCTCTCCTTCAGCAGCACCGCTTTCACTATCACTACCTATTTTCCTGTCCACGTAGTGAAGGACATCGCACCCAGTATGATCGTGGCCTGTCAAGATTAAACCATTACGCCCTTTCCCAGAATATGGGGCGTTGAGGTCTCCCGACATTCCAAATATGCCTTGCAGGATGCCATTATGACTAACATAATCACTTAGGTGATTTTGCTCTTTCAAGCCACCGGCCTTGAACCTCGGTTGATCATCTTTCGGATGTTGATCGTCTTCATTGTGGAAAGAAAAGTAAGGCGGGTCAGTGCACACTCCCTCCTGTTTGTGGAGCGGGAGATGAGTTAACAATAGAGTAAATGTTGTTTTGTCCTCGACAGGGCGTGAACGGTCAATAACATCGTTGAGATATTGGTATGATTTTCCTTGAATAGAAACATCTAGCGCTGGGGTATCAAAGGTAAGAGTGTTAAGCACAACCAAGTGTATAGAGGGAATTGCTCCAGACTTTCTGTGTGTACCATTGAGATCCAGAGCAAGCTCTGGCATCGGTAGGTTGAATCGAACATCCCAATTAGTACTGCCAAACTCCCTTTCAAATCGATCTATTCGTTTCTGAGAGATATCACCTGCATAGCCAATATCATGATTTCCAGCAATATTAATAATCCGATTTGACCAAGTATCTGCATCGATATCGAGAATGATTTCCTGGCCGATACTGACGCCAGTTTGTTGAGTATATCCATCTCTTCCAGTAGCCATCATATCATCCGGCACCTTCACACCCCCTCGAAAGGTCCTATTCCAGTACCTCTTTGAACGAATATTAAATTCCTCGTCTGACACCCATTGGCTCCCAATAAGGTCCCCCAGAACAGCGGCATGAGTCGGACGACTCCACCACGACAATGTTCTGTATATATGTGCAAGATAATAATCGTTTCCCAGAAGATCAAGCCGTTTGCGAATCGTTCCACCCAATCGAGGGATGTCCGTCAGTACCACATCGCGTATACTTTTCACAGTAGCAAAATAACACTCGGAGATCGAATCAGCGGATGTTATGTCTTCCCAGTGCTTCTTAAGCTGTGGTAGGAATGCATCATCTGGCTTAGGCAATGAAGTGTCGCCTTCAAGCTGCGGGTCAGCAAGCACAAGTAGCCGAAACGGCGCAGACTTGGGGCTTTGTTGAGTATAATCGCGCAGGCCAACGTGTTCGCGGACGGTATTCAAATAGGCATCACCGGTATATGGAGGGTAGAAGCCGGCGCTGCCGTTTGTAGAGGCTGGGAGAGGAAAAGCACATCCGTGGAATAAGGGGTAAAAATAAAGGTAACAAAGAGAGACAGCGGATACCGGCAGAAGAACAGCGACAGCCCGCTGGAGAATTGCGGGAAAACACAGATGCATTAGCATCCAATGTCTCTTGAAAAGTGAACCTAAAAGGAGAGTGTTGCTGATATCATGAACTGGCGAGAATTGATCGCACAGGGCGTCTTCGATCTTTGTACTGAGATTAAGCTCTAACTAACTAGTTCAAGTTGATTATATCAGCATCCGCAGCGTGGCTCTCTCATCCTTGGCACGAGTAGTTTGATAGAAGAAAAGCATCGCAAAGCGTATTCCAAATTTGATATGTAAGTGGAGTGCCGTGGGTACGGCAAAATATCTTTAAACGCTAGAAGTACAGATTCAGGGGTTTCTACGCCGTCGTCCATCCCATCTGTCTGGATTGTTACTCAACGTCTTGAATTGCACCTAAGATATAGGAACTATCATACAAATAATGAACAAGAAGCAAACAAGATTCATAAAAAAAAAAAAAAAAAAAAATCATATATTAAAGGTCGTATTAAGTAGATAGTATCAGTAGATGTGAGAACTGCCGGAATTCCCTCGCCAAGGGTAGAGTTTTGCAGTGCAGCGTAGGATGAGTGACCTCGCTATAAACATCAACAGACAAGCAAGCCATTAATCAGAAAAGAGTCCAAAATATTGGGCAGTAACGGAGGGATATAATAGATTAAGAGAGGAATTTATGGGAAGTAAATATAAATAAGGGGTATATCCGTGGGGACGCCTGTCGTGATGCTCGAACATTCTACTTGTTAAACCAATCAAGTGAGTGAAAAGGAGAACGGAAATGAGATAGATTTCAGATGGGTAATGCTTGAGGGAAAACATGAGGGGAAAATGATGCCCGGAGAAAAGGAAAGGACGAGTAAAACGAAATTAGAAGTATATGCGATAAAGTGGTGATGTAGGCTGTTTGTGACGTGAAAAGCAGAAGAAAAGTGAGCCCAAGTCAGTAGACTTAGGAGACGTTCACTTAACTGGAAGTTCGGGTCTGATCCACGGAAACCGAATCTGGGAATAGAGAGGTAGAGCCAGTATCTATATCAATCTTTTGGAAATCGGTAGTACTGGTTTCGGCAGTCGTTGCAAGGGTTGCGCTATTCGAAGTAGACGTATCACGAGAACTCTCTTCCTCCGGCTTTTGTGGCCTTGACATTGAATCAAGAGGAGGAGTTGGGGACGATTGAGCGAGTAAGCGTGCCTGCTTTAAAGTGATAGTCTTTTGTTTATTCGTTGTCTTCACAGGGAGATTTAGGTCTCGTTCAATCGTCGCTTTCATTATGGCCGCCATCCAGAGACGGCCTTGTTGGATATTGTCAACTTGGAAAAAGTGGATAGCTGGTTTAGTGAACTGGACAGCGCGGGAAATGCCAGCCTTTGGTGGAACCAGTTTGAAGATAAATGGCGGTTCTGCGGAGCTGTTGCGTCTGGAGCCCCCGGTCTTTTCCTCAGACTCAGTTTCTTCATGTTGAATATCGCTGTTAGATGTGGTAGTAGGCAGGGGTTTGGTTCTCGTTAGAGTGGCATGCAGGGATGTAATTGCATCTTGATCAGCCCGGAACACACGGTGAGAGGAAATATCAATTAGGCCACGCTCTTCAGTATCGTCCTCAGAGTAGTAGTATGACAAGCGACGGCCCTTGAGGATGAACAAACGCGGTTTCCAAGTTGTCATTAGGTTAGAAGATTTTTTCTTCATCCAACCATAATAGTCGGCATTTTCCATCTGTTCCTTTGGAGTCTTCTTCTCTAGGCCACGGCGATAGGCACTTGTATCTTTTTTCGACTTGCTTCGTTGGCTTCCATTCCCGTTCTTCATAACCGCGAGACCCTCGAGTCTAGAGCTCTCCATGCTATCCATTTCTAGGCTTCTGCTGGTCCCAGTCCCGGACGGTGTGCTGGAATCTGTTCGAGTGGGTGACTGTGGTAAATCCCTGCTAGATGAGGGTATAGGAGAGCTGATACGAGTCTTTTCGCTGCCAGTAACGGCATCGGATATAGCACGAAGCCCAATAGTCCTTCTTACCTTTGGCGTGATAGCCTTTAAGCTAGAAGTGGATGGTAATGGGGACGACCGCCCAGAAGCTTCGTGACTCTTTCCATAACCAACAATGGATGACAGAAGTCCTGTTGGAGACTCAGGTGTTGTCTCCAGGTTTGTAACGGTTGGTGAGTGGGATTCATCTTCAAGCAACTCAAGGGCACTGTTGGTGGTATCTTGAGAGTGCGTCTTCGGGTACAATGGCTTCAAAGAAGTCAAGTCTCTCATAGAACCTGTGCTGCCGAACCTAGTGTGCCTCTTTTTCTTATCGTCAGCTACTGCAGCAAGACTTGAATGCCTAGAGTGGCTGTAGCTCCGCTTGCTGGAGTCCCTCTTGCGAAGAACCCTCCGCTGTTTTTGGCCTTCAACATCGCCGCCGGAGAAATATCCTCGATCAATGTCAGGAGAACCACCAAAACCATTACTAGAATCATCCGTCTTGTTGCTCTCAGTTTTGTAGAATTGTTTGGTTGCTGCTAAGGAACTGCTTGGCCGCTGTCCATTGCTGCTGCTATTGGCTGTTAAAGGGCCATTCATGGTCCAACCACGATCAAAGGATGGTTTCTTCTCATGGGGTGGAGCTGGTGCTTTCCTTGATGCAGAAAATGCGCTAGAATCGGCCAAGGGGAAAACGGACGTGTTTTCAATAGAAGAATATCGATGGCGGTTGCTCCGGCGAATGGAGTCCGCGGACGGTCTGGTAGTGGTATCGGCATCATGTGGTTGGGATAATGGAGGAGCAGAAGTCTGTGTTCCATAAGATGTGTCACGATACTTCACTGTACTCCTGTCTCTAGAGCTGCGCGGGTTGTGATGATGTCTCTCACCCAAGCTAGGGATGCGGGGAAGATAAGAACCTGACATCGCTGACTTCGTGTGGGATCGATCGTAGTCTTCGGGGCTATGAGAGCTTCCCTTCCTCAAGTGCCTTGGGCCTTGTATCTCCTCCTGGAATGCTCTTATTTTATGCCATGTCTTGAGTCTCCTCCCCATGACTCCGAAATCGAACTCCCTCATATAAATAAATTCTTGGTCCATGTCTAAGAGGACATCACCAGAAATCTCCTGGGATTCAAATATATCGCAGTGATTTGGATCGACCCCGATTTCTTTAAGATGGCGGGCCATTTGACGATGATCCCACTTTCGAACCTGTGCCTCGCTTGGAATTTGTTCTTCCTCTTCGTCGGTCTCCTCACCACGAATGTACGACATGCGATGATCGGGATAACTGCTGTACTCACTACTGGAATCATGCACGCTATTGTTTTCCTGGGTTGCGATGCTGTGTCGTGGAGTACTGAAATTGGTAATGTGTTCGTCAATCACACTCAATGTCTCATTCAAAACGGGGCTTTCCTCTCCACTAATAGACATATTCCCTAGTGTCTCACTAATTGTCCGCTGAATGGTTGGAGATGGCTGGGCAGAGCCTGCAGAAGCCGGCCGCTGTTGCGACAAGTGGCCGGCTGCGACGCCGGTACCTGATTCGGCTTCCAAATCAGACAAGGGCTTCATGTCAATGGCGCTGACATGCCTTGAGGGCTGAGGTGTAGTTTCGTCATTCGACACTGGAGAGACAGGGTCACAACTGCTGCCGAGAGATGGAGAACCGACGTCAGGAGTAGCAGAGTCCCAAAGCGGCTCTGCAGAGAGCGTAGCATCCTTTGTCTTCCTGACGCCGATCTTGGGAGCGATGACAGTATAAACTATGCCACCCAAAGTTAGCCATCATAATAGTAGCAATTCCAACTCTGTGACAGCTTACCTCCAGGAAACAGGCCTGTTCGATTTTCCGTTACGTGTCTACCGAGGTACCAGCCATCCCCGAACCCTTCGTCGAGCTCAAGGAGCTCAACCTTATCGCCTCGCCGTAGGGTCAGCTCATCCGCACTTCGAGCATCAAAGTCGTCTGTTGCAATCAAAGTCTAGGTTAGCAAATGATGATGTTGATGACGATGAATATCGGTAGAAATGCTTTGAAAAACCACTCACGATTGACTAAAAGGACGTCGCCCGGATGAGCATCGCGCGCACTTGTTGGACGTTGTGGCATGTTCGATTATGTATTAATCACGATCACCCCTTGGAATAGATCAAGGAGAGGGTATTAAGAGAAAAAAAAAATTATTTGAACCCGTCGGGGTTTGGCGCCGTAAGACTAGGGTCTGCCGTAGACAATCCCACGGAGGGGACAGAGAAGAAGCTTTGGTCAGAGGATAGCCCTGGTTCTAGTAGTCGTACCCGACAAAATCTGTGACAGGCCGTTCGAAAGATTGGGGTATATTTGACCCGTCGGGTGCGACAGAAAGTTGGATGTCGACCACGGGTCGAGGGAGGCCGTGAGACGCAGACAACCGCACCGGAGTAAAAAACAGACGGAGTGAGAGAAAGAGCCGGCCAAAATCCAATTCTCTAGAGCAGTGTTGGTTCCAGTCAAGCTGCCCAACGTTGAAGAAGGAGGTGGGGAGTTGTGAGCAGTTCTAGGGGTGCGTCTGTTCTGGCTTGGTTCGACTGGTTCGACGTTGCAACTAACCGAGCTGAGGGCGGCGCAACGGGTAGATGGCTAGAGGGGAGGAAGACTCAACATGCGCAGAGCGTGAGCATGCGATGAACATCGTTGCAGCAGCAACTCGGTAGAAGATAAATAAGCAGCAGCAGGAGCAGGACGGGCTTCGTCGACGTCGAGGCAGAGGAGGAAGAAGAGGAAGACGACGAGGTGGACGAGAAACCAAGAAGTCGACGTGGGACGAAGCAAAGGCGAAAAAAGGCAAGCGCTGCTTATATAATCATAAGTTATATAAGCTGATTACCTAATATTGCCGAGGAAGAATTTTTCAGTCTTGCTGCATATATTTAGACATTACCAGTTCAAGTCAAGCCGCTCAAAAATCAAGCTTTGTGTCGATAAAGGTATGGTTCTGTAAATTTTATATATTCTCCGGGATTAACGTAGGATCCGGATATGTCTACTGCACCAGAGATAGGGAAAAGAAGTCCGTAATAACCAGGATTAGGTCCTATTATTAAGCTGCGAGAAAACCTCTTTAATATAAACGTATTGTTAATTCTACCTTGATTTCTACTAAGGTCGTAAATAGTATCTCTTTGTAAAGATCTAAATGTTCTAAAAAGTGCTCCATTTCTTAACTCGCTTTGGGTCTACACAGCGCCATACACTCTCCTTTTCTAGACTTATTCGTGCTGTTTGAAACCATTCCCCTAGGGTCTGCAGGTGTTCGGTAGCGTCGTCAAAGTCATATTCTAGAGCTCGTCCAAAAAAGCCGTGAGGTATTAGTGTCCACGTAACGGGCTTCTAGAAGGAAACATAGCAGAACTTTCAAAGCGAAGGCGACTCAGGAAATATAAATAAACAAAGAGAAGACATTCTAAGTCTCCCCTTAACATCGCCATCTCATGGTGGGGTTCGAGCGCAAGTGAGTCCGTGGTAAGTTACGGCTGTAAGTGACATACCCTCCCGCCGACTCCACTCTCCGCAGAAGTGACTGCCAAGCCCGGTAAGACGCGGTAAAAGCTAACTCTTCATTCAATACTGCAAAGTTAATTTAAGCGCCCGGGTTCGAACTTTCGAAATATAAAAAAGGGCGTCGAAAAGATTTCCTTTGCAATTGCTTGTAAAAAAGGCCACTGATAAAGAGGAAGAGGGGGCGAAGAAGCAGGGTAGGAAGCAGCCAAGGGAGGATAGGAGAAAGAGGTTTCTTTGTCCCAAAGCACAATCTTGGCCAGCCCCTTGGTTCGCCCTAGCCTGGTCTACTCTGTCAAAACAGAGACGCGCAGAGGGGCAAAGAAGCAGCAACTTATACTTAAACCGCGAAAACATCTCTGCTCCACTGGCTAAACTTACGCTAACAACCTAACCAGCCCCTTTTTATTTTCTGCCTCCCCCATGTTCCCTATTTCTCTGCCCTCTTTTTTTTTTTTTTTTTTTTATTTCTTGCTATAGAAGGTGGAATAGGATTGCTTGTTAGTGATCAAGCCAGCTACTTAGTAACACAAGAGAAAAAGGAAATCACCTCTGCATGATGTAACTAGAGGTCCGGATTCTTGTGGACGTGGCGCAAAGATGATATCCTCAAATATAAGAAAACAACCAGCATCGTCTATAAGACAACAGGCTAATGATTCTGGGCTTGTCGCGTCAAATTCAACTGCAAGCCGCTTTCTAGGAAGTAGGCCAAAGGCATGGATGCAGAACGCAAGCATATCTAGCCCTGCTTCCCCTATCACGCGCAGACCTTCACGGCTCCTTCCTCTAGCTAATAAAACCCAGCTAGACCCTAACCTAAGTTCAGAAGCTACTTGTCCCTCTGGAAATACAAATGAAGATAAAAATATACCAGCTTTTAAGGAGCCTAAGGGTGCCGCCCCTACGCAATGTCTTTCGCCAATATCACCCAACATGCTTACTCCGGCTATATCTATCACGTCAGCCCCGGTGCAGCAAGATCAGCAGGTGCAGCAGTCAGTGCACCTAGCACAAACTGTGGAGCAGACTACCCAACATCTGCCTTCTCTTAGCCTTAGTCACAGGTCTCATCCAGCAGGAGATATACCTTGTGCCAACCAAGTGACTGCTGACATTGAAGTGCCGGCTGTGTCAGTCCTTCCAGCTTTAGGGCATCATACTACTCCTTCAGTGCAAGGCTCTCACGCTTCTCAGGTATCTCAGGATAGTCCTCAAGTTGACCGCTCAACTATTCCCCAGGAACATCCGCTCGCTGAGGCAGCTCGGTGCAGTGAGCAGGACGGCGAAGGCCAAGATAGGCATCAAAATAAGCGCCCGCGTCTAACAACCTTCCAACCGCCAACGACTACTTCTCATTCCACTGCTCCTATTACTCCTGTTGCTCCTACCACGATAACCACCGTATCTACTGCCAGCACCGCCGCTATTACCGCAGCAACAACTACTGCTTCTGCTCCTCACACACCAACCTTGCTGCAACCGCTGTTACTTACGCCTCTCATTACTGGAGCGGGTGCAAACCTGCCTGGAAACGCACTACCGCCCCTCCAACAACCGCCAATAGACCTCTCCCCCCAGGCTTTGAACTCCTGCGCACTGTTCTTAAGTAGCATCGCCTCAAAGTTTCAGCCAACTGAATCTACTTTCATTTACATGCTAAGGGACGCCTGTATAAGCTACGATCTCCAATATCTCGCCCTTCATCAGCTGTACTGCTTGTCCCTCAAATTTCACGGGTCATATCCAGGTATCGGAAATTATGCAACAAGAGGCATCGAAACGGTTCTAGGCTTGATTTCTAATTCTGCAAAACTTTCCGCCACTTTTATAGAATACTTCAGTGCCTTCCCTTCCGATTATCCGACCATCGTTTCCCGAAATAAACAATACGCGGCTGTGGTGAGCGCCATTATAAGCTGGGCGGCTTCTCTGGTAAATACATGGCCTCCTTTCTTTTCGAATGTGATAAATCGTGGGTATCCACCTTTGCTAGACGAGATCATAACGTCTCTCGGCGTTCATTCAAATGTCATGCATGGTATATTCTACACTGGCTGCGTTTCGAGACTCGTTGCAAACCGGGCCCCAGGGCTGCGAGAGGCGTGGAAGCATATCCTCAAGAAGAATATTGATTCTTATAAGAATCGTTTAAAAAGAGCCAATACCCAGAATTTTGTCACAGAAGCGCATATTCAGAACGAAAATAGACAACTGGCATTAATGTATCAGAAAATAGGTGAAAAATACCCTCCCAAAGGTACACCTCCTGTGCCAGTTGTGCAGCCTGTGGTCCCGCAGCATTCTGTTTATCATCAACAACCCTCCTACAACTCTCCTCCCACGCTTCAACCTCTCCGTTCCAACCATCCGCTCCCTCCGCGTCTAGTTCCCCCGCACCCAACACCCGGTTTAATAGTGAGCCAGCAGCATACGCGCTTCCCAGGTGCTGCCACAACATTTCCGCCCTTTCATCAGCCACTCCTGCCAATCTTCCAGCCGCAACCATCAACAGATAACCTGAGTGCCGCAGCTACCTTGACTAATCCTGCACCTATAACAATGCCGGCATATGCTCAAGGACTCCATCAACCAGTGACAGACTCTACTACACTTATCCCCATCATCCCTTGTTTCTTGCCATCCTACCAGGCTTATCCAAGTCCCCCCGTTCCACCCCAACCTGTCGGGACGCCACTATTCCCTCCTCGCAATGCAAACGCCCTTCCACCTGCCAATCCGTCTCCAACCGCTAGTCTTCACCTAGCTCACTTAAGGGTTGTCAACGTTTCTCTGCCAAACCCGGCTCTCAGGAGCCTGGTGAAAGTTTATTCCATTCTTTTGAGTCATTTGCCATATCCCCCACATGCCTGAATTGGATGCAGTGTAACTCTCAACACATATTTAATCTAACGCAAAGTCAGCATACCGCACTTCCGCGACACCTTAAGCCGCCTGATACATGTCATATTACTCAAGGTGTTTTCGATGGATGTAAGACTTATCAAATTAAATGTGTGCGTGTTACTGATACCCATTCTTTGACCGAGGAGGGATGGATGGCTACTGAATGCACATGGCCTACGGCCATTTATATCCACGTCAATGGCCATGAACACTTCCTCCAGCGAAGATTTCATTTTGGAAAGGATTTACCAGTTTCCATTAACAGAGTCCTTAAGCCAGGGGACAATGAAGTTAAGATCACCATCATTGGTCCGCCAGAAGAACACAAGAAAAAATTCGCCATAGCAGTGGAAGTGATAGATGTGGCTTCATATAAACGGACTCGAGAGGCGATTCAGACTCTATCACAGCCTCAATCTCTCGACCTCATTTTTAATAGGCTGACCAACAACACAGTTAACCCTGATGAACTCTGCTTCGTTGATGACTTCATAACTATACCCATAATTGACCCTTTTATGGCTCATATTTTTGACGTCCCGGTCCGCACAGTTTCTTGCAAGCATACTGAATGCTTCGACCTCAATACTTTCCTGGATACAAGGCTCTCTCGTGTAGCAAAAGGGCCTCATGGCATGGCAGAGGACTGGAAGTGTCCAATCTGCAATGAAGACGCGCGACCAAAACGTTTACTTATCGATCAATTTCTCGTTCAGGTTCGGGAAGAGCTTGCTAATCGAAAACAGCTAGATGACGTTATTGCTATAAGAGTTCGAGCCGATAAATCTTGGGATGTTGTCATGCGTAGTACCGGAAAGACCGCCCGAGGCGCCTTGACGAAAGAGGAGGATGAAGCGACGGCTACAACTACCGCTACCTCCGATTCACCCAGGGCTACCCAGACGCCTCCTGAGATCATTGAACTTGATTAATATGAGAGATTGATCTACAGAGCAGCTCTTAGCTCTAACAATACCCTAACTGCATGCAATCGCTACCTTTCATTATCCCCTTTGTGTTATTTTATGTTTCCACTCTTGTTGTCTTTCTATGTTTTTTATTTCTATGTTTTTTATTTCATTATACCCCTTAACTGAAGCTCCTTGAGTCCTTTCTATTCTCTTAGCATCTCATTCTCATTAACATTATGAACTGTGTCTGTTGATTAGGGTTTTAGTTTCAATTCCTTTTCTTTATCACTGTTTTACGGCCAATGAACGTGTCATTTCTTTCTTTCTTTCTTTCTTTCTTTCTTTCTTTTTTTTTTCGTCGCAAGGTTAAAATCAGGGGAGAGCAAGTATTTTTGTGCTATTAGGTTAGTTTTCCCACCTTTGATACCCTCATTTTGAAAGCAATTATTATAAGCTATACTCTTTAATATGCATTTCCATTCTGTAGCTTTTTATTCTGTCTTTAGGCTACTGTTACTACAATATAATGACCAATTCCTTTGATTTTTCTTTGTTTCCTACCACTTAACTACCTAAGCAAAGTTGAAAATTGAGAATTAAGTTAAACCATTCATTACTACTTCACTGTATAATATCTGCTAGCAAGTGTAGCAAAACAAGAGGTTATGTAGCAAAATTAGGTTTATTAAAATTACAAATTTGGAATATTCCATATTTTGTTTTAATATAACCTATGTTTAAGTGAATGTAATCGAATTTGGCTCTTTATTCCCCCGTTCCCACTTTTATTAACTAGCTCATTATCACTCGAAATATCCGCAATACTCTATCAGTATGAAATAAGTGGAACACTACTCCTTTTCAAGTCATGATAATAATCTTGTTTGCAATTAATTACTTAATCCCTCAAAGTAAATAAGGGAGAACTGGCCATTAGTTATTGAATAACATAATAACATTCACTTCCTCACTTGGCGTGCATGTTTAACCAGGTTCTCTATAACACCCTCAAAGGCTTCCTTTTCTCCAAGTTGTCCATCTCGTTTTTTCAGCCAGTATTCCAAAACCTCACTAGCTCGGATAGTCAACTTTTCCAGCTTTTGTACGTGTTCTGTTATTTCTTGATCCGTATAGCCATCAAGCGCTGCATCAGTAGTTTCACAGAGCCGGCGTGTGGCGAGAAGGTCTAGCTCCGGGGGAGGGGTATTGCCTTTACGCCGAGGTGTTGACGGAACGGGTCTAGATGAAGAGCGGTTGGAGTCGAAGGATGTAGACGATCGGGATTGCCCTTCTCGATTCTTTCGTTTGCTTCGAGAGCGAAGTAATGTGCCACCTGTTCCTAATGGATCTTCACTTGACACCCGTGCAGTGTCGCGGTTCATGGAAGGAAGAACCAATTTCTTTTGTTTTGAAGCAGGAAGAATTTCATCTAGATCCACGGGGACGCCAAGGGAGACAAGAAAGAGGCGGCGAATACGGGATTTAGTCCAGTTTGGAGGTTGGAGGGGGGGAGGCGCAACCAGTTGAGACCATAGGGACAGGGAACGTTCTGTAGTAAATATTGCCGAGGAGTCGGGAAATGAGTCAATAGGAGGTAACGATGATAAATTTGTAGAGTTAGGGAACAGGGTATCGAGATGATCGGAAGTGGCAGATAGAAGGTCAGGAAGGGATTTAAGAGGGGAAAAGTCCAGGAGTGGAGGCTATACTTATCATTAGCATCACTATAAGACCTGGAAATGCTGGAAACTGGCAACTCACAAGGACCGGAAGGCTAGGGGACGCAGTGGAATCAGTATTTGGCTTCAGTATGGAAGCATCAGAGGTTTCTTCTGGTTCTTGAAAGCCATCGTCAAAATCACCAAAGTCGTCATGATCATTGCCCCCAGCCCCTTCCTTGAATTCATCAAAGTCGTCGCCAAAGCCGTTATCATTATCATCAAAATCTGCCCTGGTTTCAGTATAATCATTTAGGTCGCCACCACTATCGTTTAATTGAGCCGGGTCGGTAGAATTGATTTTGGTTCCAGAGCTATTTGTATCAGGAATTTGTTGTCCTGGTTTGGTCAATCGTTCCTCTAGAATAAATATAGGGGGCGAAGAGAGATGTTATTTACCTGGAACATCCAGAACTATCTCTTCAGCATCGGGAGCAGCATCACTTGGTTTCCTACGGTGGGCAGTGAACTTCCGTTCTTCCCCTTCCTTGGGCAGAGATTCAACCTTAGAGAGCAGCGTCCCAGGAAGGTCACTGTCACTTATAGCGTATTCCAGATCATTTTCAGATACGACAAGCTGAGGACTTGCCCTTGGGTCTCCAAGTTTGAAAATTCTGTCAGGTGGGAAGTCTGCCTTTCGTGATTCGTATGCCTGTGTCCCTGGCTCTTCACCATAAGCTGGCGAGTTAAGATCCACCTTTTCCACGACAGTCAAGGGTATTGGAGTCCCCCCGGGAGTTAGAGGTCGTTCTATGTGGGCTGGATTATGCTGCGTATCGGTCCTGGCTCCTCCAGTTATGTCAATGTCGTCCGGAACAGCATCCGCCAGCCGCTGTTGATATGCAGGTGACCCAGGTACCTCCCCATGTCTGGGCGAGGCATCAACCTTCTCTACCCTAGTTCTGGGAACTGGGGATTGAGAGCGAGAGGGGCGCCTCGACGCGGACGTCTGGCCTTCTGTAGCATCGGAAAAGTGCTCATAGTCACTGTCTAGATCTTAATAAGGTCAGTCTACCAGGCAAAGTACTGCTTTTCGTACATTTGCTTGACCGGCATACATACTATGGTCTGACGCCCCAGGATCTTCAAGCTCGACTCCCTTTGGTGGTGGCTCTAACAAAACACTAGAAGGACGAGATCGCGGTTCAGCCATGGGTATATATAGGTTCAATGACAAGGAATGTAACGAAATGCCACAAACATGGTCAGTTGTTCCCAGCTTCTACCATACATTGAAACCGTTGAAGTTGAGGAAGAGACAGGTTTCTGCCACATAAAGGCGGCGTGTTTTGGTACCTTACGGACATCTCAAATACACACCAAACATTGTTGGTTGCCGTTCCGTAATATTACCAATTATGTCAGCAGACCTCGAAGCTTCATTTTTGTTGGAAAAAAAACATCCATAGCAAAGCAGCAGGACAACGAGGCTCCGTCCGCAGCTCTCATCCTGGCGTTGGACTATTCTCCACGCAAAGTAGGTAGTGATTCTATATAGTTTCACTTCCGAAAACCCTGATCTCAACGAATTAGGTATAATGAATGTCCAACCTAATTATTCGCTGTGCTAATGTAATAACCATTGCAGCCCATGAACCGCATCGCGTGAAGCCCAACAACAGCCGTGCAGGACTTCAAACCTCCTTCCCCGCCACCATGAATTTCGGAAGTGCATCGACAAGCGGAGGCTCGTCTCCATTTGGACAGGCAACATCAGGCTCAACTGGTGGCCTCTTCGGTAACATTGGTGCGGGCGGCCAGTCTACATCGACCTCATCACCCTCAATATTTGGTTCAACTCCTGCTCCAGCGGCAACTGGTAGTCTATTTGGCGCGCAAAAACCTGCAGCTCCGGGTGGTACCTTCAGCTTTACGAATCCTGGTCAGGCCTCCGGCCAGCAGAGCAGCTCTCCCATATTCGGTTCTGGCGCCGCAACTCCAAACAAACCAGCAGACTCTGCCCAAGCACAAAAACCGTCAGGCCTATTTGGAGCAGGTAATACTACCACGGGAAGCTCTAATCTCTTTGGAAGTACAACACCCGCTACCACAAAATCTGGACTATTCGGAAATATATCAACAACTCCCGCGGGCCCACCGCCGCAGTCGCAGTCCAATGCTCAGAAGCTACCTTCTTTCGGACAGCAGACCTCTGCTCCATCAGCTCTTTTCGGAAACGCACGCACTTCAAGCCCATTGTCAGCAACGACTCCTGCAGTTTCATCACCAGCTTTCGGAGCTAAGGCCAGTGCAGGCCAGCAGCAGACGAAGCCTGCAGGAGGCTTGTTTGGTGCTGTTGGTTCAGCAAATACCTCTACTAACGCTCCGGGAGGGATGTTCGCCAATTTAGGCCAAGCTAAGCCAGCTACCGATGCCTCCAAGCCAAGCACAAACACACCTTTATTTGGAGCTGGTGGATCTACGCCTACAACCACTCAGTCCTCCGGTTCATTGTTTACTCCGTCGTCTGGAGCTTCCACCCAGCCCGCCTTTTCTCTGACATCAGCTTCCACAACAAAACCGTCAACATCTTTGACTACAACTTCAACTACTGGCGGTAATACCCAAGGTTCTCCATTCTCCCTCGGTACTCCATCATCTACGGCCGCACCCACTGCCACCACAACCGCTCCATCCGGTGGACTTTTTACCACTCCAAAACCGAACGTCCCTACAGATTCCACCACGCCGGCTACCACTACTGCGGCTCCTACAAGCAACATGTTTGCAAACTTTGGGAAGCCCGCTACTACCACAACAGCCCCGTCTACCACAACCACTACGGGGACTACAGGTGCCACTACCGGGACTACAGCATCGTCTGCGCCTGCGGCCACTGCGACAGCATCGGCTCCAGCTACCACCAAGCCTGGAACTACTACGGCCACTACAACCGGAACTAACCTTGGGGCATCAACTGTCGGCCCAGCTCCGCCCGCCCAATCTCGCCTGAAAAATAAGACAATGGACGAGATCATCACTCGATGGGCAACAGATCTTACCAAATACCAAAAAGAATTCCAGGAGCAAGCTGAACAAGTAGCTGAATGGGATCGAATGCTAGTTGAAAATAGCACCAAGGTGCAAAAACTGTATGGAAACACAGTTGATGCCGAGCGAGCTACCCAAGAGGTGGAGCGGCAACTCGCCTCTGTTGAGAGCCAGCAAGATGAGCTAAGCTCCTGGCTTGATCGATACGAGCAGGAAGTTGAGACTCTGCTTTCCAAGCAGGTTGGAACAGGAGACAATCTTCCTGGCCCAGACCAGGAGCGTGCACGAACGTACGTAGCTCTTCTATTTTCACTGTGTACTGGGGACCGTGGTTTACTTACGGTGATACGTTAATAGATACAAACTCGCGGAACGGCTCTCGGAACGCCTTAATGAAATGGGCCAGGATCTCACTAGCATGATCGAAGAAGTTAACACTGCCTCTGCAACGCTCAGCAAGACAAGCAAGGCTGATGAACCGGTATGTACATTTATATGTACAAAGGAAAGATTTCAGTGCTAATTAGAGACCCACTATATAGATCTCCCAAATCGTTCGCATTCTCAACTCTCACCTCTCTCAACTCCAGCTCATTGACCAAGGAACTGCTGCTCTCCGAGCTAAGATCACTGCATCTCAGAAGCTGGGTAACTCCATGAGCGCTTTCAAGAATGGTACTCCCCGTGGTGCCGGGAGTGGCAGCGGAGGAGCTGCGGAAGATTTCTATCGCTCTTACATGGGACGAAGATAGAGGTCATGACAGCCAAACTCTTCCCTGTCTTATTGTTCTCTCCTTATTTCATTCCATAATATCAAACTCAGTAACGTGTACAAGTGGTCATGGTGGAACTCTTTCGTTGCAGATTAAATGCATAACTCTTCCTTTCCCTTCAATATGGGCGTTTCTTATCTTACCTTAGGTAGATCAATGGACTAATGATTGGTTGCTTTCTATTTCAACATCAGTTCAATTGGCTAGCTATTTGTTTACTGATGAGGGCCCTGACAAGCACAAATCCCACCCTATGATACAACATATCCTCATTTTATAGGCTTAACTACTATTTCAAGCGTAAATTTGGCTGCTGAGCATTTAAATATAGATATGGTGAGTGGGGAAGTAGGAAAGTTGAAAGGGAACACTAGATACCAAGAAGCAAATGGCAGATAGTTAAGATTCACATTGACCCTTCCCTGAACATCACTAATAATATATCTAGTTCTGTTCACCACCCTGGTTCTTGGTGAGCTCCTCGCTAAAGAAAATAAAATATTAGCTTATCTACTTGATTACGTGCATAAGACAGAGGGGATCATACAGGTGGGCATCGAGCTCGTCGAGGTGAGCCCGCTGCTGCTTAAGCTTCTCTCTGAGAGCGAGGAGCCTATAAGATCCAACATGTCAGCTGTGGTATTCTCTCCCCTTGCTGCGCTGTATACTCGGCCCTATCGTACTTCTCATGCTCCTTCTTTTTCATGTAGAGAGCCTCTTCGGCAGATTCCCTCTTGGTCCAGATGTCGCTAAAAGAGACCGATTAGTGATCCTCATTACAAGACTATGAAGGAAAGAGAATATCAGGTACTAACCTGCTTTGTTGGCCCCCGGAACGGGGAGCACCGGTAGAGCCCTCGGTCATTCTGACGGCAGCAACGGAGAAAGATCGAGTAGCTGGCAGCCTGCTGGCGCGGAAAGCTGGTCTAGCGAGTTGGCGGAACATTGTTGGTTACTGTTTAAACGCGATAAGCGGTCCGGTCCTGCTGAATTGGAAAAGGAAGAATTGAAGAGCGAGACGGAGATCGGGAGTGCCTTGCGTACCGGGAAGTCGGCTTTGCTGGTTTGTTTGGTCGTTGGACGTCGGAGCTTGTGGTTGCTTTACGTGTTGCTTTCCTGCTGGCCCAAAAAGGGACTAGCGTCCAGTCATGTCAAGTCAGGTGACTTGGTTTTACTGTCGGGACTCGGTGTATTATTTGTCCGGAGATTAACTGATAAGATCACGTGATCGACATGGCCAGCGATCAAGTATGGTAACGCGCAAGGGCAAAAGAATTACTACTAGGACAGAGCAAGTCAGTATCTAGAGGGTGGGATTGCTAGCACCGCACCCTGTGTGCCAGCACCAGCCGCAGACTGTCCCTACGCTCCAGCAAAAGCGCCAGCCTCCTGGCGCCATCCAGACCATCTATGAGAGATATGAGATCCTACACCAGTGATTGGCTTACCTAAGCAGGCTAAGCCTAAACGGGCACGACCCGCCTTTCCCCCTTTGGCGGCCCTCAGCGTCCAACAAAACCTCATCTCGTTTCCATCCACTTCCACTCCTTCTCCCCTCTGTTTTCCCCCCAGCAACATCGCTAGTCATCCTTCTCCTGAACGTCAACCTCTGCTCCCTCTTCTCGCACCAGCAAACCGCCTGCTACCGCCAGTGTACTCTTCGCTCGACTCTTCTTCTTTTTTTTATCAAGGTAAGCTGCCCCTCGACGAGTGTCTGCCTGGCGTCCTTGCGTTTGTTTCACCGGGGGGGGGTATTTGCTTCCTCTTCCACTGCCCTGCCGCGCGCCAATCCCACCACCAGCACGCCTTGTGTGCGATGGGAAGACAGCCTCTGTACATGTCGCATATGTTGTTTGCCAGAACGGATTCTCGGTCCTTGTCGAGTTCTTGATCCTGTAACGCGCCCCGAGTCGACGATGCTATCTTTTTGAGGCGGAGTAAAAGGAGGGCTTAATTACCATCTCGGCTGTTCGAGGGATCCTGGCCATGGTAGCCTGCCGGCTGCCTCCAGCAGCATTATATACTCTGTGCCTCCTATCTCTGGCTCTCTGGTGTGCAGAAGGGATAAAAATCTGACTCGGTGCCATGTACACCGCTGTTCCGTGGCTCGAGAAATCAATTTCCTCGACCCCCTGTCTCGATGAAGTCATGATCTTTTTTTTTTTTTTTTTTTTTTTTTTTTTTGGATTTTGTAGTCGATCCATCAACATACCCGGCTCATGACTTCATCACAGTCATCATAAGAATCAAAGTTGTTTGGCAATGCTGATGTCAAGAAGTATATCTAGTTCAAATCAGCCATCATGGGCCACGAGGACGCTGTCTACCTTGCCAAACTGGCCGAACAGGCCGAGCGTTATGAAGGTAAGCGCAATTGCAACGCACATGCCTCTCGCTTCAATACTCGAGCTGACACTTGGTTTCAGAAATGGTTCAAAATATGAAGATTGTTGCTTCTTCGAATCGAGAACTATCGGTAGAGGAGCGCAACTTGCTGTCTGTTGCATACAAGAACGTCATCGGTGCCAGACGTGCCTCCTGGAGAATTGTTACTTCCATTGAGCAGAAGGAAGAGTCGAAAGGAAACGAGGCTCAGGTGACCCTCATCAAGGAGTACCGTCAGAAGATCGAGGCTGAGTTGGCCGATATCTGCGAAGATATCCTCAAGGTTCTTGATGACCACCTCATTGCCTCTGCCGAGACTGGAGAGTCCAAGGTCTTCTACCATAAGATGTAAGATCTCATAGTGTCCTTTCGGTCACCTACTCCTCTATATAATGTCATAGGAAAGCAAAAAAAGCTCATAAGCCATTCGTTTACAGGAAGGGTGACTACCACCGTTATCTCGCCGAGTTTGCCCTCGGTGAGAAGCGCAAGACTTCTGCCGATAACTCTTTGACCGCCTACAAGAATGCCACTGAAGTCGCTCAGACTGACCTTGCTCCCACTCACCCCATCCGTCTGGGTCTTGCCCTTAATTTCTCCGTTTTCTACTATGAGATCCTCAACTCTCCTGACCAGGCATGCCACCTTGCCAAGCAGGCCTTTGATGATGCCATTGCCGGTATGTTCAATGCACGCTATGATTATTTTAAGCTATTCATTAGTCATGAGCCGCATGATACTAAGCTTGTGACCCAACAGAACTCGACACTCTGAGCGAGGAGAGCTACAAGGACTCTACCCTCATTATGCAGCTCCTCAGGGACAACTTGGTAAGACATGCCGCCACTCTTTACACGTTTTATCACAAAACTAACCGCTATCATCGCAGACCTTGTGGACTTCCTCTGAAGCCGACCCAGCCACCGAGGCTCAGCAACCCCAGGGTGCCCAGGCCCCAGCTGAGGCCAAGGAAGAGGCTCCGGCTGCCACTGAAGAAGCCCCCAAGGAGTAAATGGGTTATGGATGAGCATTTAATTCTAGATCGGAGGAGTTCATGATGCCATTTCCATTTTCACACCTATCCCCCCTTTTACTCTATCAAAACAATCCTACCGCACTCCAACCCCTGGTTTTTTAATCGATAATGTCACTTAGGTTTCTTTGCAACGTTCCCTTCTTCCAAGCTCTGCCTGCCACTATGTACCCTGGAGGGGTGAAGACTTTAGTGACGTACTCTCCACCTATCCCTCTTCGTCTTACTTTCTCTGTCTATCTCCCTTTCCCCTAGACTTGCCTTTCATCTTGAAACCCTTGCCACTGCCTAAGGGACTGGCTGACAGGAGAGATGGTAGCCTGCCGAACAGCTGGAGGAAGGGAAGTGACTGCCCCTAAAAAACGACAGGGAACAAAAAGGCCTAAAAAAAAAAAAAACAAAAAAAAAAAAAAAAAACAAAACAAAACAAACAAATCACCAGAGGGAGAAAAAAGTACCGATATTACCTCTTTTTACCTCTTTACCTTCTACTTTTCTCCCTTTTCCTTACGTTCATCCTTTTCCTTCACCGGATTTCCACCCTGGGAGATACTCACTATCCCCTGTCCACCTTTCGAACGTGTTTTCTTTCATCCACCAAAAATAGGTTTGATAGTATTAGATTTTTGCGCGGACGTACACACACTACTAACTGATTTAACGCGGCAGTTTCATATTTTACCTTCTAGCTTTGTCTTTCGACTTCATTATTGCTTAGTTAAGGGGGAATGGTAGGTATAATTTGTAGTGAATATGCGCAACAATGGACTATCTTTTAAATTAAATTTTTACTCTGACATTGTACAACCACCACCACCACCACATTTAATAGTCCCCGGTCATATATACCCGGTTACTAGCCATGAACTATCTGACCCTCAGCGGAGTTGTTACGCCTCTTTATTATAATATATCACCCCAACAGCGCCGGCTATGGTTTCTTCACCGGCTCACCCCCATCCCAACCATCGACAGAGACCCCGTTTAGCTACTCAACTAGGTATTCCGTCACCCAGCCAGTAAAAAGGGCTAGCAGTATCAACCATCAAACCACAGCTAGAACTTCACCACTATCCATCTACCCATAGCTAAACGCAGCTATAGCGCCTGTCAACGCCCTTATCACCCCCTGACCGGGCTGGTCCTAGTTACGCTTCGTCAGTCGCCCATCAGAGAGAGCCCAGGAGGGCGAGAAGCAAGCGATAGAGCAACCACCCATCTTGACCTGGACAGGCCCAGGTTACTCACTTTCGAGTACATGTCAGATACTGAAAGGGTGTCAGTAAAGTACTGTAATGGGCATCCCGGATGATCGCACATCACATCACACCTTGTATGGCTGGGACGCTGCTTGCTGCCTGTGGAGAATAAGATGAGTAGGTAGGCTTAACTACGGATTACTTGTCCAATTCGCCCATACAGCATGCATCCGTCCGCCGGGACGTTTGGCCCTAGCGAAGGGGGCACGAGAACATGATAGAGAGCTTTGTATGGATGTTTATCTTTCACCTAGTTATAGCTAGCCCCGAGATATAGATCGCGCGAAACGGGGGGAAAGGTGGAAGGAGAAACAAAGCAAACGGCAGACCGCATACATCCATTCTGCAGGCGTAACAAAGGATACAAGCGTAACGGCGACAGGGTGTATGATGTCTCACAAACAGGTTGGATCAGTCGTAGCAAGCAGGTTTCTCTCTACCGAGTACGGGATGTTTCGTCGAGGAAGCGTACACGTACTTACATGCCTTGAAACCACAGCTCAATTGAATATTCGTCTGTCTTGTGTTGCCTTGCCTTGATTTTACGTGCAGGCTGCATGAGTACCAGATCCGGCGCTGTATGCATCCCGCCATCTTCCAGTCCACCCAAAGCCCATCACATCCCCGTATATGCACGGTGAGTGTGAATTACCCAGGACGGGCTCCGCGTTGGGTTATCGTTTATCCAAATTAACCGGGTAAGCAAGGAAGTATGCTTTTATTTATTGTTTAGATACAGGAAACTCAGCAAGTAGCAAGTCTAAAGCTCGGGAAATTAGCAGACAGAGCCAGGTCCATGGATGTACAAAGGACGGTGGATCAAGAGTGTCCTTGGGGTATGATATCGTTAAATATTCCCAAGAAGATACATAGAACAATATATAATGTTAGAGGTGGAAGTGATTTTACTTGAATCCCTGAACCGGACAGGTATAGAAAAGTAATTATATACATGATTTGAGGCAAGGTCAAGCCATATTGATACGCTAAAAAATGTTTCCATAGTGTTTGTGTCCGCGAAACGAAGAAGAAAAAGTAATGAATAAACCCAGGCGATGCGATGAAATGACTTTATTTTTGTGATATGATTCATTAGGGTGGAAGAAGGAAGACTCCAGTCGGGCCTAATTTCGGCTGAAGAGCAATAAGAAAGTGTAAAAAAACAAGAAACGTAAGAGGTGTAAATATGCCATCCGTCTGCATGTTAAGAGGCCAGCTATGGAACAACAACAGAGACGAGCGACCGCCGCAGTCCTGAACGGCTGCTTACATGCATCGACGTGTTTGAGAACGGTGTCGGTTGTGAGGCCGGGGAGGAAGAGAAAAAGGTAGGTAGCTACCCGATGACATCACATGTATACCGGGACACGCGCAGGCGCAGACAGACGCAAACTCATGCATGCACACCGAGCCAGTAATTAAGTGTATCCCCGGAAGAAATAGACAAATAAAAAAAAAAGCAAAGCATTAATAGAGGAGCTCCAAGCCAAGTATGGTTGGTTGAAAGGGGAAAGAAAGGGAAGAAGCGAGGGAAAGGGGACGAAGACAGATGCAGAAAGCCGTTGGATCTAACCCGGGTCGAAAAGAGAGTGAGTGAGCGAGTGGTCCGGTCAAGCCTGGTCAAGCAAGTCAAAACGTCAGCCCATCGGCCCAGGGATGCTACATGCATGCATGCATGCGATGTGTGGTGTGGTGTGGAAAGGTTGGAACGGTTGTGTGGCGCACAGCTGGTCCATCATCAAGTCAAGAGAGCCGTTTTTTTTTTTTTTTTTTTTTTTTTTTGATCTGCGGCCAAACAGGCATCGTGACGTCGTGATCCATGATCCGTGATACGCCGGCTACCAGCGATGGTTTTCGTGTTCTTTCTTGCTTTTTTTTTTTTTTTCGTTCCCCCCCTTTTTGTTTTGGTCCCTTTGCTTGTCTGCCTGCCTGCCTGTCTGCTTGTAATGGTCTTCCCCGTTTGCTTCGTGTTTCGTTGGGCATCATCCAATCCACCGACCCGGCTAAACAGAAGCCAAGCGGCGCTGGTAAGGAGTCAGGTGCGCCATTTCCCCTATTCCATACACCCGGCCACCCGGTCAAAATCCGGGGTATCGTCATTTTTATGTTTTTGACTTATTGTGTCAGTTTGAATGAACCATGGAGACGGCCAAAGTAACGTCGGCATGGGGTCTTCCGCCTGAAGGATGCCATGCGCAGGGCAAGGGGCAACAAGATGCGATCTGAAGGAAAGCCAGGAGACGGCTGGGGCGGCTCAAGCCGGGTCACATGGTCTGACGCTTAGGTAACCAAAAACAGTCTTTCGCCCAATGGAAAGCAGCAAAGCACCAGGGACAAGATAAAACCGAAGAAGAATTAAAGAAGTAAAATTAGGCCGTAAGAGCAACGGGGTCTAAAAGAAGTAGAAGAACTGCAATAGAGAGAAGCGACAAGAACAACGGAGGGTATCTTATATCGCGGCCGATTCATTGTCCAGTGGAAATAGAAAACAAAAATCAACACCAAATCGATACTCGAACCATGGCCAGAAGTACAATGCAAGCACCAGAAAACCACAAGGACCAAGAGAGTAAATGAGAAGAAGACAGAGGGCCCAGGTCAAGCGCAGTTTGGCTGGCCTCGTTGTTGAAGGTAATAATTCACAGGAAAGAAAGGGTAAAGGGGTAAAACGGAGTAGCTTCTAGCGCCCTGTTCTGTTATCGGGAAAGACGTTGCATAAAAGTTATATACCATCACATAGCATAGCATCGCAACACAGTAAGATGTAAGAAACGGAGAGGTCAACGTCATGTTGATTTCACGAGGACCTATTTGGCGGAGGATTGGTAAAGTATGAGAGTCGGCTTATGCTAATGATTGCTGGTTTGTTTGAAAAAAAAAAAAGAAAAAAGAAAAAAAAGGGTCATAAAGCGTAACCGGGTCATGAAATTAAGTAACGGGACAGGGTTGGTCAGTGATGGAGCGATAAGGTGGCGCAGGGATAAGCCAGACTATTCTGCCCGGTGTATCAAACTCGTCCCTTGTTCGGCATGTGCCATGTGTGGTCGGGGGTCGGGGATCGGAATGTATGAAGTGTAAAAGAGGCGTGGTTAGAGCGGTGTGAGAGGTGGCTGGGGCTGGTGGAAGTAAAATAAAGTGTTTATCCAGTTCAGATCAAGCTAGGGTAAGGACGGCCTCCATGGTATCTTCCAAGTTAAGAACGTACAGGCGCCGAGCGGCGACCAGAAGCCGGCGAGCACAAGGAAAAGCCTGGTTACTTCTGAGCCTTCTTTCCCTTGCCTGCACCACTGGTTGAGGTAAGCTCAGACTTGGTAGACATGGTCCTGGTTAAGCCGCCGATGTAGTCCTGCAGGAAGCGGTTCTCGTTCTCCAGCTTATCATGGTCTGATTTGACCTCGTCAATCCGGTCTGCCAGGGCCTGTAAAGACGACTGCAACGTCTTTGCTTGTCTGTTTCATCATTAGTTAGAAGTGAAGGGGCCAAACAATGGGGAAAAAAACTGAGAGCACTCACTCTTTAAGTGTAAGTCTTGCCTGAGTGCCTAGCCTTTTGACGTCTGCAAAGTTCCTTCGCGGACTCATCGCACGAGCGTCATCTGGCGGAAACTCTTCCTTCTCAATTTCGATCTCAGGGTGGTCCCGGGGGACGAGTATCGAGGCGCTAGGTTTCCTGCTGGCAATGCGGGGGCGGTCTGCCCTCGATTTCCGCTCTGACTCTACATCAGAAACTGAGGAAGAGGAGGAGGTGGTGGATGGGTGCGAATTCTCATTGTCATGGTTTGCTGTGGGATGGGTTCCGTTGGTAGTGCCGTTGGAATTGCTATCGTTTGGGGCGGGGGAGGGCATTGTGTGGACAGGCTCTGAGGAGTTGTATAGGCCGGTGTCGGCAGCCATAATGCGATATCTGGGCCGACCTTCGAAGGTATATTGTGTGTGAAGTGGGTATAATGAGGAACAGCCCCGTTGAAGGATGGTTTTCGGGGTTTCGTCGCTGTCGTTGTCGTCTGCGTTATCAGGAGCGGGACAGAAAGGGGCTGATGGGTTGATAGAGGAGAGATGCGGTGACGGTGAGAGGTCCGAATAAAAGAGCGAAGAACAGTACGTATTCCCTCAGGAACAGCTCGGGGGTGTATCTGCAGGAAGCGAACGTAGGTCTGTCTGTCCGGTGCTGAAGCTGAGGAGGTGTAGCCTCTCTTGCTCTCTACCTGCAGAGAACGCGGAGATAGATAGGTCGACAGCACGACACGGGATGCAAGCAACGCAGCAGACAGAAGAAACGAGCCAGCCGCTGGAACGAGAGTCGACAGAGAAGTGGAATTGGCAGAGGCCTGGAGGCAAAATCGCAGTCGAAGCAAAGTGAAGTCGACGCTGGCAGAGCTGTGGGAGTTGACGTGGAGCGAAGGACGCAGGACAAGCAGCAGCAGCAAAGCCGGACGAGGACGAGAAGAAGTAGCAGAAGGTTCAAGCGGCCGAGGGAGAAAGCCGCAGTTTTGGCTTTGGCGGCGGCAGCCAATAAGAGCGGGGAGCTGATGGGTCCCTGTGTACGGTATCGTAACGAAAGATACAAGTGGTAATTTACAGTGTAAGGCTGATACAACGAAAAAGACGAGGAGGGAAGAGGCGGATATATAGCAGCCAGCAGACAGTGGCAGAGAAGATGAGGATGGTTGGACGAGCCGGCAGAGCCAGACGGCGAGTGGCAGGCTCGATGAAGGGGAATCACGACGCCGTGATAGAAGACAGAACGGGGATGGAATGGGATGGGAGATGCGAACGCGGACAGGCAGGCGGAAGAGGGAGAGAGGGCGCTGGGAAGGAGGACAGCAAGAGGAGGTCAAGTCAAAGGCAGGGCAAGGCAAAGAGGAAAGGCACAGACCCGGTCACTGTCCGGGCAAATCGTTGAGTAGCAAGCTATCCATCCATACATTGGGCCGTCGTCATCGATCGAATATAATGGCTGCCGCTACTACGGGCTCTCGACACAGGCAACACAAGCTACATAACTACACGTCACAGAATGTCCCAATGCAGGCTGGTCCCAGCGAGATGGATCATGGATCATGCATGGTGGATGGCGGACAAGGCAAGCAAGCGCCTTCATCGTGTCTTGCCAATCGCTCGAGTGGGTGCCGTCCGCCGTTGAGCAGCCTGCAAGGCTAACTCGGTAGCTCGTGTATGGGTAGGGGGCCAGGTTATGAACATCGACGTTAAGGATCAGAAGCCAAGGACATATACACATACCGACTTATATGATCTTATTCACATCCCTATACGAATGACATTTATGGAGAATGTCAGGACATCGGTATATGCGGGATATATGAAACTGGACATTCCCTGCTCTTAAACCAGATACACATACTTTCGGGATGCACGGAGACTTTTCTCAGCATACACCTTCTTACAACACACGGGACGGCTATTCCTTTGCAACGGTTGGCTGGCGGCATTATCCATTAGGTATTATCGAGCCTGTCGGGGGTTGAGACGACTATCGATATATGGGAAGTGAAGTCCTGCTGTGCTCCCCATACAAACTATCCCTAACTTGAAAACTAACACATCTGGCAGTTATACATGCTCATCGTCATGGTCGTCGACCATCACACCATGTTGACCCCCTGCTGATCTACAAGCTCTCCACCACTCGGAGACAGGCGAATCCACCAAGCAACAACTTGCAGCCCATTCTCCTTGTGGCCTGGCGACCCGACTCATATATTATTATTATTCAGCAGTTTGGCCATTGCTAATCACCTTTTCTCTCGTCTCTTCCTTCTGGCAGCCATGCCGCAAGCGGTTTTATCCGATGTGCCAAGTCTGTTCTTGCGCTGGCATGATTAGTTAGTGAGAGAGTACTCTGTATGAGAACCATCTTCTCTGAGTTACTAACGATAACTTACCACTCCATTAACTAATACTAGCAAGCCGGAGTTATTCTTACAACTTAGCTAGCTTAAGGTTGCTTGTAAAGTTGGTGTGTTCTCATTCCCTGGACTTGCTGGCTTTCCTGCTTGCAGCAGCAGAATATCCCTTCTTCTGGAAACTTTCTACGCCTTGTTACCTTGGGCCTGTGGCCAAAACATCGGCAGGCAGCCACATCCTTCCTCTTCTCTCCTTTTTTTTTTCTTTTTTCCTTTACAACTTACAACTACAGTTATAGTTTAAAGCATATATCGGGGGATGGAGGAGGGGAGGAGATGGAGGGGAGGGATTTGACAAGAGAGACCCGCTCAAGTAGGGTGGGGGATCCTTGCCTGATAGTCATTTTAGCCGGCTATAGCAAGGAGGTATTTTTACTTGTCCTGTGTCGATTCCCCTTCATCCATCTCCCTTCCCGTCATCCTTCACTGCTGATTCAAGGACACGGTCCAAATTAACTACTGGAAAGGTGCCAAATACCAGGTATTCAAAACCGTGTTTTTCTTTTCCACCTTTTACTATCCCTCAGCAATCTCCTGATCCCTTCCAACATGGTTCTGGAAAATGATCAGGAATGATGTTAGCCGATCTTCATAGAGATCCAACAAGCTACAGTATGCCGTGAGTGGGCATCTGTTGTTCCCACCCCTCTCCCCCTTTTTTTTTGCTTTCGGTTGCTATGTGAAAATCCTTCAAGACTTCATTTATCTTCTTTTTTTGGCGCTGGGTTGCCCTTCTTCCAAGAGTTTCTTTTCTCCCACGCCTGAGACGGCGACAACTAGAGATAAGGGTCAACCTTATATTCAAGCAATTAGCTTTCCCTGTCGCCTGACAGCACGCCATTGTTTGTCGGTAAAGCATGTATACACGGAGTATGGACTACTGTCCTGAGCGAGAAAAGGTCCTCTTGTGTGACATTTTTTTTTTATTTTTATTTTTTTTTTTTTCCTCCCGTAAAAAACGAGTAGTGACTCTTTTGTGAAGATGCGAAGAGTTTGGCCCTTTGTTAGTGTGGGTAGAATCAATGGAGCCTTTCTATCCCCAGGTTAAGCAATGATTCGCCGCAAGACTCAACCATCGCAAGCTGATGGAGTTTCCATACGCATGTGTGTTAAAATAATCTCGATCAAGCTGTTGAGAAAGATAGCCAGCCCCTAACTGGGAGCCCTAGCAAGTATGTCTGAGGCGTTGATGGCGTGGGGTGCAACTCCAGATATCATGGTGGCCTGTGATAATGATTTGTATGCTATCTCGCCGATCGATGATGATGCATGTTGATCAATGCTGGCTATGAATCGGGGAGTACTTACATATCAAGGCATTCTTTAATTCTTGCTCCCCACACGACTTTTACGAAGCGAAAAACTCTTCAACGCCGCCCAAAGATACTCTGAAGGAGGAAAAAATTTTCCTCTCATACTCCATACCTCTCTTGCGCTTTGGTTCACTGAAGGTGTAAGAACTCCAATTTTCGCTGGCGGCAAACTCACTAGTGGGCGGGTGATGACGATGATGATGTCCACCTCTCGGCGTTGGTCGTCGGCTGGGTGCGAACGGACATCAAGAGCGGCGAATATGTTACGGGTTAAGTGCATCCACCTTCCTTTACTGTGTAATTATTATTAGTGCATGGTACTCCGTAAAGTAATTTCACAGTCTTTTGAAAACCGTTTATTACTACTTTTCACTGAAGATCACTAGCATCTGATGCAAGTCGGTTTCGCTGGGCAGAGGATAAGCGCCGACCCAACCGGTATTTGGCTCACTTTCGCCTTAAGACGCCAACAAACATACCTCTTTGACTTAAAAGTAAGAAGACTGTGAAGGTGGAAAAGTACAAGCTGCTGGATACCACCCCCATTTCTCCGCTCCCATGCAGGATGCCCTCACAGAGGAGTGGAGGAGGGTTCGCCCAATCTTGACGCTGGCCCTGCCAAGCGGCCACCCGTCAGGTAGGTAGTAAAATAGGTTGGTAGTATGCGTAAAAGTCGAAAGTCAAGTAGGAGGATGTTGGTAGGTGTGAGGACAGATCAACAATCCACGGGTCTCCCGAGAGCATGTCTGCCTATAAGGTAGGTCGACGAGAGAATGATTGTTGTGGTTTTCTTCCCATCTTCCGATCTCTGTGGTCCCAGTGCCGTCATACGGCGATATACGTCATAAAAAAACTGGAGCACTTCCTGGCGATCGTTCGCCCGGAGCGTTCAGGTTGCTGATACAGGCTCAAAGCAAGTTCCCTGGGGGGATTGCCTGCGTCTCCCATGTACCAACTACGGGCGTCCACTAACTGAGGTACGTGGTGTCAGGAGTATGGTGTACCTCGAAGGGGAGCAAGTAGGAGAAAAAGTTAAGGGGAGAGCGTGACGCTGCCTCCACCAGGATAAAACCGCCTGGCAGCCCACGATGCTGCGGCGAGCCTCGTGAGACGAGCAGGCGAAGTAGCGGTAAGCTGCCAGGCTCTCTCGCTCGTTTCTGGCGGCGTCTTTCTGGCCCTTGCTGGCCTGGAGTCGTCCATGAGGCCGGCGGCGGCAGGCTAAGATGGCCAGGGAGTCGATGTCAAGCGCGAAGCAGCAGCAGCAGCAGCAGCAGCAGCAGCAGCAGATGGTTGGAAGCCTCAGGTCGGCGTTGCGGTTCTGCTTTCTCTTCCGGGCGGGCCGAAAAGGGAACGGAACCGGGGCTATATAGATCCGGATCTTTGTCACATGATCATGTTTGCTTTGTCATCAAGACGTCCGCTTCTTCCAACGTCGCGAGAAGAAAGCTTTATGGACAGACGAATAGGCAAGTATTTGGTATCATCGGTAGTACGAGTGACTTGCTGTCGGGCAGAGCTTCAGGTTGATGGGGCTGCATGGATGGGGTGCTGGTATATCGCTACCTGACAACCCGGCGGTGGTGCAGGCGTTGTCATTGAAACGAGAAGTACTAGCTGATACAAACCACCCCATGTATAGTTAGCGACTATCAGCCTGCGCACCTTATATCCTTGACGGCCAGGTTGCGCGCCTGCATATACGCAACGCACGAACACACACACACACACACACACATACACACACTCGCACGCACACCAGTCGACCAAGAAATCCGCCTAATGGAGTTAACCTAGTCATCCCACTCTTGATCTCCCAGCTCACACTCTTTCTCGTGAGCCGACTGTTACACCAGAGAGTGCCAAGTGAAGGGGAATGAAGAGCAAAACGAAACCAAAAAGGAGAAGAGTAGAAGAAGGTACGGATACAAGTGAGAACCAAACTGCATCACTTTCCCAAGGTGTATATAAGTATCCTTTGTATACCCGGTACTCTGGTTTATACATAAACGCACAGAGTATACTTGACTCCGGCTATCTATATATATGCTCATACACATGCAGCCCGTCACCACGCGGGATGGCTTTGCTGTCGTCTCGGCCAGCTGCAGCAGACATTTGCATATGTATATGCTTCCAATTAAAGCAAAGGCTCCTTCGGTTTTCCCTGGTGCCATTGTGTATCTTATTTAGGTTCCTATGCATTTCCATCACTGGACGGGAACCACGTTGCGTTTTTGACAGGGGATAGGGAAGGACATTGCCGATGTCTTGTCACCTTGTGCAGCCTCTCGCCAGTCCTGGTTGGCTCGTCGGCTACTGGAAATACGAACGGCTATTGACTCCCCTGTATGCCTTGAAAAACTTCAACTCTTAGCCTGAGAGTTCATCCCTCCCCTCCCCCCATGGCATGTGCCTGGGGTTCTGTGTTCAGACGGCGGCAGCGCTGGCTGGGGTGCGGATGCTAGCTCGAAAGTATGACTTAATCAAGTGCGGGTTGTTTGTCTTTCTGCCTAAGGGTTCCTGGAAAAGCTGTCTTCAGGGAAGCAAGGCCACACGTTGCTTAGAGGAATCTTCTCATTAAAAGCGCTCATTCAAAACGCCGACAGATTTATTTGGCATTTTTGACCATTTCCGCACTTATTCCCCCTCAAAAACAGGGTTCAAGAAGAAACGTTTCTCGTGAAGCCATTTAGTTCAGTAATGCCACGTTCGTGGGTTCGTTGTTCTATACCTGCGTCTGACCGCCTCTCACGCCGACGAGGTGCATTCTGACATGCCTAACACCGCACAAGGATCGATATTTCTATGTCGGCGGACCAGAACTCCCCGTTATCTTGTTTGAGCCAATATGACCAGGCTGGAAGATGCTTGTTAAAGGGTATATTCTTGCCGACATGGTAGATGCGAATCATATCCCGTTTCCCTGTCCTATGTGACATAGCCATCCGGCCCGTTTATTGTAACCCAGGTGGTTTCTGTACAACGGATGGATTGTTCTCTTGAAGAATGATTTCCGAGCCTTTAGATGAGGGATTTCCGGCGACTTTTTTTGTCAGTCCTCTGCACATGAGGACGGGATCAGTCGCGGTGCTGAAATCGAGGATTTGCTCGGCCAACTATACCCGCTCTCGTTCGGCAAAGGCCTTGCACGGTCTAGCTATATATGCCATGTTTTGCATAATTTGCTATTTTCAAAGTGTGACGAGGTGCGGAGAACGCATGTTCGCTTGATATCGGATGCTGGAGGTGTGGTTACGCAAAGTGCTGTTCCACCCGTAAGAAGCGGCTCCGTTCAAAATGAAGAACCGGCGGACACACGTCAACTGTGAAAAGTCGCAGAGATATTTCTAGACATGGAGAGCAATATGAACCCGTCTGAATTGCCGTGCCATGTTGGACAAGCCCGAGTATCCCGGGGTGGGTATCTCATGGTTGACATTCTTCCCCTTTACTCGAGTCCAAGAGTGTGAATTCGGGTAGGTATGCCACTACCAAAAAAAAAAAAAAAAAAAAAAAAAAAAAAAAAAAAAAAAAAGCACAGATAGAAGGACATAGAAGATAGGGACGTAATCTACGCCTCTATCTCCCTTCTATTTCCCTTTCCCTCCTTGCCATGTCTCAGCCAAAATATGTCGTCCAAGGACTTAGCGTTCTTGACGCATCAATTTTTGCTATTACATCGGCTTCCAACGGTCTATCCCAGAAACTCCCAAGAAGAGTGGCCTAAGCACCTGGCGGCGAACAACTTGCGAAATGGTCTGCTGTGTATTGGGTACGATATATCTAAGTACCGTGGGATGTATACCCCCAAGCGATAAATCGAGCCAACCACAGCCAAAACAAAACCCCTCCTACTCCGGCCCATGTAAGCTAACACCTGCGGGAGGCACATGGTGCGGCTAAGTTGTCTTGTATTCTCTCCGCCTTGTGATCAGAGTTGGAAAGTGACCAGGCTACACATCAGCCAGGGAGACGAGTAACGAGTGTCTAAGCGAACGAGCGATCAAAAGGAAGCTCCTCTTGCAGTATCCACCACCTGGAGCGCGTTGGGAGTTTCTGTCTCGAGTACTATACGGAGATGTAAGATTTTTGCTAGCGAGAAAGTCGGAGAGAAAAAGGATCTCTTACTAAAATAAATAATATGTAAGTCCGGACATCTCTCAAATACCTCCCGCTTGGGGAACGTGGGTGGCTGATATCAAAAAATAGCATCACCCACCCCCTTGGAAAGTCAGCGCTTGATTGATCGATACTACCGATCCATGTCCACGGATGGGATCCCCTACCCTTGCATGCACGATTACTTATCACCTACGTATCGTGACTTCTCGTTTGACGTGAGATACAAGGCCAGTCAGTCCCCTTATCCATCCTCTCCCTTTTGAACCGCTGGGCCTTCATTTAGTTACTTTTTTTGTTCTATTTTTTCTTCCTCCTCTTCCTCC